GATGGTCACCTTTCAGCCATTTTTTTCTGATCAGTCCCAAAATCTAGCAGCTACAACTAGGTACCAAGGACAGACTACAAATCAAATTTGAGAAAGATTGAACTAGTACATCTCAAGAAAGAGTGATAACAAATTTTCATGGTTGAATCCCAAATGGCCACCTGTTAGCCATTTTGTTTTCTGATCAGTCTTAAAAACAAACGGGCACAACTACTGATAAAGGAAAAGTTATATATGAAATTTGAGAGAGATTCATCAAGTACTTCTTAAAAAATAGTAATATGAAATTTGAAAGGAATTCACCTAGTACCTTTCAAGAAATAGTGATAACAACTTCATCATTTAGCCTACATCTATCAGGCCTGAATGTCTGATGTAGTTTGTGTACAACCAGATATAAATGAATTGCAAAGCTAAGTTTTATTTTGACAGTTACCCAGCTTCAAAATCACTCAGTCTCAAACTCATCCTGGCTGCTCTTGTGGAATAAACTCAACAAGTTAACTTAAACCATATAAACATTTGTGTAACATCCTAGTTATTGATTTTAAATCAAAATTTGCTGTAATGATCCTGACCATGTACCATATTTTCTAAGTTATAAGTAGCACCAGTATATAAGTTGCAGGGCCAATTTTTATTGATTTTTACAATTTTATACACATATTAACCGCACCAGAATATAAGCCGCAACCTTTCTTACGTTATGGTAACCACTATTGTTGACATTTGTTGGTATACACTCATGTAGCATCCTTGGTGTCAATTTTAAATAGAAATTTGATGTAACAATTCTGATCATGTATACATTTACGTAACATTCTCAGTGTCAATTTAAATAGAAATCTGATGAAATTTAAGATGATATAAAACATCTTTAATGTGACTTTGATGGATGTAACACATCCTACAGATGGATTTAACTTGATCGTTTGATGTAAACGGAGAGATTAGACAGAGCATTTTCCTTGAACCTTTAAGGTTAAGAGGATTTAGAATGGTAGTTTAGAACATATGATTCTGTAATATGTCACTGCACTGTTTTACATAACAAGGTTTCCTAGTCCTATAAATTTTTTTGTATAATCATCCCTTGTGTGCTTGAACAGCTGTACACCTGATAGATAGCACAGCTGACTGGTTAAGTATTTTGCAATTCCTTATGTAATACCTATAAAAATATACTCAACTGTTCGTAAAATTTACATCAGGCACATATTTCATAACTGAATACAGGAAATAAGTAGTGGTCCTCCACCAGGTAATGAACATGCAACCCCTGGCAGTTTCAAGTCTGTCACTCTACCATTCAAGCTGAAGGAAAATTTCCACAAAGCTTTAGAATCTGTATACAACCGAAACCTGCTAACCCACTTTCCCTTTTGTCCCAAAATACCACATGAACCCAATGTGTCCTTGATCCAATAAAGCTTCTCTTTTTCCTCTAGTTTTGAACTTATGTCTAAAGCACTAAATGTAAGAAGATATACGTAGTGTTCCTCTACTGGAATCAAACCAAGGCCTCCTTTTTACATGCCTGCCACTCAGCTGATTGAGCTAAAACGAAAATCCCTCTCACAGGAAACTTACATGCCGTTTTTGTTCCTTTACAGCCTCAAAAACCTGCCACACAAATAATTTCTGATATACTTACCAAATACTCCAAGCAACAATTTCTCTTTCTAAGTTAAAATTCCTGAAATTCTGCAAAGATGATTGCAAATGGCCATAACACAATGAAGATCAGTCTCCATATATCTATAGGCTTCCGTATATATTAAATGTCAATATTTCCATGTGAAATAATAATGTAGACTATATTCACCATAGACGTCAGTAAAAAGTGACAAAGAAGTGCATCAATTGTAGTTACTGTAAGAAGTAAGACAATGTAGACCACAGACAAATATAAAATTGTCCAGGGACTGAAAACTTATCACATCAATCTTAAGTTTACTTAGTTGATAACCTGTAGCTGATGTCCACTGTGGTCAGTTTTACCCCGTGTGGAAACCAGAGATAAATATAGCTACGTGAAAGAGCATGAAATCCAACCCTGGAATAACAAATATCACACAGTCAAAGTGAAGATACAAATTTGATTAGACACAAGATTTCTTGACATCAGTTAAAATTCTTTTGAAAAATCACATTAAAAAACAAAAATTACCTTACTTGATATGCCATGTTAAGTGTCAATTACAACAAAGACTGGTTTTGGGAAAGTATAATGCATACATACAGATCGAGCTTCACAAATGACTGTTTGTAAATAGCGACTAGTGCCCAACCATACAGTTAAGATTTTCTTGAGTTTTATTGAAAACCACAAAGAGAACTTGTGTAGCATTTAATTTGCATGAACTAGCCATGGATTTGATCCACCCAGCCTCACCCTATGGTGTCAGAAGCAGGGCCTGTTGAGGAACTGGGCCCAATAAGTGAAATTCAGAATCCTCTTTAGAACCAATCTTCTTCTGTAGGAATGACAGGCTTTTGTTCAAATTTAACGTAAGCATAATGAGGTAAAGAAGAAGCTGGATCTCTCTCACCTGAAGGCACAAGGGTGGGGCCAAATATGGGAAAAGTTTTTATATCCATTCTTCTGTTAAGAGGAAAGGATTTTGAGCAATTTTGTTCTGAAGCATCATCGAATGGTGGGGAGTCAATGTGTATGGTGAATTGGTAATTCTGAGAGGCTATACTTAAGGGATTGAGTGCAACAGTTTGGATATAGCCATTTTGGCCAAACCAAACCAGATGAGTGATACAGACCCTATTGACATCTTCTTTCTGTTTGATTATCTTTCCACAGAATCCGATACATATTACTATACATATTACCATTAGTTGTACAGATCTAAACTGTATAGTACATAGTAATCTAATCATGATTTGTAGAGTTATTTCCCTTTCTACATAATCAGGATTTTGATTGTCCCTTCTGCTAAGAGAACAAAAACGTGACTTTATTTGATCTGCTGCACCCATTCGCCCATGGGAGGCTTGTATTTCTCTGTCTCTTCTACTATTGTCAACTTCTGGTTATATCTTAATTACATTTAAGCAAATCCTTATGATGGAGGCTCTACATCTTAATCTAGACCAAGAAAATTAGCAGAGTCATAAATATTCTTTTACCTTATAATATTATGAAGACAAATGATTTTCAAGACTGGAAAAAAATATTGATAAGGAATTTAGAAAAAAGATATACTGGTCTGGTATCAACTTCCTTAGTAAATTGAACTTCATTTTTTTTATTTCAATTTTACAGCAACTTCTGTTAACCACTTGAGTCCATTTTCTTCTTTGCTAGTTGCTAGTTTTGAGATGCACCTGACTAATTCATTCACAGAGGAATTTTGAATATTCTACAGTAAACTACAAGCTACTGAGAATTACTCTTTCATAAATTCTACTGATAAAGCATCTGAGAATAGCAAATTGGAAGTCCCTGGTTTGATCCTTGTTAAAGGCAGTATTAAAACAATGTTCTCTGTTACACAAACTACATGGGCTCCCATATAGGGGCCAAGTTATTTCAACAAAGTGAAGGCTAATGAGCTTGGTATCCCTGACATTTGATCTCTTGCTTAAAAAATACAAAAATAATGATCTCTGTCACTATCCTTAACCTGCTTCCTGCTAATAATACTGGGAAAAATTCTTTTAATGTAAGTGGTAAAACATCCGATCAGGAAACTAAAAGATCATGAATTGGACTGAACGTTATATTCTGTTATATTCATGGGGATTCTGATGATTTCCATGAACTAGCCCTGGATTTGACACACCCTTTTGGTGTCAGAGGCAGGGCATGTTGAGAAACTGGGCCAAATAAGCAAAATTCGACAAAATCTTTAGAATTTATATTCTTCTGTAGGAATGACAGGTTTTTGTTCATTTTTTGATCTCAAGTATAATAAGGTAAAGAAGCTGGAGCTCTCTCTACCTGGATGCAGAAGGGTGGGGTAAAAGTGTGATACATAAGACATGAGTGGAGATTATACAAGCAATTCCTATGTTATTGTTGATAAAACTACTTCCACCAACGTCCAACTCCTAAGTAATCATTATTGATAGTTCTACATGTATGTCCATAGACTGAATAATGCTCCATGCATAGATTACTAAATTTTGTAATTTTACACCAAGAAGAAATTTATTTTGTGCTATGATCTTGATGTACACAGACAAAATGTAGACACTCCATTAGATTAACATACATCAGGGCTTTTTTCCACTTGAATCTCATGTTGGGCGAAACAAAAACAAACGGAAAAAAAACAATTGGTGAGGAATTTTTTAAAAAGTGAATTTGGCCAAGTTATGAAATAATGTCATTGGGAATGATGCTCAATATATTCATCCCTATGGAGCCCCTGGAAAAAGGCTTATATGTTTATATAAGTAAGACTCAACAGATTAAACTGATAAGTCAGCTGATAAATGCAGAATACCTGATTTTTTTTGTTCAGCTATCAAACCTCACTATCGTTTATATGTATAGTACATATATGATATTGTTCTGTCAGAAGGGAATCCGTGATTAAATAAAACTATTCCAGAATCTCTAAATCAACATCATGCCTGCTTAGATGTTACTCCTAAATTGTGACGGTCCAAAGTGTCTACATGTACAATAAATTGGACAAGTAACATTTTGTTTTGGCAGGTTTTAAGTCATTTAAACAAAATTAAAATGTCAGTGGAATAAAACACGTCATTCAAAATTATCAATGAGAGTTCTACCTCTGTATGTGTTTACATACTATTTTTAGTAAGTGGGGAGCTAGACAGCAAACGCTTACTACAAAACAAACACGGTTATCCAAACTGATGTGCTTCACTCATGCCCTGGACCCAGTGATCACAGAGGTATCTTAGTTACCCGTTTACGCGTGATTTAAGTCGTGTTAAACTTGTGGTAAGTGTTGTCACCTTGTTAACTTTGAAAATAATTAAACCCCCACCGTATCAACAACATGAATATTTACCTTTACTGGCAATGACACTGCCATCAGTCTTTCTTGACAGATGCGGGTAGCATCACGTGCTGTGAGAGGCGACGCCACAATTTTGTCACGTGATGTAAACAGGAAGTTAGAAGGAAGTATATGGGAAAATACGATGAGTCTCGAAAGCATACTTTGAATCTCTCTGGGTTTTTCTATCTGAAAAAGAGAATCTCAATATTAGCTGAACATGGTGTCTATTAATGTCCATTTCATTGTTCTTCACGGTATAATCATATTGATATCAAACGTGCAATCAAGGAACGTGCTCCTTATACTTGGTAAGGTGTTAAGTGCAACAAATATTTCAAAAAATAATGTTCTAATGTGTGATGTTCAGTAAAAGTTTGACGTCAGCTTTCAGTTTCACTTTGTCTTTTCCTACATTCATTGTTCATGTTATGTTATATTTCAAACGAAGCGTAATTAGATTTCAAACATAAATGTAGATACAAACGCGATTGTTGTTATATTCAGAAGTATGTGCTTGATAATGTTTAGGGGATGATGCGGGATTTGAGACACAGGTGTACAACAATCATATTTGTAAAACACCAAATCTGAACAAGTTAGCTGAGAGGAGCTTGGTCTTCAACAACGCATTTACATCAGTGAGCAGTTGTTCACCTAGCAGGTATAAACATTTACATATAGAACACTATGCAGTGTATTAAAATTATCAGCTGGAGTGTCGAGCCTTGAATTCTGGGTTGGTATCGTAGATAAGTAATTTAAGTCATTTGTAAATATTGAATAAAAAATTTCAATCTTAGTTTTCTTTTTCTGTTATGGTTGTTACAGTGAAAGATCTAATTATCTTGTTTTCAGTTAATTCTATGGATTGGCAATTGTTAAGTATTTAGTTTTTCACTATTGAATAAGTTCTTATTGGTTATTGAAAAGGAAACGAAAAATAAACGAACATAAATAGGGATGCTGAAATACCGGATAAGCGGTAATAACTTTAATTTTGTTCATTTTATTTTTGTGGAATTTCCTAGTACATGTACAGTAAAAAAATTTTGAAAAACAGATGAAGTATATGCTAAGGTTACAGTTGAAGTCCATTCATTATTTTGTGAAAGAGATCATAGCGATGACAGGTAGCTTAGATTTTATTAAAAATATGGAAAAAAGGCATACAGATAAGAATAACACCAGCCATAGTTAAACATCCTGATATACATGTAGAATAGGAGAATGTGAAACTAGTTAGTAATTCCAATATTTTCATAATGATCAGGAATATCCAACACATGGTTCATTAACTACATATAATAAACACTAAATAAGACAAAACAATCTTGTCCTATAAAACATTATAAAAAAGGACTAGTGTCTTATGTTCACAGGTCAGTCGTGTTGTCAGGATTACCTCAGCACCAGAATGGAATGTATGGACTGTTCAATGGATACCACCACTTTCAGTCATTTGATGAAGTCAAAAGCTTGCCACTACTTCTGAAGGGGGCAGGTATCAGAACAGGTACGACAGAGGACAGGTATCAGTATAGGTTAATCAGAGTACATTTGACACTACAGGTAAATTAGGGGACAGGTGTCAGTATAGAAGGATAAGGTTAACACATCAGTACAGGTTAACCAGAAGACAGATGTCAGTGCAGGTACATAAGGAGACAGGTGTCAGTACAGTTAAATCAGGAGAGAGTTGTCAGTACAGGTTAATCAGGAGATAGTGCAAGTGCAGGTTAATCAGAAGACAGATGTCAGTTTTAATCAAAAGACAGGTGTTAGTGCAGGTACATCAGGAGATAAGCATCATTACAGATTAATCAGGTAACAGGTGTCAGTGCAAGAAAATAAGGTGAAGACATAAGCACAATTTAATCAGGAGACAGGTATCAGAACAGTTAACCCAGGAGACAGGTGTCAGTACAGGGTAATCAGGAGACAGGTATCATTTAAAGTAAGACAGTTTGTACCAGTTAATAGGGAGACAGTTGTAATTGGAGACAAGTTTCAGTACAGATAATCAGAAAACTATTGGCAATACAGGTAAATCATGTGACAGATATCAGAATAGATAAATCAGCAGACAGGTGTTAGAATAGTTAATCAGAAAAAAGGTGTCAACGCTGTGGTGTTAGTATTAGGGAGACAGAAGACCAGTATCATGGGGGCCACTGACACTGGTATGTTAAGTTGTAGGATATTTTTACCATGACATGTTATTTTGTTTTGACCTGACAGGTATAATTGGTAAGAAGAATGTGGGTCCAGAGTCAGTATACCCATTTGATTACTCTGTGACGGAACTTGATGGCCATAGTATTCTACAAACAGGACGGAATATCACTTTCATTCGTCAACATGTTCGAGAATTTCTACAACACAATTCATCCAGGTGAGTGTTTCTTTATATCACAAAGAAAATTCTTCAGAAATTAAAAGAACTTTTTCACTGCCTAATATCTTTTGTGTATTAACTTATTATTTCTTGTGTGTATATACTTTGTAATGTATACCTCTCTTCATGGTAGGTACTATTTTCATCTTATTCTCATTTTTCTTTTTTTTTGCCAAAATTTTGGTGAAATCTTGAAAAACCTTAAACTTTATAGAGTAAACATAATGAGATAGTGACATACCCCACTCACTAAGTCAGTTCCATCCCCAGTTCCACTCACTTAACTCAGTTCCATCCCCAGTTCCACTCACTTAACTCAGTTCCATCCCCAGTTCCACTCACTAAGTCAGTTCCATCCCAAGTTCCACTCACTTAACTCAGTTCCATCCCCAGTTCCACTCACTAAGTCAGTTCCATCCCCAGTTCCACTCACTAAGTCAGTTCCATCCCCAGTTTCACTCACTAAGTCAGTTCCATCCCCAGTTTCACTCACTAAGTCAGTTCCATCCCCAGTTCCACTCACTAACTCAGTTCCATCCCCAGTTTCACTCACTAAGTCAGTTCCATCCCCAGTTTCACTCACTAACTCAGTTCCATCCCCAGTTTCACTCACTAAGTCAGTTCCATCCCCAGTTTCACTCACTAAGTCAGTTTCATCCCCAGTTCCACTCACTTAGTCAGTTTCATCCCCAGTTTCACTCACTAAGTCAGCTCCATCCCCTGTTACATCCATTACTGGGTATGTCAGTTCCATCCCTGTGCCTTACCCACCAATTCTATTTAATCCTTTAACTCTACCCATCAAGGATTTCTCTCTCTCTCTTACTATGTCACTTCCATTCCCCTGTCTTAACCACCAAGGAAGATCCATCCTAAAACCCTACCCACAAAGTAAGTTCCAACCCCTATCACTATCACTCAGGTCAGTCCATTCCCCCAGCCTTACCCACTAAGTTAGTCCATCCCTACATCCACCCACCAAGTCTGTTTCATCTACCAGCTCTATCCACTAACTTGGTTCTGTCCTCCCACAAAGTCAGTGCCATCCCCTACCTCCACCCACCAAGTCTGTTTCATCCACCAGCTCCAGCCTCCAAGTTGTTTCCATCCAATAAGCCCACCTACAAAGCAACATTTAACTGTAACGTCTAAACAAGGTATATATATTGTCTTCAGTTTCCTTATCTTTCCTCTATTATTGTCCCTTTGTGACAGAGGTAGAAGTGTATATTTACCCTTACACAAAAATGCATGAAACATCAATACATACATCTGTATTACAATACAACAAACTCCTTTATCAGCACTCTAGCAACTTTGTCATTTAATGGATTTTAAGAGAATTTACATGCAGATTTGGTATGAAAATATTTTGTGTAAATTTGATTTTGCAGAGTCAAGGATGTCATTCTTACTTTTAGAAATCATATATTTCAGCACTTCCGTAATTTGAATTTTCATTTGATTTTAGTGACCTAATACCTCCAGTATATTAATCAGTCTCTTTTTTGTTAGCTGTCAATTTTTATGAAGGCAGATGGATTTATATCATTTGCCGTGTCTTCTTTTCTTATCAGATAAAAAAAAATTACTGATTTGAAATATATTCCAGTCCCTTTTTCCTGTACGTGGCATTCCATGACCCCCACCGATGTGGCCACACTCATCCCCAGTATGGACAGTTCTGTGAGAAGTTTGGAGCTGATGGAAGCATGCCTGATTGGAAGCCCATAACTTTTGATCCTGCATCTGTTGTTGTCCCATATTTTGTTCAGGACACACCTGCTGCCAGACTGGACATTGCTGCTCAATACACCACCATAAACCGCATGGACCAAGGTAAACTATTCTGATGGATTCTACAATTGAAGTATCAAAACATGTAATGTATTGGTGTAGTCTCTTATATAACACAGATCAACATGTACTGGTGCAGTATAATGTATGGCCCCATGTATATAACACAGATCAACATGTACTGGTGCAGTATAATGTATGGCCCCATGTATATAACACAGATCAACATGTACTGGTGCAGTATAATGTATGGCCCCATGTATATAACACCGATCAACATGTACTGGTACAGTATAATGTATGGTCCCATGTATATAACACAGATCAACATGTACTGGTACTGTATAATGTATGGCCCCATGTATATAACACAGATCAACATGTACTGGTGCAGTATAATGTATGGTCCCATGTATATAACACAGATCAACATGTACTGGCACAGTATAATGTATGGTCCCATGTATATAACACAGATCAACATGTACTGGTGCAGTATAATGTATGGTCACATGTATATAACACAGATCAACATGTACTGGTACAGTATAATGTATGGTCACATGTATATAACACAGATCAACATGTACTGGTACAGTATAATGTATGGTCCCATGTATATAACACAGATCAACATGTACTGGTACAGTATAATGTATGGTCCCATGTATATAACACAGATCAACATGTACTGGTGCAGTATAATGTATGGTCCCATGTATATAACACAGATCAACATGTACTGGTACAGTATAATGTATGGTCCCATGTATATAACACAGATCAACATGTACTGGTACAGTATAATGTATGGCCCCATGTATATAACACAGATCAACATGTACTGGTGCAGTATAATGTATGGCCCCATGTATATAACACCGATCAACATGTACTGGTACAGTATAATGTATGGTCCCATGTATATAACACAGATCAACATGTACTGGTACTGTATAATGTATGGCCCCATGTATATAACACAGATCAACATGTACTGGTGCAGTATAATGTATGGTCCCATGTATATAACACAGATCAACATGTACTGGCACAGTATAATGTATGGTCCCATGTATATAACACAGATCAACATGTACTGGTGCAGTATAATGTATGGTCACATGTATATAACACAGATCAACATGTACTGGTACAGTATAATGTATGGTCCCATGTATATAACACAGATCAACATGTACTGGCACAGTATAATGTATGGTCCCATGTATATAACACAGATCAACATGTACTGGTGCAGTATAATGTATGGTCACATGTATATAACACAGATCAACATGTACTGGTACAGTATAATGTATGGTCACATGTATATAACACAGATCAACATGTACTGGTACAGTATAATGTATGGTCCCATGTATATAACACAGATCAACATGTACTGGTACAGTATAATGTATGGCCCCATGTATATAACACAGATCAACATGCACTGGCACAGTATAATGTATGGTCCCATGTATATAACACAGATCAACATGTACTGGTACAGTATAATGTATGGTCCCATGTATATAACACAGATCAACATGTACTGGTACAGTATAATGTATGGTCCCATGTATATAACACAGATCAACATGTACTGGTACAGTATAATGTATGGCCCCATGTATATAACACAGATCAACATGTACTGGTACAGTATAATGTATGGCCCCCATGTATATAACACAGATCAACATGTACTGGTACAGTATAATGTATGGTCACATGTATATAACACAGATCAACATGTACTGGTGCAGTATAATGTATGGTCCCATGTATATAACACAGATCAACATGTACTGGTACAGTATAATGTATGGTCCCATGTATATAACACAGATCAACATGTACTGGTACAGTATAATGTATGGTCCCATGTATATAACACAGATCAACATGTACTGGTGCAGTATAATGTATGGTCCCATGTATATAACACAGATCAACATGTACTGGTACAGTATAATGTATGGTCCCATGTATATAACACAGATCAACATGTACTGGTGCAGTATAATGTATGGTCCCATGTATATAACACAGATCAACATGTACTGGTACAGTATAATGTATGGTCACATGTATATAACACAGATCAACATGTACTGGTACAGTATAATGTATGGTCCCATGTATATAACACAGATCAACATGTACTGGTACAGTATAATGTATGGTCACATGTATATAACACAGATCAACATGTACTGGTACAGTATAATGTATGGTCACATGTATATAACACAGATCAACATGTACTGGTACAGTATAATGTATGGTCCCATGTATATAACACAGATCAACATGTACTGGTACAGTATAATGTATGGTCCCATGTATATAACACAGATCAACATGTACTGGTGCAGTATAATGTATGGTCCCATGTATATAACACAGATCAACATGTACTGGTACAGTATAATGTATGGTCACATGTATATAACACAGATCAACATGTACTGGTACAGTATAATGTATGGTCCCATGTATATAACACAGATCAACATGTACTGGTGCAGTATAATGTATGGTCCCATGTATATAACACAGATCAACATGTACTGGTGCAGTATAATGTATGGTCCCATGTATATAACACAGATCAACATGTACTGGTACAGTATAATGTATGGTCACATGTATATAACACAGATCAACATGTACTGGTACAGTATAATGTATGGTCCCATGTATATAACACAGATCAACATGTACTGGTACAGTATAATGTATGGTCCCATGTATATAACACAGATCAACATGTACTGGTACAGTATAATGTATGGTCCCATGTATATAACACAGATCAACATGTACTGGTACAGTATAATGTATGGTCCCATGTATATAACACAGATCAACATGTACTGGTACAGTATAATGTATGGTCCCATGTATATAACACAGATCAACATGTACTGGTACAGTATAATGTATGGTCACATGTATATCAGATATACTTTAACAAAGTACAAACAAAAGTTAAGCTATATTTGTCGTAGAGAAAGACATAGAGATTACAAGCCATGTAGACAAATCTTTAGAGTGTAAGTAGTTGTCCTCCAAACATAAACATCATTCAATGTACTATTTCTTTACCTCAAGGTATAGGCCTTATACTGAAGGAACTAGAATTGGCAGGCCATGCAGATGACACTCTAATCATGTACTCCTCCGACAATGGCATACCTTTTCCAAATGGCCGCACCAACTTGTACGACTCTGGTATGGCAGAACCATTCTTCTTGTCATCACCACATCATAGGAAGCGCTGGAACCAGGTGCGTGCATAACTACATATCTCTCCTACTCAAGGTTTCATTATTTTGATTCTGTTTTCCTATTTGATATTTGGACCAGGATTATCAGGTAGTTACAGTCGGTAGAGTGTTTCTTCCTTTTCCACAAGTCATAAGTTTGGTCAAAAAATAATTTTTACCAAACAAGTCAAGCCTCACTAACAAGAAATTATTATATTTGGTTTATAATTTCATGTGATAATTTCATATTAAAATAGAATTTTAGAAAGAAAAAATCTGCAAAACTCTTTTTCTCAGAACTTCATTGTATCAAGGCTAGTCACTGCTGAACTAAAATACATTGATGACAAGTTTTGTAAATCACATATAGAATGTAATATGTTCCTATACTGGACAATGTATGGGGACAGGTATGTCTTACAATCAAGACTTTACATGATTGTTTGTGCAATTAACTCATTTTATGAGGCTGACTTGAATTATAACATATCATCATTTAGATCCAATCTGTTATCAGTTGTGACATGCTGTTAAGGTTTTTATACAGAGTTAAAATAATGGGAAAATACTGAACTATCAGCCAACACAGCACATGCAGCTCTGCTTAGTGTTCATACAATTAATATAATGGCTATTTGGACACTGATAAGATAAAAGATAATAAGATTCCTTCTCAATTTTACAACATTGCTGCTCCAGTATATTGAAATTACTGAAATGAACATCCAAGAACAGATTTTGTTTTAAGAATTTGCTTTGAATTCACATGAAATAATTTTTGTAATTTTAGAAAAGTGACGCCATGTTGAGCCATGTGGATATCCTGCCTACAGTACTTGATTGGTTTGGTGTCAAATTCCCTCACTACAAAATCCTCAGAAACCATGTGACCTTGACTGGCAAATCTTTACTCCCATTGCTTGAGGTAGAACCGAAGGAATCCTGGGATACTGTATACGCCAGTCACAGCCTCCATGAGGTCACCATGTATTACCCAATGAGGGTGGTGAGGAACAAACAGTATAAGCTCATTCAGAATATCAACTTTCAAATGCCATTTTCAATAGATCAGGATTTTTATATTTCAAGGACATTCCAAGATTTGCTGAATAGAACACATAAGGGAGAGGACACACATTGGTACAAAACTCTCCACAAATACTACTACAGGGACCAATGGGAACTCTTTGATATCATTAATGACCCACAGGAACTTCAAAACCTAGCTCATGATTCTAGTCATTCAAAGGTTTATCATCAATTGCAACACCAATTGAATATGTGGCAGAATATAACCTTTGACCCCTGGATTTGTTCACCCTCTGGTGTTCTACAGGACGCTGGACCACACAAGTACCATCCACAGTGCTACAGTATGTACAATGGACTATGAGGAAGTGAATTCCAGTTACATGTACATTAGACCATGAGGTGTGGTCAAGCAGTGAAGTAGTTGTAACACTCGACTTCCAATAACAGAGATTCCTTTCCCTATTTAGATGTGAAAAGTGAAACAGTCTGCTGCCCACCCTCTAGTTTCCTTCCACCTAGCATCCCGGATATACGCTACAATCCAGACCAACACAAAGATTGTTCTAAAGGATATTAAGTTTATAACAGTGGAAGTAACCATAACATTATGTATTGTCAACTGTGGACTGTTATAATACTGCAATGAAAAGTATTTGTAACATACTTATAGAGGTTCAAGTATAACAACACTCAATGTATGTTACAAGACCTTGGTTTCATATTGATAACCTCAACTATCTCAAATTGAAACCAGCATGCCTCTTCATAGCCAGTAACAAGAGTTCTGCAAGGCAGAACATAATACACCTGTCACAGGTTACACAGGCATATTGCAACAGGGAATGAAAGGAATAAAGGTAAAGAGCCTCCCGATGAAGTTGATCCATTGAAAAACTAATCAAGATATCAAGCACACACCGTTTTGATGATTAAATAAAGGGCCAGAACTCCTTGAATTACAGTTGGAAAAATGCAGTCATTGAACTTTTCTCAGCAAAAATGACAATGAACCTTCCTATCATGTTTGAAGTTCAAGAGATTAAGCGGACAATGTTTCCGTAATTGAATAAATAAGGCCATTACTACATAAATTCCAGTACAAAATTTGCGGTCATCAAACTTGTCAGAGCTATCATGATAATGAACCTTCCTTGAACTATGAATATGAAACTATGAAGTTTGAAGGTAAATAGATGAAAAACACTTTTGATATCGAGTGGACAATGTTTCTGTTATTATTTAAAGGGCCATAACTCCATGAATTATGGTTAAAAAATTACCATGACCAAATTAGCCTAAGATATCATGGTAATGAACCTCCCTATAAAGTTTGAAGTTGATCTGATGAAAACTACTCATTATCAAGCGAACACCGCTTGTGTCCCCCTACCCACAAACCTGCCCTCCCGCTCAAATGATAACAAAATACAGCCCATCTTCAACAGACATATAAAAGTTTGACTGATAGATGCAAATGTAAATGAATCATTTGTTTATGATGGAGATATTTCTATTATTGGATTTATTTTGCATTTTGCATGTTATATATGGTGTCAGTTAGCTGATACAGGCCTATTAGGCCTAGCACCCTCTTACGTGTTAGATCTTATGCATGAGGTAAGGGACAGAGGCCTCCTCAATGGTATATCAGGCCTATGGGGACTTTTGTTTCATATACTTTACATATTAGATCTGGTGTCTCAACTATGTGATACAGGCCTGCTAGGTCTTGTGGTTTACATTCTCTATCATGCATATTTTTTTTCTTCTTAATTTGGCTTCGTTAACTTAGCAATAAAACTTTCAGGGAAATTACTTCCAAATTTCCAAAGATCTGAAATTATTTTTTTCAATATATATACTTGTTATGTTTCTCAGATCACAGAAAGAGTTCTTAAAACTGAATTTGAAAATTTATTGAACTTATTAAGTTATAGAAGCATGACACAAGTCTCATCACTCGAATAAATCACTTCCAAAGACTGGCTGTTCAAATGTTTGTTCATTTTTTATACAGTTGATATATCATGGTACATATCCATACATCTGTGACATAGAAAAATGAATGGTATACATATATTTATACATTTATATAATTAATGAATATTTTCATAATCCATACCTACTTCTTTTCATCTGAAATTAAACATTTTAAAAATTCATGAAAAAATTATAGAAGAAACAAAGCAGACACGAATGTCAGATCTGATTACAATGAACAGTAACAGGCATAAGTTTTATTTTACTGTACACAGAGAAATGTAATGTTAAACAGACAGTAATCTGACATACAGTGTCATTTCATGATTATTTTGTAACCATGAATTCTCTTTTGTTTGAAGTTCAATATATACAGTCTGCCTGTTTTCATTCCTCCATGGTTCCAAAACCAAATCAAACATTAACATGGATGCTATATTTTACAATATAACGATATAATGATAATTTTTTGTAATGAACACTATACCACACATTTGTCCCACAGAACTCCTGTTTAGTGAACATTCACATCCAGCAATGTATACTTCTTCACTCTTTGTCTCTATAACAAATCTACTTTACCTTTGATTCAAGTATAACACAGCTGAAAATTATTGACAGTGTCTTGTTACCAATTTTGTAATATCTATTGTCTCCTGAAAGACTATAATGTTTCATCATATGTTGTGATACAAACATTCATTGTTTAAATGTGGTGGCAAATCATTTCATGCCAACTAAACTAGAATATACATGTCATAAGAAAATATGATAGTTATATAGAGTGTAAAATTACTGACTTTTAGGTAGAAAAAGAAAAACAATGTAATGTTGACTCTATAGAAAATGCTGTTTTAAACACTTGTCATTTTCATTGAGATCTGTCTTTATTTCATGATATTAAATGAATAATTATAAAGGAATATTTTATACTGTGGTAATAAATCTTTATATCAAAATTAATCAGGCTTTGTATTTTCTTATTCCATATTAATGAAGCAATAGATACCAGCTTTGATAATTTGAACAGTTTTCCAAAAATTGTACGTGTGTAACCAGTGTTAAAGATGTCACAAAAAGCATGCAGATCCTCATTATGGGTTCTGCTGACCTGCTTCAATAGGACATTTAAAACAATAAGAAGAACTTATCTCAAATTTACCTGTCTTAGTGTTATACTTTGTGAAAAGATAAAAAAATAATTGCATAATTTACACAAGTTGTGTGATGCATTATGCAGTTTGAATTCCTAAGACAAGGTTTTTCCAGCTTGAGTGTGAAGTGGAGCTGTAGTGCTGTAGAGAAGCACTAGGGAAAAAAAAGAATAAAAATACTCAATGAACATTTTATTTTTTTAAGAAAGATGCATTTTGTATTACTACTATGACCAAGTATTACGAAACACTAAAAACTATTCTACAATTGAAATAATTTATCATATCACAGCTGTTTTACACAAAGCTACACAAGAATGGACAACAGATACACCTGTCCATTTATAATCAATTATAGCACAGAGCTACACATGAATGGTCTAGACAGTCACAAGTAGCATAACACCATGATATACATTACAAAACATTCACAGCTCTTTGATAAAAGAGTGGCAGTCTTCATTGTTTCATATTTAAACTTATTGATGCACTGCATCCAGGTCATGTTTGTTGTTTACTAACTTGACCTAAAAAAATAAAAAGTAATGGTCTGGCAACACATGGACTTGCTAAAAGCACTTCATTCTTTCGCGACACACAGCATATTTTTATGACAATCAACTGGTGACCAAAGTTCAACCCACACATCAGCAATCCACTTTACATGTTTTGATATCACAGTGAAGTACTCTATATTTCATGACACTTTGTTGTACAATGTGTCGGGTCAAAGATATGTTGAGTATGACTCCCAGCTGGTCTTTGGAATATCCTGTCATTGAGGGTCACATGATGCTGTTTACTAAATTGATACCGGTCCGAGAAAGTCCCCTGGACGTTGTTTACTAGTTTTATATCAGTGCCCTATCAGTGAGCTGGTACTTTGTTGACATAATTCATGATAGCATTTTGTAACACTTGAGCTCGTTGGCTTTCTTCCTCTCGTATACCGTTGAGTTCTGCCTCCCTTGATTTTAACCTTCTTTTCAAATCCTCAGTCTCCAAGTCCTTTTCTTCCAGAAGTTGTCTGTGTCTGAGAAGTTGTTCTGGAAGTAAATATTGAATTTTTAGACACATGATCTGGTAATGCCTTGACTGAAGTATAGAATGCAGTGATATACCAGTAAAGCTGAAGGAAACAGCCTCAACATAGCTCTGATAATCTACAAAGTACATAATTATACAGAACAACTAACGTCCTTATAATTTGAGAAGTTTAATTAAAAGAGGATAACCAGTTTGAAATTGGCTGGTCTATAAATATTAGTCTGTAGTTTGTGATCTTTAGTGTACATCTATACTGACAGGACCGTACCTGTATATATTACATGTCTATATTGCTGGTGGTGTGAGATTTAATCAGCCCCTATACACTTACCTGACATCTTTCTGTCAGCTTCCCCCAGTTGCTCCCTGAGTTCGGCCTGGATTTTCCTCTCCCCATCAAGCTTAGTGAGTGTTTGATTCAAGTCTATCTTTACCTTACCCACTTCAGACAGTGTTGTCGTGTTCTTTTCAGATAACTCCTGTGGATTGGTGAACAAAGCCATTTTTATTTTTATTCATTTCATGAAATTTATCCATTCCAATATTTTTCTGTCCTAGCCAATATGATGGTTTCATAACGATCCATGAAGAATTAGAAAGACATTAGCTTATAGAGACAAAACATATGATGTTACAGAATGCCTCTATCTCTGGTTATAATAAAGCATCTGAACATATGAAGTGTCCCAAAATATCTAAATCTATTTGGAATAATGGGTATTGTCTGTGTTAATCCATTTAAATGCCTTTAACAGTAGTAGTCTATAAAACTAAATTTAAGAAAGGTAGTATTCAGGCCACAGAGTCACTTTTATCTTGTATTGTGATACTGTGTATCACTCACCTGCTGAAGCTCTTCCACCCGCCTTTTCATCAGTTCAAGCTCCATGGTGAGCGAGCTGTTTTTGGACTGTAGTTCCGATGCTTGGCCTGACATCTGGTTACACCGTGATTGGAGCTCATCTTTAAGGTGCATCTCCAGCTTCAGCTTTTCCTCCATATGTTGTTGACGAAGATCCTTCAATTAGAGTCAGTCAATAAACTGTTTTAGTTAATAATGAGTTACCTCCCTTCCCACCCAAAAAAGAACATGATTACCCCCGCCCCTTACTCTCAAAACAATGTACAACTATATTATTTCTCTAGGATATAAAAAAAGGCCTCAAGTAAATTGGATGTTAATCTGTCATACCTCCTCACTTAGGAGTTTCTGTTTAGCGAGACTGAGCTGTTCCTCATGGTGAAGTTTGTTGTTCATATTTGCGTTTTTGTGTTTACTGATCTCCTCCTCTAAGGCCAGTCTTGTCATCTCCAGCTTCTGAATCCTTTCACGCAGGGCACTCTCTGTTTCCTCAGCCTCTTGTCGTACTCTTGCCACCTGTACAAGGAGACATGATCAATGTTACCTTCCACATTTGTTATTTACAGTGCACCCGACCACTAACAAACCTTAAACGTTACAAATTCATAAAAATAGTTTCAATTTAAATAATTACCAACAATTCTAAGTTGACAAGATAAAATTTGTCCATGGATCCTTAAGACATAAAATTAAATCAATCTCTGCCCTGCCCACTACAACTGGATTTTTCAGGAGATCTACCTGCTCACAGCCCTGATATCCCTTTTTAGTTAGTTAGTTACAGGTTTTATGTGTCCGTGATCCCTCCCGTTTCTGGATATCATCTAAGTGATGAACGTCAGTGTTCTTGCAATATGAACCACAGTACCCCAAGTCGAGCTCTACAGAATTTCAACAACACAGTCTGGCTAATACACATTGATAGTTTACCTCTTTTTGTCTGATCTGCTCTGCATCTCTTAAATCATCCTTATGTCGTATCCGTTCTTGTTGTAGACGCTCTGCAAACATTGAAAGACGTTTATCATTTTGATTTCTATACAATACAAAGATGTTTATAATCATCAAAGAAATGTGAGTTCTTTTCTCTGAATCTCACACCTTCATGCCTCTGCTTACTTTTTTTTCTGTTGTCTATGTAAACAAACATGATCTGTGTCCCATGTAACTTATAAATGTGACCTTAACCTTTTTTTCTTTATTCATTGTGTCAAATTTTAAATGTTTACCATCAAAATGTGTTCCTTTCAGTTTCAATTCTGCTGTTAAGTGTGTAATTTGTTCCTTCAACTCAAATATTTGATCTTGCTGTAGCCGACATTTCCTTTCTGCATCCTCCAACTGAGAACAAATCAAGGGGAGATCATTTATAGAAAGATATCACTCTCTGGACACAAAGGGCAAATCATTATACAAAGATATCGCTATCTGGACACTTCAGTTCACAAAAAATATCACTCCCTGGACACCAAGGGCAAATCATTATACAAAGATATCACTCCCTGGACACTTCAGTTCACAAAAAATATCACTCCCTGGACATCAAGGACAAATCATTGTACAAAGATATCACTCCCTGGACACCAAGGGCAAATCATTATACAAAGATATCACTCCCTGGACATCAAGGGCAAATCATTGTACAAAGATATCACTCCCTGGACACCAAGGGCAAATCATTATACAAAGATATCACTCCCTGGACACCAAGGGCAAATCATTATACAAAGATATCACTCCCTGGACACCAAGGGCAAATCATTATACAAAAGATATCACTCCCTGGACACCAAGGGCAAATCATTATACAAAGATATCACTCCCTGGACACAAAGGGCAAATCATTATACAAAGATATCACTCCCTGGACACCAAGGGCAAATCATTATACAAAGATATCGCTATCTGGACACCAAGGGTAAACCATTATACAAAGATATCACTCCCTGGACACCAAGGGCAAATCATTATACAAAGATATTGCTATCTGGACACTGCAGTTCACAAAAAATATCACTCCCTGGACACAAAGGGCAAATCATTATACAAAGATATCACTCCCTGGACACCAAGGGCAAATCATTATACAAAGATATCGTTATCTGGACACCAAGGGCAAATCATTATACAAAGATATCACTCCCTGGACACTGCAGTTCACAAAAAATATCACTCCCTGGACATCAAGGGTAAATCATTATACAAAGATATCGCTATCTGGACACTTCAGTTCACAAAAAAATCACTCCCTGGACACCAAGGGCAAATCATTATACAAAGATATCACTCCCTGGACACAAAGGGCAAATCATTATACAAAGATATCACTCCCTGGACACAAAGGGCAAATCATTATACAAAGATATCATTCCCTGGACACAAAGGGCAAATCATTATACAAAGATATTGCTATCTGGACACTGCAGTTCACAAAAAATATCACTCCCTGGACACAAAGGGCAAATCATTATACAAAGATATCACTCCCTGGACACCAAGGGCAAATCATTATACAAAGATATCACTCCCTGGACACCAAGGGCAAATCATTATACAAAGATATCACTCCCTGGACACTGCAGTTCACAAAAAATATCACTCCCTGGACATCAAGGGTAAATCATTATACAAAGATATCGCTATCTGGACACTTCAGTTCACAAAAAATATCACTCCCTGGACACCAAGGGCAAATCATTATACAAAAGATATCACTCCCTGGACACCAAGGGCAAATCATTATACAAAAGATATCACTCCCTGGACACCAAGGGCAAATCATTATACAAAGATATCACTCCCTGGACACAAAGGGCAAATCATTATACAAAGATATCACTCCCTGGACACCAAGGGCAAATCATTATACAAAGATATCACTCCCTGGACATCAAGGGCAAATCATTATACAAAGATATCACTCCCTGGACACTTGTATCCAGGAAATATACTGTATTTTCCTTTACACTCATTACTTTTATTCACACAAAAAAAGTATACAATAAAGTATAAACATACCTTTGTCTCTAACTGGATATTCTTGTCATGTGCCACAGACACCTCCTTGTAGAGTTTTGCCTCAGTAACTGAACGATCCTGAAACAATGAGAACATTTTTTTTTTCTTAAAACCTCAAATTTTACAAGGATATTTAAATGATGATGGGTCAAGCAAATGACTTTTAATGTTGACCCTATAACATACATATCAGTTAAATGGATTTCCCCAAGTAGACATAAACTAGAAGTGTAATATAATGGCTAACTAAACACCCCTCCCCAGTAAAATTCCTTTCAATAATACCAAAACAAAGGTGGTCATGACACCCTGGCAAATCACATCTATAAAATAAAAACCGACACAACCAAACAGCTACCCAATTTACCAATATTCACATAAGTACTAGGCAAATAGTCAAATCAAAATACAAGTCTGAATTGTGTAAATTTGTTATCATGACATCAAACTCACCTCCTGGTATCTGCGTAGATCCTCCTGGTGGCCACCCACCTTATCTGATAACTCCTGTTTTAGTTTGCTTATTAGCATAGAGTAATCATTACATTTCTGTTCTGTAAGGGCAAGTTCAGACTCTGTCATGGCAAGTCTAGATTTAACAGAGCAAGAAACACATAATGATATAAGATTTAAATGACAACTTCAGGAAACTGAAGAAATTTGAAGTCATGGTTTTACACACATTAATCAGCATATGTACAGTATAGTTCCTGATAGCTGAATAGGCAAGTAGCACAAGTAGGAGTATAGTGTATTAGTGTACTGATTAGAAGTATAGTGTACTAGTGTACTGATTAGAAGTATAGTGTACTAGTGTACTAGTGTACTGATTAGAAGTATAGTGTATCAGTGTACTGATTAGAAGTATAGTGTATCAGTGTATTGATTAGAAGTATAGTGTATCAGTGTATTGATTAGAAGTATAGTGTATTAGTGTACTGATTAGAAGTATAGTGTATTAGTGTACTGATTAGAAGTATAGTGTCCTAGTGTACTAGTGTACTGATTAGAAGTATAGTGTATTAGTGTATTGATAAGAAGTATAGTGTATTAGTGTACTGATTAGAAGTATAGTGTACTAGTGTACTGATTAGAAGTATAGTGTACTAGTGTACTGATTAGAAGTATAGTGTATCAGTGTACTGATTAGAAGTATAGTGTACTAGTGTACTGATTAGAAGTATAGTGTATTAGTGTACTAGTGTACTGATTAGAAGTATAGTGTATTAGTGTACTAGTGTACTGATTAGAAGTATAGTGTACTAGTGTACTGATTAGTAAGTATAGTGTGATTAGAAGTATAGTGTATTAGTGTACTGATTAGAAGTATAGTGTACTGATTAGAAGTATAGTGTACTAGTGTACTGATTAGAAGTATAGTGTACTAGTGTACTGATTAGAAGTATAGTGTACTAGTGTACTGTACTAGTGTACTGATTAGAAGTATAGTGTACTAGTGTACTGATTAGAAGTATAGTGTACTAGTGTACTGATTAGAAGTATAGTGTACTAGTGTACTGATTAGAAGTATAGTGTACTAGTGTAGAAGTGTACTGATTAGTGTAAGATTAGAAGTATAGTGTACTAGTGTACTGATTAGAAGTATAGTGTATTAGTGTACTGATAAGAAGTATAGTGTACTAGTGTACTGTTAGAAGTAAAGTGTACTAGTGTACTAGTGTACTGATTAGAAGTATAGTGTCCTAGTGTACTAGTGTACTGATTAGAAGTATAGTGTCCTAGTGTACTAGTGTACTGATTAGAAGTATAGTGTACTAGTGTACTGATTAGAAGTATAGTGTATTAGTGTACTGATTAGAAGTATAGTGTACTAGTGTACTGATTAGAAGTATAGTGTCCTAGTGTACTAGTGTACTGATTAGAAGTATAGTGTCCTAGTGTACTAGTGTACTGATTAGAAGTATAGTGTCCTAGTGTACTAGTGTACTGATTAGAAGTATAGTGTCCTAGTGTACTAGTGTACTGATTAGAAGTATAGTGTACTAGTGTACTGATTAGAAGTATAGTGTACTAGTGTAATGATTAGAAGTATAGTGTACTAGTGTACTGATTAGATTTATAGTGTCCTAGTGTACTGATTAGAAGTATATAGTGTAGTATAGTGTATAGTACTGATTAGAAGTATAGTGTATTAGTGTACTGATTAGAAGTATAGTGTATTAGTGTACTGATAAGAAGTATAGTGTATTAGTGTATAGTGTACTGATTAGAAGTATAGTGTACTAGTGTACTGATTAGAAGTATAGTGTATTAGTGTACTGATAAGAAGTATAGTGTACTAGTGTACTGATTAGAAGTATAGTGTACTAGTGTACTGATTAGAAGTATAGTGTATTAGTGTACTGATTAGAAGTATAGTGTATTAGTGTACTGTACTGATTAGAAGTATAGTGTACTAGTGTACTGATTAGAAGTATAGTGTATTAGTGTACTGATTAGAAGTATAGTGTACTAGTGTACTGATTAGAAGTATAGTGTATTAGTGTACTGATTAGAAGTATAGTGTATTAGTGTACTAGTGTACTGATTAGAAGTATAGTGTACTAGTGTACTGATTAGAAGTATAGTGTATTAGTGTACTAGTGTACTGATTAGAAGTATAGTGTACTAGTGTACTGATTAGAAGTATAGTGTATTAGTGTACTAGTGTACTGATTAGAAGTATAGTGTATTAGTGTACTGATTAGAAGTATAGTGTACTAGTGTACTGATTAGAAGTATAGTGTATTAGTGTACTAGTGTACTGATTAGAAGTATAGTGTACTAGTGTACTGATTAGAAGTATAGTGTACTAGTGTACTGATTAGAAGTATAGTGTACTAGTGTACTGATTAGAAGTATAGTGTATTAGTGTATTGATAAGAAGTATAGTGTATTAGTGTACTGATTAGAAGTATAGTGTATTAGTGTACTGATTAGAAGTATAGTGTACTAGTGTACTAGTGTACTGATTAGAAGTATAGTGTATCAGTGTACTGATTAGAAGTATAGTGTACTAGTGTACTGATTAGAAGTATAGTGTATTAGTGTACTAGTGTACTGATTAGAAGTATAGTGTACTAGTGTACTGATTAGAAGTATAGTGTACTAGTGTACTGATTAGAAGTAAAGTGTACTAGTGTACTGATTAGAAGTATAGTGTATTAGTGTACTGATTAGAAGTATAGTGTACTAGTGTACTGATTAGAAGTATAGTGTATTAGTGTATTGATAAGAAGTATAGTGTATTAGTGTACTGAATGGAAGTATAGAAGTAAAGTGTATTAGGGTATTCAGTGTAAGGGTATTGATAGGAAGTATAATGTACTAATTGTTATTATACTAAACAAATAAGATCTTATCACTTACTTAGAAGCTACAGAGTTAAACGAAGCTTTCCTTTCTTCCAGGGCTTCGTGTAGATTGGTGATTTTATCAGCTGAAGACCTGATCAATAAGAACAAGACGAATTAATTGGTTACTGATACATGTAATAAAGATCTTTCTCTTTTAATCTGAATCATGATTTCAACCTGATTTTATCAGACAAAACAAAACTCAATTCCATTCATTTATATCATAAGTCAATAGTATCTACGTAGAATAGAATGTGCATGTTTCAGAAATTTCATTAACCTTATATTTTATAAATACACATATACACCTGTCTTTCCATGATTATTTAGTTATATTTGAAGCATTTGGCACTCATGAGTAAAATGCTTATATATGAGTAACTATAATTGTTTTACAACAGTTTACCTTTTGGATCGGCGTAGCAGCTCTTCTTGTTTGTCTATAGTATCCATGAGGTCATTCATCTATGAGAATTGTAAGGTCAAAGGTAAAAAGTCAATCGAAAACTCAAACATTAAAACCACACATTTATTATGTTTTTATCAAATGAAGCTTTTCTATCAAATAATTCACTATCATTTGATCCAACATGAAAAACGAGGAGCAAAACAGAGGTCAAGTCAGCCTTACCAGGAAGTGTACAACACTTCTTACCACCTGTAATGTCTTGTCATGTTCCTACCTGTAATGACTTGTCATGTTCCTACCTGTAATGACTTGTCATGTTCCTACCTGTAATGACTTGTCATATTTATACCTGTAATGACTTGTCGTGTTCCTACCTGTAATGACTTGTCATGTTCCTACCTGTAATCCTACCTGTAATGACTTGTCATGTTCCTACCTGTAATGACTTGTCATATTTATACCTGTAATGACTTGTCGTGTTCCTACCTGTAATGACTTGTCGTGTTCCTACCTGTAATGACTTGTCATGTTCCTACCTGTAATGACTTGTCATATTTATACCTGTAATGACTTGTCATGTTCCTACCTGTAATGACATGTCATGTTCCTACCTGTAATGACTTGTCATGTTTATACCTGTAATGACTTGTCATGTTCCTACCTGTAATGACATGTCATGTTACTACCTGTAATGACATGTCATGTTCCTACCTGTAATGACTTGTCATGTTCCTATCTGTAATGACATGTCATATTTATACCTGTAATGACATGTCATGTTCCTACCTGTAATGACTTGTCATTTTCCTACCTGTAATGACATGTCATATTTATACCTGTAATGATATGTCATGTTCCTACCTGTAATGACTTGTCGTGTTCCTACCTGTAATGACTTGTTGTGTTCCTCCCTGTAATGACTTGTCGTGTTCCTACATGTAATGACTTGTCATGTTCCTACCTGTAATGACTTGTCATGTTCCTCCCTGTAATGACTTGTCATGTTCCTACCTGTAATGACTTGTCGTGTTCCTACCTGTAATGACTTGTCATGTTCCTCCCTGTAATGACTTGTCGTGTTCCTACCTGTAATGACTTGTCGTGTTCCTACCTGTAATGACTTGTCGTGTTCCTACCTGTAATGACTTGTCGTGTTCCTCCCTGTAATGACTTGTCGTGTTCCTACCTGTAATGACTTGTCGTGTTCCTACCTGTAATGACTTGTCATGTTCCATTTGTTTCATATGCTTGGACATCATTGTGATCTTTTTACTGTATTCTCCTGTTACTAAAGCACGGTCCTCGTTCTGACTTATGGCTGTTTCTACAACACAATACACTTGAAATGAACAAATGAAAATGCATTCATTTTGAGCTCAACAATTAAACAAATATTGTGAGTGAGGTTGGAGTGGGCAAATAAAGTTAACCTGGCAATGGCAGCATCAAATTTTAAAATATTTCAAAAGTTTTTGAGCAAATTCCTCAAGCTGTAATGGATCACCACCATCGAGCTGTTAGTTATAGAATTGTCTATTCATATTTTCTATATTAATGAGCCCAAAATGGACCAACTTTACATTGTTCAGCAAATGTTAAATTAAATTTCATTACATATCACAGAGTTGCTCTGATGAAATGTATAATTTATAACTTAAAAGTTTTCTTAACCTGAAGATTCAAGTTCTTTTTTTTAAAAAGACAGAAAATGCTATTATTTAACCAGACACCTGTAGAAACATTTTTGTGATTTTGTGATTGATAACTAATAAATCTTTCATTTAATTTTCTCATCTAAGAAAAAGTGCCTTTCCCTATATTATATATATTTGTTGTTTTTTGTGTTGATATCTATTATTATAGAAAACTGAAAACAATTTCTTATGTAATATAGTCCAGAATTTAACCTGTTTAACCATTTGTCTACATCTTGAGTGTAATGGCTTACCAATAGACTTTAAGATATCTACAGGGATGTTGTTGCCAGCTAGCTCCATTCTACACAGGGTTTTATTAGTTTGTAACATTTCTAGTAAAGCACGGCCTCCCAACAGCCCAACATTGTTCCATCGTAAGTCTGAAAAAATTAACTTGTACTTATAAATAAAGGTATAGAAACACGTTTGGATTGTTCATCCTATTCGAAAGAGCTGGTATTGTAATATTTTGCTTTTTGAAATAAAACTACTTTTTACTAAAACTGAATAATTTTAAAGAAAACCAAACAATCTTGTAATTTACATACAAATGTACTTTATACATCTATGGAAGATATACTGATAAATAGTGAGATATAAAATTGTTTGATTATATACTATTGAAATAAACAATAATCTTATACACTAAATATATCAATTTCTGAGTAAATGTAAAACAAATTACAAACTGAACGGTAAGTACCAACTAATATTGTCCTTACCCAGAGATCTTAGCGTGCTGTTCCTCTTGAGCCCTGCAGCAAGCTCTATGGCTCCGTCATGATTGATCTGGTTGTTCCTGATGTCTAGAGCCTGGAGACTATCATTGGAACCTACTCCCTCACAAAACAGAGCAAAGGAGTTGTCCAGCATCCCCAAGGCATTCCATTCCAGACACAAGCTGTGTACAAAAATAATTGGACTAGTTTGACAATCCACCAGAAATAAGTAACAATACTGTATATCATTTCCACTAAACACTTAAGTTTTAAACTGTCTTACCAGTACCCAAAATATTTGTAAATACGAAAATGAAAGTCCTTGTTACCATCAGTTTTTTAAACAAATGATCCAGCATCACCATGTACCTTTTCTTGTTCTAAAATGTTTTGACAGTAATATTTAACTACAAAGTTATCATCATTAGTCTCTATCTTATATTGAGAAAAATAAACTATTCTACTCAGTAAAGATGTAAGCTTTGTAGTATACCTAAGGAGGGTGTGGTTGTGACGCAGCATCTTTCCAAGGAAGTCCACACCTGTTCCACGGATGTTGTTTCCCTAGAAGATAAAAGTATTTACTAGTTGGATGTTCTCTTTGATACTTTTTCAAATCTCAATTTTATGAATTAATTAGTTTACTGAAATAAATATTTCTGGATAACTGGGTATGCAAAATGAGATAATAAAATCACAATGGCAGATGGTATAAATGAAACCACAACACAGTATCTCTTTATACATTAGCAAAAAGGAACATTTGTGCTGATAACCAACTACTTTATCTATAGCATGTTTATATATCTTAGAATGAATAAGATCGTTTCTCAAAATTCCTGTCAGTTTTTAATTCATTAATTAAAACACAAGAATGACCCTTTTGTGTCCATGCTTCTCCATTATCAGGATTAAGTAAAAATTTAAGTGGAGAGAAATTCAGCTAAACAGAAATTTTAAACTTTAAAACGGCTCAATTAATTAACAAAGTCAAAATAAATTTAAAGTGAATTTCTTAATTTTAATATGTGTTGGAGAAGTTATATACTGATATAAGTATCTATTATTCCATGTTTTGTTGACAGCGTTCAAGGTTTTCCATAATAGCCGGTCGCCAGTCAATTTGACCGGTTACTTTGATCATTTGGCCACCTACACCAATCCAGTTCCGTAATAATGTTCCGTACACGACTACATGTACACGGCAGGCCAGCCTCCTACTTTCACTACACAGCCTACTACTAACAAAATTATGGAAAACCCTGAGCATTTGTACTTAAGAGAGAAACTGAACTAACTGCAAAACTTATACAAACAACTTTATCAACAAGTGACATAATTTATTCATGATTTCACAAAGTAATATCACAGGAGTTTCATACAATACTGATGTCATGACTATTACATGGCACAACTTACTTATGTGATAAAATCCTTTCTTTAGTCTCAGTCCTGGTAAGTACATATATAAATAAAAATCTCACCTTCATGTCAAGTTTTTTACAGTAGTTGTTTGTGGAAAATCCATAAGCTAATCCTTTTACACCTGTAAATTAAGATGATATCACATAAAACACTACTTCAATTGGTACTATATTACCTTGGTATTTCAAAATTTTCAATTTATTTTCAACATAACATTTGATGGTATTTTATCAATATATGAGTATAATGTTTCATACCATCTTCACTAAGCATACAATCAGCAAACTTGATTTCTCTGAAATTTTTGTCTGTGGCAATTGTTTTCCCAAGGGCGTGGCATGTTTTAGCTGATAAACTGTTTGTTGACAGATCTAACACATGTTTTCCTTTCCCGCCTTCAAAACTACAAAAGAAATAATCCTTGTAACCATTTTATATCATTCAATGGCTTTATATGTTTGTAAAAAACATCATATTACAAGTTATGGAAGGTAAGTTCTACAGGGATACTCTGTTTCATCCTCTTTGAACTAACGATTATCATAATTGTGTGATTGGGCTTTCGATGTCAATAATGATTCCATCTTTCATTCTGTAATCCATAATCCAAAATAATCCTACTAATTTCAAAGTGTTTACAATGTTACACACATGGTATTTATTTGTATATAAATAACAAAACACCTAGCATGTTCAAAAGACTTGTACATTCAACATTTCTTACCTTTTTAATTGGGTTAAAACACAATCCTGGGGTTCAATGTGACTTTCTTTACAAAGGCGCTGGAATACATGTCTGAAGCTCTCCATACTTCCACTGTGTGACACAAGAGAATAAATTTTGTGTTTAATAATTGGCTTCTGTCCATTTGAGACATATAGTTATGTCACTTAGTCAATAGCTTCTTGGATAATGTTTTGACTGCAAGAAATCATTGACAACTACAAACATGCTAAACTTGTCACATAACAGTAAACCCTTGACACTAATGATACATTCTTCTTTGGAATTAGACCAAACTGAGGTAACATGTTTGGAGGATATAAATGGTAATACTTGTAATCAGTAAAGATTTTAACCCTCATTATTGTATAAATTTGTCAAAATTTCCAAAATAATAAGCAAAACAATTTTTCATAATAACTTGCTGTTCACTTGTTTGTGAATAGTGCAATGGTTGGAACTGTCTTGTTGCAAAGACAGCTCAAAGTTAAACATTGCCTTCATAGAATCTAAAATAGTGTGCAACCTATATATGATTTTAGCTAAAGGTTGTCACTTCTTTGATGTACCATGTAAAGTATTAAAAATGTTACAAAATATCATGTCAAATAAAACATCACAATTAAGATACCTATACTCCATCAACTCCAACATAAAAGATGACTGTTATTTATAGATTTCACTAATGACAATGGAAACAAATATAAGAAATTATTAGCAATTTCCTTGCCTCTAGATGGAAAGAGAGTTTTGTCATACCATTTTTTTACCATTAATTTCGATGCTTATTAATTATACAACTAAAACTTGACAATTAATTGCAGTAAAATTCGATTTCATAGAAAACTAAAATCACTATGATATAATTTTAAAGAAAAAGTAAAAAGAATATATCGTAAATCAAAGAAATATAGCTGGCTGTTTAAGGGTCATAAAAACTCAATGTATTTATTACACAGACCAGGACCGTTATAACAGTGTTTTTATTCGTACAGTATTCTAAACCTGCACATACAACTATATAATATATAAAATATATGTATTGACAATAACTTCTTGTTATCTGACCGAGAACTAGAGAGTAGGTCCCAAAGTAAGCAGATCATAAACATAAACAATCGAGTTGACCGTGTTGTGTTCAGACTTGCAGTTTACAATTAAATGTTATTTTACTCCAAAACAAATAACTTTAACATCAAGGTATGTTCCTAAAAGGGAAATCGAAGTTTCATAATTTCATTGTCAATATATACATTGCATTCATTTACCTGGTTATCGCGAAATGCTCTACAAATAAAATGTCACTGCAACAGTTTTCCTTTCATACCGCCATTTTGAAACTTTTTGTTGCTATTCTCCGAAGTCCCAGAAATGTTTTAAAATTTAGCAAATTATTGCAGCTCTTTACTCAAGCGTTTTATTGACAGCGAAAACATGTATTTCCTATCTTCGACGCAAAAGAGTCGATGTTATTTGTAAACAGAGATCATGTGGCGTGTAGACTAGAGCATTGACGTCGGAGGGTATCGTCATCATGGCAGCAGAGGCTGCTTTAGTGGCGAATCGTCTTCGAGAAGCACAAGAAAGCAATGTTATTGGTATACATTCCTTCATGTTTATGTTATAAGAAAGTAAAGTGGTATTTACTCTCAGTTTGATTTAAGACTGCATCTGTACCTACAGCACATGTCTTCTGTCTCTAATGTTACTTCGGTTTAGTAGTAGTATTTGGGGACCGTCAGTTCTGATTATTAATCCCAAGGCAGTGATTAAATGGATAAGATATTTATGTACATTTCATTTAGATAAAAAGAATTATGATTAGATAGGTAGGGTACAGTGACAAGTGATTTGAAGGTGTCAACAGCGAAACAAAAGATTACTGACGTGAGTTCTGTTGTGTGATAGTTTTTGGATAGAAGGCGTGTTTATAGCAGTCTGTAGATGATTTTATGTGTCTGAAAGTGTATGGGTTGTCGTGGCTTGAATTAGTGCCGATGTCGACAGGCAGGAGATTTTCAAGATGAAGTGCAGCAAGGCCATGTACTATTTTGAAGATTATAAGTCTGTTTTGCAAGAGGCACCTGTGAAGCAGAGATTCAGTCATATTGGTGACAGAGCTTTTATTGTGTTAATTGTTACACACGTATCTAGTGGCTCTGCAATGCACTTTCTCTATCTGGTTTATTTGGGATGTATTTTGACGATCTCGAACTTTTGTGCTACATGTATATTCTAGCTTAGAACATACTAGAGTTTATCAGAATGGTCTTTCACATGTGAAGAGTTTATATTTAAATTTCATCAAAGGATGCAGAGTGATTGATTTGTTTAGATGTAATGGAGTTGATGTGCAGGTCCCATTTCAGAATAGGCTGTGCAGTGATCCCCAGATTTTTTGTAGATTTTTTTGTCTCTAGGACATGGCGATGTAAAGTGTCATTTGGAGGTGAAGATGATCATTTATTTGTGACTTCCAGTATGGAGCAATTGTCAGGATGAAGGGACATAAGCCAATCTTATTCCCAGACAGCTGCAGTGTCACGGTCCAACTGAAATTTGTGAACGTCATCATTGGACTTGATGTCCCTGTATATAATAGTGTCATCAGCAAAGAGAAAGATAATGCAATGTTTAATGTATTCAGAAAAATGGCTTAAGTCTAGTGTTTCAGTGGATGGCATCCTCAATACACCAAGGGTTACGATCGCTTTCGCTCTCTGTACCCCTGGAACCATTTTCCATACACCAGGGGTTACAATCACAGGCTGATACACTCCTTTTGAAGATTACAGAGGAGGAACACCCAACTTCAAAGCCATAACAATATATGCTATGCGACCTGAAATTTGTTTGATGTACATCATAGGATCAACCCAGTCTTTTGGTGTTGTCCACAAGGTGTCGTACAGGAAACCTTCAATATTGCCATGAAATGTTCCAGGGGAACAGAGAGCGAAAGTGATTGTAACCCCTGGAATATTGAGGATGGTGGGACAGTGTATGCAGTTGTTCTGGAGAAAAAGAAGGATGTTTTTTGATAATATATGATACATTCTGTAAATATAATCAGAAATATGTGTAGATTTTTTTTTCTGTTGTAGATTTGACAAACTGTGGATTGATGAAAGTTCCAGATGCAATTTATATATTCCTGAAGCACACACCTGTGTTATCCTGTTCATTTTCAAAGAATCAATTAAAGCGAATTCCACCGCGGTTTCCAGTGACATTCAAAACAGTCCAAGGTGATTCCTATTAATGATAATAATAGAAAAGTGATGAAATGTCAGTAAACCTGAAATTCACATGTTTTAAAAGCAGACAGTAGAGATGTTAGGGAGATTTATAAGAAGTTTTTGTTGGTGATATAGATTTTTGCAGATAGTACAGAGATACACATGTCCCTCAGTGTAATTTCAGATGAACTATATATGTAAGCAACTGCATCATTAAATGATTCATCACATCAATGCAGCTTTTGCATCTTTGAATACAATAAAGCTCTTGACCTCTTTTGTTTGAATTTGTGGAAATTGTTTTGCTCTCCATAATTTCAGTTGAGGATGGGAAAACTTATTGCGAAGCTCTTTTGTATTGATTTAATGGTGTTCAAAAGACACTTTGAATAGTAAAAGCTTTAGAGCCTTTTTTCTTGAACACAGGAGGTATCCAATTCAAAATGTGTATTGAAATATGCTAATCATTTGGTTGTCTATATACAAGTTTTACAGAAAGGTAATCTCTTTCAGGTATTACCGCTATCATTTTCCTTGGTATGTGAAAGCACAATATAAGACTCTGAAAGCACAAAAGACTATGATTTGACATACATGTGTACATAAATCTTGATTGCTTTTTCGCAGAGCTGAATATGAGTGATAACAAACTGTCAGAGCTGCCAGAAGAAATGAGTGAACTGATCGACCTAAAAACAATGGACATTTCCAGGAATCAGTTCACCTCATTACCAGATTTTGTGTATCAGTATTCAAACTTACTACAACTGAAACTCCACTCCAATCAGATTTCAGGTATAGGATCAATTTACACGTAGTGTAAATAGGATGTACACAATTTCAATTGTATTTTGAACAAAACACTACAAAGCTTTCTAAAATTACTTCATTCATGAAATTGACATTTTTGTTGCAGATATTGACACTGAAAAACTGGTGCAAATGTCTTCCCTCCAAGAAGTCGATTTTCGAGGTAATCCACTGTCAGCAGAAGTGGTGTGTCGTCTGCAGGAGTCGAACATCACAGTACAATTGGACAAGCTAGGGGAGGGAGATTCCTGACATTGGTCGACAGTAGCTTGTAACAACATATAAGTTTGTGACATAAAATAAGTTTGGTCATTTTATATTAGCTGTATGTATAACATAATTATTTGGAACAAAGGTAGTATTGATTGTGTGATCCCAAGATTTTTTATGAAACCATCACCGATATTAACAAAACCCAATTATAAGCTGTCTACAACCTGCTAATGATTGAAAATATTTCAGCTAAATCAAATACTAGTAGTCTATTTGTCATCATCAGAGCACCAAATCTTACAACTAAATATAACAATTCTTCAGAAAATATGAATTAGTGTTGTCAAGAAAATGTCGCTGACCACAAAAATTTCTGACAAGATTTATATATACTTTTGTTGTATTTTATATGTTATTTACGTAAAATTTATATCACTGATAACTTCATTATTCATTAATTATACATACACTTTTCTTTGCTCTTTAATAAATTATTTAAGGAGGTATAATTGTTTTCATGATTTATCTAAGTTATAAATGTTGAAGCAACGAATAATTGGTATACACATCATTCATTAGAATTAATGATACATGTCAGGTATACATTGTGAACATATTTATTTCTTGTACCAAGTGAAAAAAAATAACAAGTAAAATAAACAAATTATCATCAATTGCTTTCGTCAGTTATTTTTTTGTTTGGTGTGCACTTGTAATATTTCCTGGACAGATCGTTCACCGTGATACTGACGTATCAAAACTACCATTTGAGTGTACACCAGTGATGTTCCCCGGACAGACCACCGTGATACTGACGTATCAAAACTACCATTTGAGTGTACACCAGTGATGTTCCCCGGACAGACCACCGTGATACTGATGTATCAAAACTACCATTTGAGTGTACACCAGTGATGTTCCCCGGACAGATCACTCACCGTGATACTGACGTATCAAAACTACCATATGAGTGTACACCAGTGATGTTCCCCGGACAGATCACTCACCGTGATACTGATGTATCAAAACTACCATTTGAGTGTACACCAGTGATGTTCCCCGGACAGATCACTCACCGTGATACTGATGTATCAAAACTACCATTTGAGTGTACACCAGTGATGTTCCCCGGACAGATCACTCACCGTGATACTGACGTATCAAAACTACCATTTGAGTGTACACCAGTGATGTTCCCCGGACAGTTCACCGTGATACTGATGTATCAAAACTACCATTTGAGTGTACACCAGTGATGTTCCCCGGACAGATCACTCACCGTGATACTGACGTATCAAAACTACCATTTGAGTGTACACCAGTGATGTTCCCCGGACAGTTCACCGTGATACTGATGTATCAAAACTACCATTTGAGTGTACACCAGTGATGTTCCCCGGACAGTTCACCGTGATACTGATGTATCAAAACTACCATTTGAGTGTACACCAGTGATGTTCCCCGGACAGTTCACCGTGATACTGATGTATCAAAACTACCATTTGAGTGTACACCAGTGATGTTCCCCGGACAGATCACTCACCGTGATACTGATGTATCAAAACTACCATTTGAGTGTACACCAGTGATGTTCCCCGGACAGATCACTCACCGTGATACTGATGTATCAAAACTACCATTTGAGTGTACACCAGTGATGTTCCCCGGACAGATCACTCACCGTGATACTGACGTATCAAAACTACCATATGAGTGTACACCAGTGATGTTCCCCGGACAGTTCACCGTGATACCGATGTAACAAAACTACCATTTGAGTGTACACCAGTGATGTTCCCCGGAAAGATCACTCGCCGTGATACTGATGTATCAAAACTACCATTTGAGTGTACACCATCAATGTTCCCCGGACAGTTCACCGTGATACTGACGTATCAAAACTACCATTTGAGTGTACACCAGCAATGTTCCACGGACAGTTCACCGTGATACCGATGTAACAAAACTACCATTTGAGTGTACACCAGTGATGTTCCCCGGAGAGATCACTCGCCGTGATACTGATGTATCAAAACTACCATTTGAGTGTACACCAGCAATGTTCCCCGGACAGTTCACCGTGATACTGACGTATCAAAACTACCATTTGCATTCACTGTTTTATTATTATACAATTGTACTTGGAAAGAATGTTCCGTAGAATGATGCATTATAAAACGAGTCTCATTAGTTTTTCTTTGACAAGTCATGTCCTTGGGACGGATTTCATAAAGTCTCGTTTAATTTACAACAGTTACATTATGACTTACACGTTTTAAAGTAAAAATGTGGAAGACAAAATCTAAAGGAGGCAGCCATTCTGTTGCGTCGTTTTCAACTCGTGACGTTATGTCGTTGTCCATGTTATAAACATCATTATCTTTTTCTGACTTATGTAACACAGGAAAAGCACTCTAGGGCACATTACTCAAGTAACATACGCAAAAATATTACATGTGTGCATCCACCAGATTATGTGATTGAAAGGAGCTGGCTGGCCGTCATGATATAAGACGCGTGGTGTGATGTTTGCCTGTAAAGCTCGGCCAGTTATAACGACCGTAAATTCCACAACAAGACAGTTTCTTGCTTACACATTCCCTACGCATGTTGCTATCATTTACCGACACTAATTTGATTTTAACTTAAGAAAAAACTGCTAATGTTATCCGTCAAGTAGAAATGCCCATTTGACGGTGAGCCGTCACCGCTGCCGAGTCAATAATGATGATGCTGTTATGGTCATGTGATTTTTTTATCGTACTGTACATCACATCTCTTTCTGGTTAGATGAGCAAAAACATGGCCGGGAATAGATCGTTGTGATCAAGCATTTCAGAACATCTTTTCTGAAATCACTTAAGAGTATTTATTGCTACATACCAAAAGTCCACGCGAATGGGTCCGTACGGCATCATGGTAACCACAGTAACGGACTAAAATTATGAGCTATTAATAGACAAGACGTTATGGCGACGGAGGTAGAGAGGAAGGCAGCAGCAGAAGTTGCCGAAGTTGCTAGACGTCTACAAGAAGCAAAGGAAAGTTGTATTCTAGGTAAGATTTACATCTGTAATACACGCCATTTTAACAGCCAGTATTCTCTAGAATATGATTTATTTGTACATAATGCAATTGTGTATTACAAAACCTTTGATAAGTTATAAGTGTAGATATATATATAGAAACAGATAAGATACACGTGCTGTGCATACACCGACAACCAGCACACACGTACTTATCTGTTGTAGTCGACTGACTGATGTTAATGCGTTAGTCTAAGTGTATAAGCACAGTATTAAACAAGTACTTAAATGTGACAAGTAGAAATCATAATAGGTAATTATCTTTATGAGAATTGACAAATGTAACTATATCAAACCCTTGTAAGAGATTTCTGTGTAACCGGACACTACTCGAAAGTAGTATTTTTTATGCTATAATACATTACCAATATATACTCTGATCAGCACGGAGAGTGTTCCAGTGTTGGCTACCACACCTGCCAAAACCCCTCAATTCTTTTAAAATGCTCTCGATATATACAAACACATGCCTCTTATCTTAAGGCACACGAATGCTAAATGCATGTGTTGTTCAGTTATGGAAAATTACTAATATTACGTTAATGGATATTAAAGTGACATTTTCGGTAACCTCACATATATAAGATAACTATTCTTCTATATACTACATGTATGTATCAGATTATATAGACATAGCAAGATGTGTTTATGAAACAGTACTGTGCCTCGGTTACAACAAAAATCTGAAATTGGACATTAAAATTGTATTGTGTAAGGCATGTGCTAATTGCATGCACGTTTTGTGAAACACTTATGTCCTCATTGTGGTAATGGTTGCTTGTTCCATTTTGGTACCATCAGAAAGGTCTTGTCAAAGGAAACACACATACCTAATATGAAAGCCCTACCTCCTTAAATACGATAGTTATGGCCAAAGTCAAAATTTGTCAAATGTAGGTTAAAGGTCACGGTCAAGGTCACATGGTGAACAATTTGGGTACCAGCGGAAAGGTCTTTTACAAGGAGTACACATGCCAATTATGAAAGCCTTACCTCTTACAGTGCAAAAGTTATGGGCAAGATTAAAGTTTACAACACACAAAGAGAGAGCACAAAAACAATATGCCCCGACCCTTCGACCCGTGGGCATTAAAAGCATTATTAATAGACAAATAAATGTGTTTATTATAGATAAATCAACAAACTGATAAATTCGTGAGAAATGTTATCACTCCCCAAACCTAATACCATTGTAGACCTCTCTGACTGTGGTCCGTAGTGGATGTTCCTGACGTAAATATCTGCCATTGTAGACTGACTGTGGTCTGTAGTGGATGTTTCTGATGTAGCTATCTACCATTGTAGACCTCTCTGACTGTGGTCTGTAGTGGATGTTCCTGGCATAGCTATCTACCATTGTAGACTAACTGTGGTCTGTAGTGGATCTTCCTGACATAGCTATCTACCATTGTAGACCTATATGACTGTGGTCTGTAGTGGATGTTTCTGACATAGCTATCTACCATTGTAGACCTCTCTGACTGGTCTGTAGCGGATGTTTCTTATATACCTATCTACCATTGTAGACCTCTCTGACTGTGGTCTGTAGCGGATGTTTCTGATGTAGCTATCTACCATTGTAGACCTCTCTGACTGTGGTCTGTAGTGGATGTTCCTGACATAGCTGTCTACCATTGTAGAACTCTCTGACTGTGGTCTATAGCGGATGTTTCTGATGTAGCTATCTGCCATTGTAGACCTCTCTGACTGTGGTCTGGTTCTGTAGCGGATGTTCCTGACGTAGCTATCTACCACTGTAGACCTCTCTGACTGTGGTCTGGTTCTGTAGCGGATGTTCCTGACGTAGCTATCTGCCATTGTAGACCTCTCTGACTGTGGTCTGGTCTGTAGCGGATGTTCCTGACATAGCTATCTACCATTGTAGACCTCTCTGACTGGTCTGTCGCGGATGTTTCTTATATAGCTATCTACCATTGTAGACCTCTCTGACTGTGGTCTGTAGTGGATGTTCCTGACATAGCTGTCTACCATTGTAGAACTCTCTGACTGTGGTCTGTAGCGGATGTTTCTGATGTAGCTATCTACCATTGTAGACCTCTCTGACTGGTCTGTAGTGGATGTTCCTGACGTAGCTATCTACCATTGTAGACCTGTCTGACTGTGGTCTGTAGCGGATGTTTCTGATGTAGCTATCTACCATTGTAGACCTCTCTGACTGTGGTCTGTAGTGGATGTTCCTGACATAGCTGTCTACCATTGTAGACCTCTCTGACTGTGGTCTGTAGTGGATGTTTCTGACATAGCTATCTACCATTGTAGACCTCTCTGACTGTGGTCTGTAGCGGATGTTCCTGACGTAGCTATCTACCATTGTAGACCTCTCTGACTGTGGTCTGTAGTGGATGTTTCTTATATAGCTATCTACCATTGTAGACCTCTCTGACTGGTATGTAGCGGATGTTCCTGACATAGCTATCTACCATTGTAGACCTCTCTGACTGTGGTCTGTAGCGGATGTTTCTGATGTAGCTATCTACCATTGTAGACCTCTCTGACTGGTCTGTAGTGGATGTTCCTGACATAGCTATCTACCATTGTAGACCTCTCTGACTTTGGTCTGTAGCGGATGTTTCTGATGTAGCTATCTGCCATTGTAGACCTCTCTGACTGTGGTCTGGTCTGTAGCGGATGTTCCTGACGTAGCTATCTACCACTGTAGACCTCTCTGACTGTGGTCTGTAGTGTATCTTCCTGACATAGCTATCTACCATTGTAGACCTCTCTGACTGGTATGTAGTGGATGTATCTGACATATAGCTATCTTCCATTGTAGACCTCTCTGACTGGTCTGTAGTGGATGTTCCTGACATATATCTATCTACCATTGTAGAACTCTGTGACTGTGGTCTGTAGCGGATATTTCTGACATAGCTATCTACCATTGCAGACCTCTATAACTGTGGTCTGTAACGGATGTTTCTTATGTAGCTATCTACCATTGTAGACCTCTCTGACTGTGGTCTGTAGTGGATGTTTCTGACATAGCTTTCTACCATTGTAGACCTCTCTGACTGATCTGTAGTGGATGTTTCTGATGTAGCTATCTACCATTGTAGACCTCTCTGACTGGTCTATAGTGGATGTTTCTTATGTAGCTATCTACCATTGTAGACCTCTCTGACTGTGGTCTGTAGTGGATGTTTCTGACGTAGCTCTCTACCATTGTAGACCTGTCTGACTGGTCTGTAGTCTATGTTTCTGACGTAGCTATCTACCATTGTAGACCTCTCTGACTGTGGTCTGTAGCGGATGTTTTCTGACATAGCTATCTACCATTGTAGACCTCTCTGACTGTGGTCTGTAGCGGATGTTCCTGACGTAGCTATCTACCATTGTAGACCTCTCTGACTGTGGTCTGTAGTGGATGTTCCTGACGTAGCTATCTACCATTGTAGACCTCTCTGACTGTGGTCTGTAGTGGATGTTCCTGACGTAGCTATCTACCATTGTAGACCTCTCTGACTGTGGTCTGTAGTGGATGTTCCTGACGTAGCTATCTACCATTGTAGACCTCTCTGACTGTGGTCTGTAGCGGATGTTTCTGATGTAGCTATCTACCATTGTAGACCTCTCTGACTGTGGTCTGTAGTGGATGTTTCTGACGTAGCTATCTACCATTGTAGACCTCTCTGACTGGTCTGTAGCGGATGTAGACCTCTCTGACTGTGGTCTGTAGCGGATGTTTCTGATGTAGCTATCTGCCATTGTAGACCTCTCTGACTGTGGTCTGTAGCGGATGTTTCTGATGTAGCTATCTACCATTGTAGACCTCTCTGACTGTGGTCTGTAGCGGATGTTTCTGATGTAGCTATCTACCATTGTAGACCTCTCTGACTGGTATGTAGCGGATGTTCCAGACATAGCTATCTACCTTTGTAGATCTCTCTGACTGTGGTCTGTAGCGGATGTTTCTGATGTAGCTATCTGCCATTGTAGACCTCTCTGACTTGTATGTAGCGGATGTTCCTGACATAGCTATCTACCATTGTAGACCTCTCTGACTGTGGTCTGTAGCGGATGTTTCTGATGTAGCTATCTACCATTGTAGACCTCTCTGACTGGTCTGTATTGGATGTTCCTGACATAGCTATCTACCACTGTAGACCTCTCTGACTGTGGTCTGTAGCGGATGTTTCTGACATAGCTATCTACCATTGTAGACCTCTCTGACTGTGGTCTGTAGCGGATGTTTCTGATGTAGCTATCTACCATTGTAGACCTCTCTGACTGTGGTCTGTAGTGGATGTTCCTGACATAGCTATCTACCATTGTAGACTGACTGTGGTCTGTAGTGTATCTTCCTGACATAGCTATCTACCATTGTAGACCTCTCTGACTGTGGTCTGTAACGGATGTTCCTGACGTAGCTATCTACCATTGTAGACCTCTCTGACTGTGGTCTGTAGTGGATGTTTCTGACATAGCTAGCTACCATTGTAGACCTCTCTGACTGTGGTCTGTAGCGGATGTTTCTGATGTAGCTATCTGCCATTGTAGACCTCTCTGACTGTGGTCTGTAGTGGATGTTTCTGACGTAGCTCTCTACCATTGTAGACCTCTCTGGCTGTGGTCTGATGAAGATACCTGATGCCATTTATATGGTTTTGAGAGGAACAACTATAAGGACAAGCAACTTATCACGGAATCAGTTACAGAAAGTTCCACCAAAGTTACCGGCCAACTTCAAGCTGCTTCAAGGTATATCTTTATAACATTATATATGTATGGAGCAAGTTAACAACTCCATGGTAAACTCACATACTGTTGCGTTAGTGTACAGTGTGTCTGTCAACAGCTTCAAGATATATCCTTATAACATCACACATATATACAACATGACAACTGCTCCAATGTATATCCTTATAACATCACACACATATACAGCGTGTCATCTGTTCCAATGTTTATCCTTATAACATCACAAACATATACAGCGTGTCAGCTGTTCAAAGATATATCCTTATAACATCACACACATATACAGCGTGTCAACTGTTCCAAGATATATCCTTATAACATCACACACACATACAGCGTGTCAACTGTTCCAAGATATATCCTTATAACATCACACACATATACAGCGTGTCAACTGTTCCAAGATATATCCTTATAACATCACACACATATACAGCGTGTCAACTGTTCCAATGTATATCCTTATAACATCACACACATATACAGCGTGTCAACTGTTCCAAGATATATCCTTATAAAATCACAAACATATACAGCGTGTCAACTGTTCCGATGTATATCCTTATAACATCACACACATATACAGCGTGTCACCTGTTCCAATGTATATCCTTATAACATCACACACATATACAGCGTGTCAACTGTTCCAAGATATATCCTTATAACATCACACACATATACAGCGTGTCAACTGTTGCAATGTATATCCTTATAACATCACACACATATACAGCGTGTCAAGTGTTCCAAGATATATCCCTATAACATCACACACATATACAGCGTGTCAACTGTTCCAAGATATATTCTTATAACATCACACACATATACAGCGTGTCAATTGTTCCAATGTATATCCTTATAACATCACACACATATACAGCGTGTCAACTGTTCCAAGATATATTCTTATAACATCACACACATATACAGCGTGTCAACTGTTCCAAGAAATATCCTTATAACATCACACACATATACAGCGTGTCAACTGTTCCAAGATATATCCTTATAACATCACACACATATACAGCGTGTCAACTGTTCCAAGATATATCCTTATAACATCACACACATATACAGCGTGTCAACTGTTCCAATGTATATCCTTATAACATCACACACATATACAGCGTGTCAACTGTTCCAATGTATATCCTTATAACATCACACACATATACAGCGTGTCAACTGTTCCAAGAATATCATTATAACATCACACACATATAAAGCGTGACAACTGTTCCAAGATATATCCTTATAACATCACACACATATACAGCGTGTCAACTGTTCCAAGATATATCCTTATAACATCACACACATATACAGCGTGTCAACTGTTGCAATGTATATCCTTATAACATCACACACATGTACAGCGTGACAACTGTTCCAAGATATCCTTATAAAAACACACACATATACAGCGTGACAACTGCACCTTGATATGTCCTTATAATATCACACACATATACAGCGTGACAACTGCACCTTGATATATCCTTATAACATCACACACATATACAGCGTGATAACTGTTCCAAGATGTATCCTTATAACATCACACACCTATACAGCGTGTCAACTGTTCCAATGTTTAACCCCATATCACGGAGGTATAAATTACACACTGGTACAACAAATATTACAGAACAACTTGTCTACTACTTGTTTTGTGGAAATAACTAAAGTAATATGACTTGGTTAATGTCGTATACAATTGAGAGGCTCCGAGACTTCAATAATTTAAATTTTTATATTGATATCGGTTCTTCATGACTACATTTGAACGTAAATAGAAAGACTTTCGTTTGTTCATCACACATCTTGCACTTGCTTTTACTGTATTTACAAGTAGGCAGAATTTAGCAGTTTAAATATGTTTTGGATAAGTGTATTGCCGTAATTTTAAAACTCCAGAAAGGTATGCAAGTTTCTAGACTGAGATGTTTATATATATGTTGTTCTGGAGATGTATACTTTTTACACTGTGCACAACTTGTAACATATTCACCATAGTATATCATGCAATTTGTTTCAGAACTTAATCTGAGTCAAAACTTCCTATCTGAGTTACCAGGAGAAATGAGTTTGATGTCGGAACTGACTGCTTTGGACTTGTCAATGAATCGTCTCCGTGAAATACCACCAGTAATCTATCAGTTCGGTAACCTACAGGTGTTGAGGATAACCAGGAATGCAATTGTTGGTAATGTCAAATTTCCAACTCTTTGATGTTGATTTGTTACTAATAAAGTAAAAAACAAAACACCCACGTACTTTAAATAACACATATACTCAGGTAATATCTTAAACCTTTGTTATTTACACTTAAATATTTTATTCTTTTATCATGTATTATCTTGAATCAGAGTCACAAACAATTATTAATATTATGTTTTTTGTAAATTTATTTTATTTTTATTTAGCAAATAAATGTATTTTTTATGAAGTGATTCTGATGTTCTTGAGGATCCGATCTCTTTACCGATATCTGAAAAAGACTTTTATTTAAGAGAAGCAAATTTATTTCTATTTCTTTCTTCAGAAATTGATATGGATAGGCTAAGTCAGATGTCCTCTCTACAGGAAGTGGATCTTCGCGGTAATCCTCTGTCACCGGAAGTAAAGAGCAATCTTCTCGAGAGAAGATTTCGTGTGCTCATTGATGACGTCGAAGAGGAAGAAAGTATGAGTGTGGATTAAATCCTGATTCATACGTGTCATAATGAAGAAGAAAAAGAACACGCGCCAAGATTCGTCGGTTGTTACTAAGTTAAAGGCTTAATGTTTACTTTTTGATACACCATACAATTCCTAAATGTGATAATAAAATCATGCTTATTTGTATAAGGTTTTATTTCATTAGGGTAATCTATGTCGCTGAAATATTGATAAACAGAACATTGAATTCCATACGCCAATCAATATCCGTATGCAGTATTTTCATTGTTTACATCAGTATGTTAGATGTAAACACAATGGTATGAAAGGCGTTATATTCAATGATACTCTCTATTGTGAAATGAAATGTCCGCATTTTATTGGAACACAATCATTGTAATACAATTCCATATTTTCCTGTCGATATGCATTCTTGGAATTTATGTGGACAGTTTCAAACTTGTTGTGAATAGCGACAACCCTGCCGATCATTAACATTTAAGTGTGTTTGTACCGTTTTAATGTTTATATTTATATACTTGTCTGTGATGTTTGTGTATGATGGCAATGTTTACGTATTTCTCTTACCTTCCATTGTTTCATTACTCCATTGGAACAGATATAAATGCGTTGTAACCATTGCTGTTTTGTTGATACATTTCTGCTTGTGAAATAAAAAGAATTGGTTCACGTATAATCTATCGCATATCAGCTATTTATTGTTTGTAATATCTTATCAAGGGACATTATACAAGCAACGCTCTCATTGTATATTGGCGTTAGTTCGTTTTTACTATTTCTATAAACAATTATTAAAGCCCATATGCCAAACGTTGCGAAATACGCTTGCCTGTATAGTTCTCTTAACTATGTAAACCGAAACTCCTTCTCTCGCGACCCTAAAAACACTAAAAACTAATACTAAAAAGTTCATTAAATCTACCCGTGTAGCTGATTATTACAATATTCCTAGTTTCCCACACCCAGGAAAGATGTTCTCGGTCTCTCAAATTATATCAATTCAACGTTTTATACGATCCTTCTGTTTCTAGCAATCCAAGGTTTTCCACACTTTGATGACGGCCCCCTAACCAGATATGCTCCTGTTGTAATCGTCTATACCACTATTGGGTTTCCAGCACCTTGGAGAGAAGCTCCCACTACGTCGTCCCATATCATGTCTTGATTATTTGAGTCTTCATCGACTGGTAGATCATACGATCCAACAACTGGTTGTATATCAGCATTAGAAAAGTCACTTGGTACTAAATCAATTGAAGCCAAATCAGAACCACTTCTTTGTGGCTCTGTTTCACTTTCGTTTGGAATTTCTTTATTTTCTGCGCTGACAGAAGGACTCTCGATTTCATCAAGCACCCTTTCAAGAAACTCGTCTGAATTTTCATCGTTGGATTTTTTAAATCCCAATTTTCCCATTAACTCGTAGTCGATTTCATCTCTCTCACTTCTGTCACCATTTGTTGTACCGTCCATGGTCTTACTTACTTTATCGAGCATCTGACTTGGGTCATTAATGCCTCTTACGTCAATACCCAAATTATTAGTGAGATGATTCTTAAATGCAGTAATGAAATCGTCATCAAAATCGTCATCGTCGTCCTCCTCCTCCTCACTATCGTTATCAGAATTGCGGGCGTCACCATCAAGATCATCACTGTCGTCACCATCAAGATCATCATCTTCGACCGTTTCCTCCGAGAGTGATTCTGCATCTTGAATATCGTCTTCTTTATCCTCATCACTTTCCTCGTCCGCGTCCACTTCATTTGATTGTAATTCATCATCATCATCATCATCATCATCATCATCATCATCGTCATCGTCGTCGTCGTCGTCCACCGATTCTTCACTTGGAACATCCTCCAATACTTCTCCAGATGATTGCTCTGGTCTTGGAGAATTGTCATCTATATCACCTTCCTCCCTTTCTATCTCTTCAGATACATCCAAATCGTGATCATCAGTGTTATCGTGGTTTATAGAATTTAAATCCTCATTATCATCACCACTCTTGTCAGTATCTTCTTCAGCACTGTCATTTCCATCTGACTCAGCTTCAGTGTCATTCTCCAATTCGTCGTCATCAGTTTCAACTGAGGTTATTTCCTCTTCATCTTCATCGTCGTTATTGCCCTCGCCATTTGCATCATCATCATCTTCATTGTCATCATCGATTTCAACATTATCTTCTGTTGTATCGTTCACCTGTTCGAAGTCTGAAACGTTTCTGTCGTCATTATCATTATCATTATTTCCATCGTCAGCGTCTTCTTCATCTACGTCATCATTATTTCCATCGTCAACGTCTTCTTCATCTACGTCATCATTATTTCCATCGTCGACGTCTTCTTCATCTACGTCATCATTATTTCCATCGTCGACGTCTTCTTCATCTACGTCATCATTATTTCCATCGTCAACGTCTTCTTCATCTGCGTCATCGTTATTTCCATCGTCAACGTCTTCGTCATTTTCGTCATCATTATTTCCATCGTCAACGTCTTCTTCATCTACGTCATCATTATTTCCATCGTCAACGTCTTCGTCATTTTCGTCATCATTATTTCCATCGTCAACGTCTTCTTCATCTACGTCATCATTATTTCCATCGTCAACGTCTTCTTCATCTACGTCATCATTATTTCCATCGTCAACGTCTTCGTCATTTTCGTCATCATTATTTCCATCGTCGACGTCATCGTCATTTTCGTCATCATTATTTCCATCGTCGACGTCTTCTTCATCTACGTCATCATTATTTCCATCGTCAACGTCTTCTTCATCTACGTCATCATTATTTCCATCGTCAACGTCTTCGTCATTTTCGTCATCATTATTTCCATCGTCGACGTCATCGTCATTTTCGTCATCATTATTTCCATCGTCAACGTCTTCTTCATCTACGTCATCATTATTTCCATCGTCGACGTCTTCTTCATCTACGTCATCATTATTTCCATCGTCGACGTCTTCGTCATTTTCGTCATCATTATTTCCATCGTCGACGTCTTCTTCATCTGCGTCATCATTATTTCCATCGTCGACGTCTTCGTCATCATTATTTCCATCGTCAACGTCTTCGTCATTTTCTTCATCATTATTTCCGTCGTCGACGTCTTCTTCATCTACGTCATCATTATTTCCGTCGTCAACATCTTCTTCATCTACGTCATCATTATTTCCGTCGTCAACGTCTTCTTCATCTACGTCATCATTATTTCCATCGTCGACGTCTTCGTCATTTTCGTCATCATTATTTTCATCGTCAACGCCTTCTTCATTTACGTCATCATTATTTCCATCGTCGACGTCATTTACGTCATCATTATTTTCATCGTCGACGTCTTCGTCATTTACGTCATCATTATTTCCATCGTCGACGTCTTCGTCATTTACGTCATCATTATTTCCATCGTCAATGTCTTCGTCATTTACGTCATCATTATTTCCATCGTCGACGTCTTCGTCATTTACGTTATCATTATTTCCATCGTCGATGTCTTCGTCATTTACGTCATCATTATTTTCATCGTCAACATCTTCGTCATTTTCGTCATCATTATTTCCATCGTCGACGTCTTCGTCATTTACGTCATCATTATTTTCATCGTCAACGTCTTCGTCATTTTCGTCATCATTATTTCCATCGTCAACGTCTTCGTCATTTACGTCATCATTATTTCCGTCGACAACGTCTTCGTCATTTACGTCATCATTATTTCCATCGTCAACGTCTTCGTCATTTACGTCATCATTATTTCCATCGTTACTGTCATCATTGACATCGTCATCGTCATTATCATTATCATCATTTTCAGCACCATCGTCATCATTGGTGTCGTCGCTGCCATCATCATTAACATCGTCGTCATCATCGTTATCTGTATCGTCATCGTCGTCATCATCATCGTTATCTAAATCGTCATCGTCTTCATCATCTTCATTAGCATCGCCATTATCTGGACCATTATTATTAAAATTGTTACCACTCCCTGAAGGAGCTGTTTCAGTTTGTGAAGCATCAGGATTTACCGCTTCTACAGGGAGATCTCTCTGTAAAGCCTTTATTTCTGCTTCTAACTTAGACTGAGATGGACCAAGTTCTGCGTTGCTCCATGCACCCGGACGTGAGAGTACCGATTCCGGTTCAGTTCCGAATCCGAGAGAAGGTTGTGGAACTGAATTATCTGTGACTGAGTTAGCCTCTGCATCAGATGGTGTTTGTTGACCTGCTTTAGACGGACTGAGCTGGCTTCCTACGTAATATGTTTGTCCATCCGGTCCAACCACTGACATCGGTTGATCACGGTAAAAGAAATTGTTGTTGTTTTTGAAGCCAATGCGTCTCACGTTATTGTTTTGTACAGACGAAGCTACTTGTGGCAAACTGCTTTGTTGTTGAACTTCATTTTGTTCCCGAATCCAATCTGGTTGCTGAGTGAAGCTCTTGTGTTGGTCTAAAGGCTCAATAACTGAAATAAAGACAAGATCATAATAAGGTTTCGATATATCGTGGAATTGTCTGTTTAAAACGTTTGCATACCGATGGGACTTCGAAAACTACAGAAATGTCTAGTAATTATGATATCTTTACAGTGACATACCAGGTGAAGTTCTAGATCAGTAGTCTGTAAATAAATTTTCATTCTATAAGTAAATGTGACCTTCCATCAGTAGTTTATTGGAACTTTTCATACTAATTTAAATATGTCACATCGCTGCGACATGGAATTGCAAAGCATGGTGAAATGAACCGAGGTCAAAATAGCGTTATGATGAAATGAATCTTCCGTGACATTTATATTCTATTTTCAATATTTACAATGAAAAACCGTCATAAATTAATTCGCTTTAATCATGTGTCCTTTTAAAGTATAACTTGTTTGGCAACATGGTCTAATTTGCCGTGTGAATTAACAATCAACGTTAGTTAAGAATTGGTAACTGACGAGAGTGAGCTATTTTTGAACAGGTATGCTACATCTGTGTGGTGTCATCTGTCCTGTTCCATCGATATCATCTCCAGCTTGAGTAGCTGTGCACAATAAAATTCCTCTATCAAATGTCAGTCCGACTTATTGAATGATTAGACAATCCATTACGTAGTGTTTCCGTGCGTGTTTACATACTGCTAATGAGGTAATAAACGGCCAAGTCAAAGGCCATGTCGTCACTGTAGACGGAAATATCACGTCTCGTTTGTTACTCGTCTAATTCACTGTGATTTAATGATTATGTGTTTATAGTGTTTTCATCTGTTTTAAGTGTCCGTGAAACTGTACTCATTATATTAACGGTTTTCAAACACAGAATATTTGGTACAAAAAAAATATCTCTCTTTTAGGACGAAATGCATCCTGGGTCTCTATATAGTGTTTACTTCTGGTGTTGTTGGACGACTGACACAAGTTGATCTTTACAAGTTCTGATTTAGACCGATGTCTTTTTAATTTGCAACACGGTGATTCATGACGATGTTAGGTCAAAATTCCTTGCATTCCATGTAACACTTCACAGAACCATCGAATCAAATTTTAGGTACTGAGAAATTGATTTACAAATCATAATTTTTCACAGTTTTATCTTCTACATTTGTATTGAAATGTGATCTTATATCTTTTGTATAATCCTTACCTGGATCCACCCAGTTAGCAACAGACTGTTGTTGAACGGGTAAAGCTGTAACCAGGACCCCAAGGGAACCACACAAACACAACCACGTGATGACTGACATGACGAAAACCTGCAATCAAAATAAAATACGCGTTACTTGTCAACCACAATGCTGTGAAATAGATAAATAATATGTGTGTTCGTTTGGTGCTCTGATTACTAGAAATCATAGTTATCTATTAAAACAGTTTTTATTTCACACGAAATTTACACATATATAACATAAGGATTAACAAGCGTAGTAGTTTTATTAGTTATTAGCGGTTATGGATTGCTGTTATTAATTATATATATTAAATCGGAACAAAATTTCGTATACACCTTGACCTCAGGTAGGGGTCATGACCTCATATTCATGTTCTAAGTAAGGTAACTGAATCAGGCTGACGTTGTCCGTTTTTGTCTGTTCACAGGTAACACCCTTGAATTGACTTTAAGTCTAGTTTTTATCAACAAAATCGCACTCTATGACGCGTTTTCTTTCATCATTCTTGCAGAGAATAGATAAAAAATTTAATAAAGAGTGCAATCTATCTTATACTTCCTGGTGGTATTTTTTCCATGGACACACCTCTGACGGGTGTACGTGTAATGCATTAATGCAGTACCAATTGATTAACGTCAATGATAAATTGTGATAGTAACCACTCACAATCTTATATTAGTCAGCGAAATGCCCCTGACAATAAACAGGTGAATGCAAATTACGACTTTAGTTATATCTACCTCTGACATTTAACACCTACCTTTATCTAATAATAAATCACAGGTGTTGTTCATGTCCTGGTGACAGGTTAAAAAGTCAAATTTTCTAATTAGCACACAATTAAGTAATTAACTGTTTAACGAGGAATTTGTATGAAAATGTTCAGTAATATATTATACACTTCCGGAAAACTTAAGGTCGTCATGACACGATGTTCGGTTGTGAGACGCCAGTTTTATCGCCATTTAAGTTGTAGTGTATTTAACCTTGAATTAGGCATAGTTACATTACACTGACACCAACGTGATGCTTTCGGAACACACGTGTAAATATTCAAGCTCTGTTGATCATAGCAAACCCTATTGTACTTGACATTAACAAAAGGTATAGTCAAACCCTTTTCGAATGACTCTTACTTTCAGTTCAACTAGGAAAAAACTTACATGTAAACGGAGTCTTAATTCTTTAAATCTATTAAAAAAGGGTGCAAAATTTAGAGTAAGGTAAAAAGGATAATGAGACAGGGTGTTCCGGAAGGGTAATCGTCTTCTGCCTTTTTTATCTTTACAATAAGAAATGTCATATTCTCAAATCAGAAACAAGCTGATAACAACTGGTAGATAAACTATAACGAACATTGAACACATCTATATGGCATGTGTAAATAATATATTGATTACAATTGTCATCATTTTAACAGTCATCGCATTGGCGATGAATTCTACGACCAACTTGAATGTTTTACACAGCAAAACTTTGTTTGTTAAGATAGGAAATTATTGTTCACTAAGAACATTAAAAGGTTACATATCTTTATAACAATATTTGTCATCCTTGTCACTGATCTCCGAAGGTGTATGTATATATTCTAAATTTCTTACTATGATCACTCGGTACTATATTGTATATAACTGTAATTATGATATTTTGTGGAATAGAAGTGAGCTGAACTATACCGAATTGACTAGTTTGATACAAAATTGAAACGGAACGAACTGGATCAGCTGGACCAAGATTGAAAAAACATTTATTACCACTGTAATAAACACTATTATCACTGTAATAAACAATATTACCACTGTAATAAACACTATTATCACTGTAATAAACAATATTACCACTGCAATAAACAATATTACCACTGTAATAAACAATATTACCACAGCAATGAACACGATTATCACTGTAATGAACAATATTACCACTGTAATAAACAATATTACCACTGCAATAAACACTATTACCACTGTAATAAACAATATTACCACTGTAATAAACACTATTACCACTGTAATAAACAATATTACCACTGCAATGAACACGATTATCACTGTAATGAACAATATTACCACTGCAATAAACAATATTACCACTGTAATAAACAATATTACCACTGCAATAAACACTATTACCACTGTAATAAACAATATTACCACTGTAATGAACACTATTACCACTGTAATGAACAATATTACCACTGCAATGAACACTATTACCACTGCAATGAACACTATTACCACTGTAATAAACAATATTACCACTGCAATAAACACTATTACCACTGTAATAAACAATATTACCACTGTAATGAACACTATTACCACTGCAATGAACACTATTACCACTGTAATAAACAATATTACCACTGTAATAAACAATATTACCACTGTAATGAACAATATTACCACTGTAATAAACACTATAAACACTATTACCACTGCAATATTACCACTGTAATTAACAATATTACCACTGTAATAAACACTATTACCACTGTAATGAACAATATTACCACTGTAATGAACAATGAACACTATTACCACTGTAATGAACACTATTACCACTGTAATGAACAATATTACCACTGTAATAAACAATATTACCACTGCAATAAACACTATTACCACTGTAATAAACACTATTACCACTGTAATAAACAATATTACCACTGTAATGAACAATATTACCACTGCAATGAACACTATTACCACTGTAATGAACACTATTACCACTGTAATGAACACTATTACCACTGTAATGAACAATATTACCACTGCAATGAACACTATTACCACTGTAATGAACACTATTACCACTGTAATGAACAATATTACCACTGTAATAAACAATATTACCACTGCAATAAACACTATTACCACTGTAATAAACAATATTACCACTGTAATAAACAATATTACCACTGCAATAAACAATATTACCACTGTAATGAACACTATTACCACTGTAATAAACAATATTACCACTGTAATAAACAATATTACCACTGTAATGAACAATATTACCACTGCAATAAACACTATTACCATTGTAATGAACAATATTACCACTGCAATGAACACTATTACCACTGTAATAAACAATATTACCACTGCAATAAACACTATTACCACTGTAATAAACAATATTACCACTGTAATGAACACTATTACCACTGTAATGAACAATATTACCACTGCAATGAACACTATTACCACTGCAATGAACACTATTACCACTGTAATAAACAATATTACCACTGCAATAAACACTATTACCACTGCAATAAACACTATTACCACTGTAATAAACACTATTACCATTCTAATGAACAATATTACCACTGCAATGAACACTATTACCACTGTAATGAACAATATTACCACTGTAATGAACAATATTACCACTGTAATAAACAATATTACCACTGCAATAAACACTATTACCACTGTAATAAACACTATTACCAATGTAATGAACAATATTACCACTGCAATGAACAATATTACCACTGTAATGAACAATATTACCACTGCAATAAACACTATTACCACTGTAATGAACAATATTACCACTGTAATAAACAATATTACCACTGTATAAACAATATTACCACTGTAATGAACACTATTACCACTGTAATGAACATTATTACCACTGTAATAAACAATATTACCGCTGTAATAAACAATATTACCACTGTAATAAACAATATTACCACTGTAATGAACAATATTACCACTGTATAAACAATATTACCACTGTAATGAACACTATTACCACTGTAATGAACAATATTACCACTGCAATGAACAATATTACCACTGTAATAAACACTATTACCACTGTAATGAACAATATTACCACTGCAATAAACACTATTACCACTGTAATGAACACTATTACCACTGTAATGAACACTATTACCACTGTAATGAACAATATTACCACTGCAATAAACAATATTACCACTGTAATGAACAATATTACCACTGCAATAAACACTATTACCACTGTAATGAACACTATTACCACTGTAATAAACAATATTACCACTGTAATGAACAATATTACCACTGTAATGAACAATATTACCACTGTAATGAACATTATTACCACTGTAATAAACAATATTACCGCTGTAATAAACAATATTACCACTGTAATAAACACTATTACCACTGTAATGAACAATATTACCACTGTAATGAACATTATTACCACTGTAATAAACACTATTACCACTGTAATGAACACTATTACCACTGTAATAAACAATATTACCACTGTAATGAACATTATTACCACTGTAATAAACAATATTACCACTGTAATAAACACTATTACCACTGTAATGAACAATTTTACCACTGTAATAAACACTATTACCACTGTAATGAACACAATTGAATAGCGACGCGCAAGATCATATCAATTAATAATGCGTTCTCATTCTCCTGTAAAAACAGTTTGATGGAGATCATCAAAGGAGATCATTATTTTATTGTTTCTTAAGTGATACAAATGAGTGTGTCAGATGTATACAAACCTACAGTGTTGTCTAAAATGTGACATGTGAATGGTCGAGATTTATTGGTTTTTTTGTAATTGATTGAAGGATCCATTTATATGTACGACGAGTTGTGAAGATGTGTCAGGTGTTGTATACGCGTTGAATTGTAATTTGATACAATTAGTTATGTTGTATAAGAAAATGTAGAGCATATTGATTCTAAAGAATATAACAAGTCAGAAAGAAAATGCATAATTAAATATTCTGAAACTGCAATTACTCTTTTTAATAAAAGCATGCATATTTCTGTTTTTCTTACTAGGTTTCATATATTCTACTCGTTAAAGAAACAATATTTAATAGATTCTACTCGTTCCAGAAACAAGATTTAATAGATTCTACTCGTTACAGAAACAAGATTTAATAGATTCTACTCGTTACAGAAACAAGATTTAATAGATTCTACTCGTTACAGAAACACGGTTTCATAGATTCTACTCGTTACAGAAACAAGATTTAATAGATTCTACTCGTTAAAGAAACAATATTTAATAGATTCTACTCGTTCCAGAAACAATATTTAATAGATTCTACTCGTTACAGAAACAAGATTTAATAAATTCTACTCGTTACAGGAACACGGTTTTATAGATTCTACTCGTTACAGAAACAAGATTTAATAGATTCTACTCGTTACAGAAACAAGATTTCATAGATTCTACTCGTTACAGAAACAAAATTTAATAAATTCTACTTGTTACAGAAACAAGATTTCATAGATTCTACTCGTTACAGAAACAAGGTTTCATAGATTCTCGTCACAAAAACATTATATTGTTTATACATTTCAACTTAAAACCGCTAACACTGATATACAACTAAATATGCGCACAGGTTACTCAATAGTTTCTTTCATGATGTTTGAAAAGTGCTTAATCTTACAAAGCTGAGTAGGAGGATAAGTCTTATCTAAATGATAATGTTAATCAGCAAAAATTTGTTATGATAGATTAATAATAAGCAATTTTACGGCTTATTTTATCACAATATAAAAGAATTACATTTCGAATTTGAATACATGGTCTTTTGCTGCCTTGGTGATTCCAATAACAATATTGTGTCATAAGAAGTTATAACTTTACTCTATACATGTCTAGTAATGCACAATGTCAACTTTTGTACAAATATGTAACATTTAGCCATTTTAGCGTACATGTAATTCTGTGTCGGTCATGAGTCATTAAGGAATAAACACGTTACTTCATAAGTTAGACATAAAATAATACAGACTTTATAAACAACCAATGTCATTTTAAAATCTGTAAAACGTGTATTTCCTTAACTTATACTATAAACATGCACGCGGATGTAATATGTACGAGTTATCGAGCCATGGCACATGTCCAAACAAAATGAATGTTCCTGAGCTGAAAAAAATCCAAATTGTATTGTTCGCAGGAGTGAATGACACATCGACATTGCTAGTTTTTTTTTCTATCAGTAACATGCATTCAGACAGTCTCGTAATAAACTACGATTATAGAAATACGTTGAACAGGTACAATTAAGTAATTTACACGAGACATTAACGACGATGTTTTACGTATGAAATCCGGGGTTTTACTGTTTTCCAACTACTAAAACATGACACAGTTCATTAGTAAATTTGAAAGAATATTATAATTACAGCTCAAAAAAAGTTATTTTAAGAATAATAAAAAAATTACTTAATAAGCTGCTAAAACCTCCACTGATAAACATTAGAAGACACGGAAGTGAGCCTACCTGTGTGTTGCGGTATACTCCTTGCTCTGTGGGACTGGTCTACCTACCTCAGGAAACCTCTTCACTATATATACACTAATGGTATCTTACCTGATAGGTTACCTACAATATGACGCGCTAATGAGCTCACGAGATAGTCGATGACTAAATGGTGTTCAAGTGTAAGGTGACGTACCCTTAATAGAAAAGACCGCACTGTCAATACGTAAAAGACAGGTTCAGAATATAGAATATACATACCTTCTGGCATTGTCAGTTACGAACAAATTACAAAAGATATTGGAATTTTAAGTCTAGAGCATCTCCCAGGCTAGATTTGACATTTTTTCCTTCGATTTTTACTTAACTCATTTGTATCCAAAGTTTCAAAATTTTGGCCCAGAGCATCACTGGCGAATTTTTTGTGGTGTTTAATTCACTATTTGGCTCTATTGTATCTAATTCTAAATTTGTATTGAAATATGCCTTCTACTTGAGTTTCTTTTGTACAATGATAAAATTGATTCAAGGACCTAAACATCGCGTAGACCTAATCAAAAACAAATCCTACAAAAACATTTGCAATTATAAAGGTAAATATGATGGTTTCGTTTTCTTTGCAAAGATTAGGTCTATACAAAGCTTACTCTGAAGATTTTCGATTAACATAATTTCAATTTCTCAATCCCAGTCACAAGATTTCCATGACAGATATTGACTTATTTCAAGAGATGCATGTTGGTTAAGATAATAGAATTTAAGAATGTATTGTCTTAAAAAATCCATTGGGAAGTCATATATTTGCGTTTGCTGTCTCATGGTTCCGTCTTCACCCTTTCTGATCCTGATTTTATAGAACTAAATGTTATTTGGATACAAGCCCATCGTATGTATATTTCTTTCGTTCATAGTCCGAGTTTATCAGTTATAGTTATGTTGACAATGCAAAATTTACTTACGGAACACCCTGCAGCTGGGCCCGTATTCATGAAACCGTTCTCATGCTCAAGCATGAATTTTGTGCTCATGCCTTATGTCTTATTTAAATTTAAAAAATAATAAATAAGGTTGATTTTGCAAAAGATTTAAAAAAAAAATGAAAGGACTTAAAGTCAAAGTTATATTCAAAGTTTATATTTGACATTTGTATTATTTATATGGTTTAGGAGAATTACAAAAAAAGTTTGCTTGAGCACAAGATCTATGCTGGAGTATTCTTGCTCATTCTTTGCCCTAGTTTTATTGGATACATTAATATGGATTACATGTTCACGCTATTTCATTTCATCTTCATAGGAATAAAATAAGTTTATTCTGCTGTCGTTAATAACCTTGAAAATAAGATATGCTTGTGGGTAGTAAATGACCTTTCTTTATTCTAATCAAACAATATTGAACATCTTTCCTGATCTTGTTCTGAATGTGATTACATTCCGTGATAGACTAACCCATAAACCACTTTCTCGATTCCCATCAGCAGGCCGACCACGTCCCATATCCCATCATGTCTCCTCGTCTCATTTTAATTGTCGTGCTAATGAGATCGGCTAGCCACGACAGGAGTTCCTTCCTCCCAATAAATATATGATTTCACGACACGTCATTTTGCAATGGTGTAGTTATATTCTTGGACAAAATGTTATATTTATAGTAGGCCATGATGATGCAAGACATGCTGAACACGTCTGAACATTTGATTGAACTCTGTGTACCATAGACCGAAAATGTCTGTCTCTTAAATGATAATTTGATGTCAATATTCCCATTCATTGTTGTTATTGATATTTACATTTTTATTGGCTGTGCTCATTCTAAAATGAAATGTATCAATAACAGTATAATAAATGTAAATATTGACATTAAATTATCATCTTAAATACAGAATTCTTTGGTCTACGTGAACAAAAGAAAAACGTCCTTGTACCTACAGGGGAGATTAGAAGTTATATGAAATTTATCAACCAGACGTATGTTATTTTATCTATTGAACAAAATGTTTGAAGACGGCGAATCATTAGATATCAAATGCCTTGTGTATAGGAGACTAGAATGCAGGAGATTGGAGACAGACAACAAAGGTGAATTAGCGTCATCGCGTTGTTCAGTCAACAAAATAAGTTAGTGTTGATTTTTGCCTAATAGAATGGGTTGTGGAGAAGGTCCTGTTTTATAATACTAGGTAGATATGAACGGTTAATGTGTAGGAGTCCGATAGAAGGAAAGCAGGGAAATTGCAGAGTAAAACAAGAAAAAAAATTATGGCGTCATAAGACATATTTATTAACAGCTTTCGAAATATTACTTCCTCAAAAAGATGTACAATTACCCTGTACAGATAACAGGTGTCGGCTAAATCTGACATCTCGTAAACAGACTAAATATACATAAAACATTTCTGACATATTGTTACAGGTCCCTGTTGGTACACAGGAAGCAGTTCAGGAGTGCCGCATCCATGGACAAAAAGTATACATTCTGTCCAATCCTCACGTTTATCACAAAACGGACCAAGTTGACTTTTACATAATATTTAATACATAGATAATCAGAAGAATTAGAAAAAATACAAAAGTATATCATGTAAACATATTTTGTTTAAATGGACTAATTAACTGATAGCTGACGTCTGTCCAGTTGATTTTATTAATTTGTAACATTTAGTGACTAGAAAACCTCCAAGTCAACTGCACCAGAAATAAATAGAACACAAGTGTGCCATTTTTCTACGTTGTGTTACTGCAGTAACATCCATATGACCCCTTCTCTTGTATTGGCAGACTATCTTCACACCTACAATATAATCTGCAGCATGGTAGTGTAGACTGTATGTTATAATAGAGCGTTGACATAGCCAAGATAGTGAACATTTTGTGGCCGTAATTTTAATAAAACCACGCTCCAATATTAAGTCTTTAATATAAAGACGTGATCTATGTTTATGAAATTCCTTTTAAAAAAGTACCACTAAAACATACTACGTTAAAAATGATTTCTAATTTTGATGGTATGATGATAACCGGCATAGTTCTGTAGACCTCCAGCATGTGTACATCAGGCTTTCAAACTCAAGTCATATATGCACAAAGTGTTAATCATATGTTTACCAAACTTTCCCAGATGAAGTTGATGCTCAAGTTATTCTCATCCTGGGTAAAAAAGCTTGTTCTACAACAGGATACCTGTATATTGTACTGGAATAGGTTTGACCATCCACCCATGGATATGCATACTGTTTAAAGCTTGTCTGTATACAGGGTTTTGGTCTATATTACACTGAAGATTACTTCTGTATGTACCACTGAAATTCCTTGGATTCCAGATATATGTGAGGTTACAAATGAAGTTGTCTGTAACACATTCTATAAATATACTGGTATCCAATAACAATACTTACCATATATGGTCATCAATGGTTCAGCAAGTGCATTGTACTTGAGTAGAAAACTCTGAATGTATAAATGTCTAAATCAGCCCGCACAAGTTTGAGAGTGATGCCGACTAATATTACCATGTAGTGTGACATGTCCATGCTATCCTGTTAGGTGTGATTGAATCTGATAGCAGTATGAGAGACGATGTTTATAACAAATATAAATTATGTGTGATTGAACTACTATATCTGATGTGTTACCTTACTTGATACATTAATGTACCAGTAAGGAGGTTTTTCCTACTGAACGTTTACTGTCTATAACACCAAGAACAGTTGTGCTGTACAGCCGAACATTAAACATTCAGGAAAACGATAAACAAATATCACTCATAGCAGGTGTACACAGCCAAAACACTTATCACAAGTACAGCAAGCTCTAAACAGCGTACAAGATAAATTCATCGACTGGTAATGACAAAGAAAAATTTAATCTCATAAATTTGCAAGGACAGAAAGAGTTGGTGCCATATACAAGTAGTTCTTAGCTAAAATGTTAGGAAGACAAAGAGTTAAATCTTTAAGTTCAAATCACAATCACTCTTCATACATACAGTATGGTGCATTCAGTCAGATTATTTCACCAATTTTAAGGAAATCACAATCACATAGCATGTCTTTAATTACTCAGTAAGAAAAAATTAATTTATACATATCAAACACCAACAAAACTAGTTGCCTTGATTAGTTTATAAAACTGACACAGAAAAGTCAGGTACATGAATGTACACAACTTTACAAATCTTTCAAGCCAGCTGAAAAAAAATTATTACCTCAAGTCAGTTTTGGTATTTGACATGTAAATATTCTTTCTTTAAAAGCTTTTTGTTTCATGACAAAAATTATGAAACCTCTATAGCAATCTTGTTCTAATCTTAATACAATTACTTGCAATTTAAGGGAGTCAAAAATATTATAAATTTTATTAATTTACTTTCAGGAAGAGTTTTCTAAGACAAAATAGGCAGCTGAAAAGTAAATTTAAGCATACAGAGCAAGTAAATATGAACAGATGTAGTAATGGATTTCCAACGCCTATCAGACCAGGTTTGGAATGTTGTAACTGGTTTCCTTTAATTAAAACCATCAAACCCTTTTTCACATGGACACCGTCAAGATGTGAATGTGCTCATGATTTTTTATATTTTTCTGATGAAGAAATTACATTTGTGATAAAATCTCACTTATACCATTTACATGAAAAGCTTCATTTTTTTTTTTACAGAAAATTTGTTTGTCTTGGATGATATTACTTGGATATCATTGACATTTTATGGTGTTGGAGTGTGCATTACTAATGCTTTATGTATCCACCATGCTAATACATCTGTAACATTACTCCAACAGATCATTTAGATCTGTTTTCTGAGCTCTGCAGAGGGTTCAACTGATTCTCCAATTCCTTAGACTTCTGGGTAATTCTGGTAACCAGGTGGTGCCATGGTTTCAGTCATTCTTGTGGGTCATTGGTGGAAACTCATTATCATCATCCAGTCGGAGTTGACCAAGGCCTGGAGAGCCACTGCCATCACCACCCATAGCACCTTGATCCACCTCCTGGTAAGGCTGGGACTCTGTAAGGCAGAGAACATCAATCAACATCAGCCAAAACAATAATCTGAATTTATAGCTAGTGTAGGATCAGGTTTCCAATCATAGATAATTTTGGTCAAATTTTCTTGAAATATATACATGTGTTGTATTGAAGATAAAAATGTATATGACATCATCTAATAAGCCTACAACAGCTATACAATAATATATCAACAAAATTATAAATCTGAAAGGATTTGATATTACAACAATCTTCAAATACATTATTGTTCTCAACATTGTCAGTAGAAAAAAACATTCATGCAGAAAAGCTGGTATGTCAGCCCAGTCAGCTGTTCTCCTGTACCCTGTGAATACACATTGTAGACATGTTTCCTACCAGAAAGATACGAAGATATACTGGTACCACCAGACAAGGCAAACCAAAATGCCAGTGTTTCCTGTTCCAATCCCAACATTCTTTCCTCTGACCTTAAAATACATTTACTCCTATTTTTCTGTTGTTTTTGCTGTTTGGTTACCAATAACAACCTTATTTTCATTGATCCTGAAAGGCTTCCCTAACTCGAACTTTTTCAAATCTGGCATCTTTCTCCACTGATGAACTGTCCTATATTAGTGTTGAAAGAGTCCACAATTCCAAATTTTTAAATGTACATATATGATAAATCAACAGAAAAATATTGAAAAAATCCCTAAATTTACAGTGCTGAAACAGGAAACCAAATCGTTCTTTTCTCTCACCACCATTTAGCCTGCATTAAGACTGAAGCTTTCCAGGTTACAGAATACCCATCCAGCCCTTTACAATAAAGATGAAGCAAGGATGCTGAACAAGATGCTAAGCACCTACTGTATTTGCAATACCAGGCCCCACTTGTATAAAACATCTCAACTTGAGATTTCCTCAAGTTGAGATTTTCCTCAGCTGATATCTCCTCAAAAACGGCTTGTATAAAATTTTCTCAAGGAACAGGAGGAAGTCATCGGCTAGGATGTCCTGAAATTCCTTGAGGAATTTTCATACAAGATATTTTCAAGGAGGTATTAGCTGAGTAAAATCTCGACTTGAGGAAATCTCAAGTTGAGATGTTTTATACAAGTGGGGCCAGATTAGCTTCTATTTACCACTCTTGACATCAGGTAAAGTATTTGAATCAGAATTGGTGAACAAATCTGCAAGTACTATCACTTCAATATTGTAAACAATGCTGTAACCATAGCAACAGAAATAGATTGTAAAAAGTATCTGTGTATCTCTCATGCATAATATATACATGCTGAAATAAGATAGAAAAAAAGGGGAAAAAACCACTGCTTGATTTATACACAATATATTGTATTAAATAAAATATGTGTGACCAGATCTCTCTTCCGTTCAATTTTTTACTAAGTAAGAAAACTACAAAACACACTTAAGATCGTTATTTCAGATTGATTTCAATTAATAGCATGTAATCACCTTAGATATGTAGGCAACATCAAAATAAGGATATGGAAATCCTGTAATTCTCAAAATTCACTAAAATAAAAAATTACACTTTTTGTTCGGTACCGTGATTACATTCTGAATACCTGGTAGCACCTGAACTTTATGAGAAACTGAACCAAAGCAAAATTTTAAGTTCCTTCTTTTCTTGTAAATGGAAGTGTTCAGCTGTTCACTAAACTCCTTCTTTTCTTGTAAATGGATGTGTTCAGCTGTTCACTAAACTCCTTCTTTTCTTGTAAATGGATGTGTTCAGGTGTTCACTAAACTCCTTCTTTTCTTGTAAATGGATGTGTTCAGGTGTTCACTAAACTCCTTCTTTTCTTGTAAATAGATGTGTTCAGGTGTTACTATACACTAAGTCTGGATAAAGCAATAATTGAACTGCGGTATGAAACAGCCAGAATATATATAAAGTAGCGATTTATGCAAAGTAGCAAATGGTGTTAAATATGCCCAAACAGATATATAAAATTTGCCAATATAGTCCTGCATCTTAAAGCAGTACATCGCTTCCTATATCTTTATTGCAATCTGCGCATATCAATAAGGATTAAAGTCGTACATGAACAGCATATAGATCAATACAGACATACTGTTACATGCTTCAAGAATAATAACACAGATACTTTGTCTTAAAATGCATCACATAATATATTGTACAGAAAACAAGTTAACTGCCTATCTACCTAAAATGACAGTTAATAACACTTAACCAAACAGCCTCTCCCCAAACATTCTAAGTATCGGTATGTTAATGTGTGTGTGAACAGCCCCTTCCTAACATTCTCAGTGTGTTAATGTGTGTGTGAACAGCCCCTCCCCTAACATTCTCAGTGTGTCAATGTGTGTGTGAACAGCCCCTTCCTAACATTCTCAGTGTGTTAATGTGTGTGTGAACACGTTCTCCATGTAACATTCTCAGTGTGTTAATGTGTGTGTGAACAGCCCCTCCCCTAACATTCTCAGTGTGTTAATGTGTGTGTGAACAGGTTCTTCATGTAACATTCTCAGTGTGTTAATGTGTGTGTGAACAGCCCCTCCCCTAACATTCTCAGTGTGTTAATGTGTGTGTGAACAGCCCCTTCCTAACATTCTCAGTGTGTTAATGTGTGTGTGAACACGTTCTCCATGTAACATTCTCAGTGTGTTAATGTGTGTGAACAGGTTCTTCATGTAACATTAATAGTGTGTTCATGTGTGTGTGAACAGCCCCTTCCTAACATTCTCAGTGTGTTAATGTGTGTGTGAACAGGTTCTTCATGTAACACTCTCAGTATATTAATGTGTGTGTGAATAGGATCTTCATGTAGCATTCTCAGTGTGTTAATGTGTGTGTGAACAGCCCCTCCCTAACATTCTCAGTGTGTTAATGTGTGTGTGAACAGGTTCTCCATGTAACATTCTCAGTGTGTTAATGTGTGTGTGAACAGGTTCTCCATGTAACATTCTCAGTGTGTTAATGTGTGTGTGAACAGGTTCTCCATGTAACATTCTCAGTGTGTTAATGTGTGTGAACAGGTTCTCCATGTAACATTCTCAGTGTATTAATGTGTGTGAACAGGTTCTCCATGTAACATTCTCAGTGTGTTAATGTGTGTGAACAGGTTCTTCATGTAACATTCTCAGTGTGTTAATGTGTGTGTGAACAGGTTCTTCATGTAACATTCTCAGTGTGTTTATGTGTGTGAACAGGTTCTTCATGTAACATTCTCAGTGTGTTAATGTGTGTGAACAGGTTCTTCATGTAACATTCTCAGTGTGTTTATGTGTGTGTGAACAGCCCCTTCCTAACATTCTCAGTGTGTTAATGTGTGTGAACAGATTCTTCATGTAACATTCTCAGTGTGTTAATGTGTGTGAACAGGTTCTTCATGTAACATTCTCAGTGTGTTTATGTGTGTGTGAACAGCCCCTCCCCTAACATTCTCAGTGTGTTAATGTGTGTGAACAGGTTCTTCATGTAACATTCTCAGTGTGTTAATGTGTGTGTGAACAGCCCCTCCCCTAACATTCTCAGTGTGTTAATGTGTGTGTGAACAGCCCCTCCCCTAACATTCTCAGTGTGTTAATGTGTGTGTGAACAGCCCCTCCCCTAACATTCTCAGTGTGTTAATGTGTGTGTGAACAGCCCCTTCCTAATATTCTCGGTGTGCTAATGTGTGTGTGAACAGCCCCTCCCCTAACATTCTCAGTGTGTTAATGTGTGTGTGAACAGGTTCTTCATGTAACATTCTCAGTGTGTCAATGTGTGTGTGAACAGCCCCTCCCCTTACATTCTCAGTGTGTTAATGTGTGTGTGAACAGCCCCTCCCCTAACATTCCCTGTGTGTTAATGTGTTTGTGAACAGCCCCTCCCCTAACATTCTCAGTGTGTTAATGTGTGTGTGAACAGCCCCTCCCCTAACATTCTCAGTGTGTTAATGTGTGTGAACAGATTCTTCATGTAACATTCTCAGTGTGTTAATGTGTGTGAACAGGTTCTTCATGTAACATTCTCAGTGTGTTTATGTGTGTGTGAACAGCCCCTCCCCTAACATTCTCAGTGTGTTAATGTGTGTGAACAGGTTCTTCATGTAACATTCTCAGTGTGTTAATGTGTGTGTGAACAGCCCCTCCCCTAACATTCTCAGTGTGTTAATGTGTGTGTGAACAGCCCCTCCCCTAACATTCTCAGTGTGTTAATGTGTGTGTGAACAGCCCCTCCCCTAACATTCTCAGTGTGTTAATGTGTGTGTGAACAGCCCCTTCCTAATATTCTCGGTGTGTTAATGTGTGTGTGAACAGCCCCTCCCCTAACATTCTCAGTGTGTTAATGTGTGTGTGAACAGCCCCTCCCCTAACATTCTCAGTGTGTTAATGTGTGTGTGAACAGGTTCTTCATGTAACATTCTCAGTGTGTTTATGTGTGTGTGAACAGCCCCTCCCCTAACATTCTCAGTGTGTTAATGTGATTGTGAACAGGTTCTTCATGTAACATTCTCAGTGTGTCAATGTGTGTGTGAACAGCCCCTCCCCTTACATTCTCAGTGTGTTAATGTGTGTGTGAACAGCCCCTCCCCTAACATTCCCTGTGTGTTAATGTGTTTGTGAACAGCCCCTCCCCTAACATTCTCAGTGTGTTAATGTGTGTGTGAACAGCCCCTCCCCTAACATTCTCAGTGTGTTAATGTGTGTGTGAACAGCCCCTTCCTAACATTCTCAGTGTGTTAATGTGTGTGTGAACAGCCCCTCCCCTAACATTCTCAGTGTGTTAATGTGTGTGTGAACAGGTTCTTCATGTAACATTCTCAGTGTGTTTATGTGTGTGTGAACAGCCCCTCCCCTAACATTCTCAGTGTGTTAATGTGTGTGAACAGGTTCTTCATGTAACATTCTCTGTGTGTTAATGTGTGTGTGAACAGGTTCTTCATGTAACATTCTCAGTGTGTTAATGTGTGTGTGAACAGCCCCCCCTAACATTCTCAGTGTGTTAATGTGTGTGTGAACAGCCCCTCCCCTAACATTCTCAGTGTGTTAATGTGTGTGTGAACAGCCCCTTCCTAACATTCTCAGTGTGTTAATGTGTGTGTGAACAGCCCCTCCCCTAACATTCTCAGTGTGTTAATGTGTGTGTGAACAGGTTCTTCATGTAACATTCTCAGTGTGTTTATGTGTGTGTGAACAGCCCCTCCCCTAACATTCTCAGTGTGTTAATGTGTGTGAACAGGTTCTTCATGTAACATTCTCTGTGTGTTAATGTGTGTGTGAACAGGTTCTTCATGTAACATTCTCAGTGTGTTAATGTGTGTGTGAACAGCCCCTCCCCTAACATTCTCAGTGTGTTAATGTGTGTGTGAAAAGCCCCTCCCCTAACATTCTCAGCGTGTTAATGTGTGTGTGAAAAGCCCCCTCCCTTCTCACATTCTTCGTGAGTTAATGCATGAATGAAAACACTCTTTCTGTAACAATCTAAGTGTGTTAATGTATGTATGAACAGCCCCTCCCTTTACATTCTCAGTATGTTGATGATTGAATGAACAGCTCCACCCCTCTAACAACAATAGGTGTCATATGACTGGCAGGCATACTTGCACAAGGAATAATCCTAAAGAAACATAAGACAATGAAATGTTATTGAATAATGAGCAAATGAATTCTGTTTTAAAAATAGCACTACGTAATTCTTTAACCAACGAAATGATCAGCTCCTTTTTGAAGTATATGGTCAATCATGTACAAAAATGATAACTAATTGTAACTTAAAAGTGTTGAGATTTTAAATGACATCAATCACTGATCATTGTATATATATGTGTGCTATGTATTGAGTGAATGAATAAATAATATAGTTTAAAATATAGAAAGTGATACCAAGTAGGTACATTGCAGAACTAGTTTTTTGTAAGTAATGAGGACAATATAGAACTATTTCTGTATAAGTAGTGGGACCAAAGTAGAACTAGCTCTGTATAAGTAATGGGTACAATGTAGAACTAGTTCTGTATAAGTAATGGGTACAATGTAGAACTAGCTCTGTATAAGTAATGGGTACAATGTAGAACTAGTTCTGTATAAGTAATGGGTACAATGTAGAACTAGCTCTGTATAAGTAATGGGTACAATGTAGAACTAGTTCTGTATAAGTGAACGGTACAATGTAGAACTAGCCCTGTATAAGTAATGGGTACAATGTAGAACTAGTTCTGTATAAGTAATGGGTACAATGTAGAACTAGCTCTGTATAAGTAATGGGTACAATGTAGAACTGGTTCTATGTAAGTAATGGGTACAATGTAGAACTAGTTCTGTATAAGTAATGGGTACAATGTAGAACTAGTTCTGTATAAGTAATGGGTACAATGTAGAACTAGTTCTGTATAAGTAATGGGTACAATGTAGAACTAGCTCTGTATAAGTAGTGGGACCAAAGTAGAACTAGTTCTGAGTAAGTAATTAATGGGTACAATATAGACCTTGTTCTGTGTAAGTACCATAATGCCTCAGGGTCAAAATTAAGATATTTCTGTTGAAACTGAGCAAATCATATTTTGGGTGTATTGTGTACCATTGTTTATTTTCATGAAATCAAAAGTTGTTGAAATTTTACTCAATCTGACCTCTTCAAGCATTGCTTAAATCCTTGGTTTGAATTATTTCCCATTAAAAAGAAAAAAATCCAAATATTCCCAATAGCAATGTAAAAACTGTTAAAATTTTGTCCTCCAATATATTGAACTTGCAAAAAAGTACCTTTTGATAAAGTTAAGTTAGCTTTAAAAGTTAGTGGTGTGTTATCCTACTGTTCAGGGGTTAGACAGTATCCTGGACTTAAGTTGAATATCATATATATATATTCAAGTTTAAATAACTACTTGTGTTATCTGTAAAATGTTCCTCAACCTAAGCTATGCATAGATTTCCTTTTATTTAAAATTGTATTAAAACATTTTTATTTCATTGTGAGAAGAATCATATTGATCACAATATGTCTGGAACAAAAGGAGTGAATTTCTCTATAGACACTGATCAAGATAGTAAAACTACAGCTAACATGCTAAACCAACAATAATGAAGCCATAGATCACATCAAATATCAAAAGCAGGTCATATGAATGATCTAGGTAATACAATTAACTGTAAAGATTTCCAGTGTTAACAGTCATCTAGTAAAATACAAACTAAACAAACTAAAACTTAACATAGCTGAGGTGTAAGGAGTTTACGAAGGTGTAATGAGAAGGCAAACTAGTCATGACCCTAGACCAAGATGACTGTGCTAATGTTGGGGATGCAGCCAGCCATACAAGTGTGCCTGACAATCATACGTTACCTGCACCACTGAGAATTTCATCAATAATATCCATGGGATCCTGCTCATCGTCCAACCCCACCGCTACTTCCTGTGGCCCTCCCATCTTCTTCACCATGTTGGCATAGCTGTTCCTGGGGCTGGGGGCCACAGGTGAGTATGTGGTGGGTGGTTGTGGGAAGTGGGCGCCGGTCCCCGAGGGCTTACCTGGTGGTACGGGTGTAGCCGTTCCCGGGGGACTGGGGTCTGGTCGTCGAACAGTAGATGCGTAGCTTGTCCCGGCAGCGGTAAGAGGTTTGTCCTGGGAAGTTGTCTCACCTGGAACTTCCCCAAGCTTTCCATCCAACCTAACAAATAGATAATACTTCTTATGTAATGACAGGTGTTCAAAACTGTTCTCATGTTATACCTGAATCAGTTTAGTAGTCACAAGTAGGTCGTTACATTTTAAATCAACAATGTTCCTTCAGTTCTGAGTAGTGGAAATGAAATGTTTAGCATGTGGATAACCTTGTGTATAATGAAAAAAGTTTCCTCTTAGGCAGTAGCTAGGATCATTATGACATGCCCACTGCCTAAATGTTATCAATACCTTCTTTTGAGAGATTGGCAATAAATTGACTTAAAAAATAAAAAATATTTGTGCAAACTGATACAAACTTGTACTTATCAAGCTGTAATGGATTTAGAGTATCACTATACCGATTTAGTTACTCACCATTATTACAAAATGGTGTATAAACTGGTGACTTACTGTAGGTTTTAATCAACATACATATGAGGTGCTTTATCTATTTTCTGTCTGTAAATTTAAAGTTGCATACTGATAGTTATTATATTGGAATATAAGTTTAAAAAATTGATATTACAGACCACTGCTGAAAACATTCACATATTAGTCATTGCTCAAATAGAACCAAACCTCATATATACCTGTGTTGTCGCAGCAACATACACTCCCCTCCTTCATTCGGGTCCAAGTTGTAGATGTGAAGATATCCATCTTGAGAAGCAACCAACAAACGGGGCACTTTCTGAATACTAAAAATCAAGTATTTTGCTTTAATAATTGCTTTGACGAAGAAACATAGATAAACATCCATACATTGATTGAAATTATCAACAGCCAAAGATATGAATTTAGTGAGCTAGGAAATTGAATATAGTACACAATAATTTTCATCAGAAGTGAATTTTTTTCATTTTTTAAACTTTGTATTGGTATGGAAGAGAGAAAACATTGTGAATATGGCTACTGCTATACCTAATTGCAACTAAGGTTGAATTAATGAAATACATTGTTATGAAAAAATTGTAACATTTCCAAGACCTTGAAACCAACTGGTATCACACAGCTATAACTATGTTAAGTTACGAGTTACTTACATAGTGAGTGCACACACATTCCGCAGACCTGATGTAGGAAGTCTAGATGTAGCAAATGCTCTCCCCTGATTAAACATCTCTGTGACCTGTGATGGCAAGTATGTTGCAGAGGATTTCAGAGCCTGTCCAAAATAACCCACCCATGTCTGTGGCTCTTCTTGTGGTCTGAAGCAGAGAGTATCAAGAAAAAGTTCTTAAATTTTCCAGTTTTTAAGAGGTGTGACTTTCTTAACATGGCAAGTAAGTTTGAATCTATGTAGCAACTCCATGTCACTCTGTACACTCCACAACGCATGCTCAAAAAACCCAACTCAGATCTCAATCATTTAACTCAGAATCTAGCAAAATTGCACCTAACAATATTGCATTGAACTTGAAAAAGCCCATGGTCATGGTGTAAAAATATCAGGTAGTCTGGAAATCATTAACTATGAATACCTATTCAGTCAAGTTAACAGCTGTATCTATTAAATACTAAATGACTAAAGCATGGCCCAATTTTACCCCTCATCACAACTTTGATCAACTATACAGGGTTATAAAGAGTTGAGGGCAACAAATTATTGCCAGTGTTCAAAAATGAAACACACATTTGTGATAATCCATATCAAAATTCTGAAGTTAATGGTTTAAGTTTGGACATTCTAATGATAAATTTAACATGACCTTGATATCTTTGATGTGAACATAAATGTATTATGTTATACTTTACCCATTATCATCATTTCCAGAGACTTTTTAAAGACAAATAATAAACAATAAGTAATGAGAGATTATCTAGTCTGAGCAACATTACAATGATATGAATATTGACTTTCCTACTTTTTACTAATATTATATTTGAAATGTTAACAGATTGGGTAGCTCCTCTTACCAGGGACTGTGGTTATGAAGTTGTTTGAAGTTCTTAACTCATTTAATTACTCATTTCTGTACAGAAGTTCTCCCTAATCAAAACACATTTGTTTAGTCTGCATGCGTAAGATTTTTAAATAAAAGAAATTACTAACCTGTCCTTTGGAATCTCAAGTTTGAAGACATGAACAGTTTCAGTGTCGCTAGATGCTGACAAGAACATGGAGTCTACACTGAAGGCTAATGAATGGATGCTTGCACATCTGTAAAATATAAAAGAAAAATACAGTATGTTACTTTCACTATAGAAATATGAACTTAATTTATAGTTTCATACATGAATTCTACTTTGTGATTATTAGTTAGAGTTATTGATCTGTCCATATGCTCTCACTTGTTGCCATAGGTACTGTTGTAAACATTCTCCATCTTCCATTTTTATTCAACTCTAAACAGATTTTCCTTATTTGCTGGAGAGTTTGAACTCGACCAATTATATTCTGAATTATGTCCCTTTCACATTCCACTGTATAATGTCCACTGTACAGAACAGCACTGTACCAGGTTTTTGTCATTTGTAAGAATTAAGTTAACAAATGGTATTAAAAATTTGATAGCAGTTACCTTGAATGCAGAATGTTAAACAAGATTAACGACAGATTGAAAAATAAAATTTTGCATGTTAACCTGTCTATAATTAGCTGTAAGCATATGAATTCATATTTTAAGAATGAGGAATCTTATGAGGAATATCAACATCAAAAATCATTTCTAGAAAACTGGCTACCAACTGAACAACCAAAACTTTTACTTTTTGAGTACATGACATGGGGCAAAATTATCAATTACTTTAAAATAATAAAAGCCAAAATAAAATTATAGCTTAGAAGTTTCTATCTAGATCATCTCTTACAACTACTGAAGAGTTCTGCTTGTACTTATCTCAAAGTCAGGAAAAGTATGTTTTTGATTCACATATACTTGAAATTGCTGTACACTGCAATTACTGGAATTTTGGTGTTTCATTTGACTTGCAAGAAATCATGCCTTCACTTGCATACATGTTTTACTTTTTTCAAAAGATGTATTCATATATTTAATCAAAAACCTTTTCACTCCTCTTCTAAATTCAAATAACTTCTGTCCCTCTGGTACAGAGAACACTCGTATCACAGTACCCTGTTCAAACAAGGAAATGTAGAGTTTACTATCAGTGCTATTACATAATAATAAAATGATCAAAACTTCAAGCTTGTCCAATAACATTTACAAGTTAGGATGTGTAATATATAAACATGCACATGGTATATCAGTTCAACAGATATCTTTCCTCTTAAAAATTTCATTCTTATGCACATCTAATGTACTCAGTTCCATAACTGAACAAAGTAAAAGCTAATGCTATTCTACACAATTTAGACACATGCATGACTAAGAACTCTGAAACCCATAAAACTGAAAATTAAAACCTTTTTTGAAGCTGTAGCTATTTTAGTGCCTTGGTTATTGAATGCCAGTGCTGCTAATGGATTGTCATGTGCCGGTATCATTATAACTGCTCTCTGTAATCAAAACATGTATAATTACTACATCTAACAATCTTACTAACCTCTTTACTCAGATAACTAGTAAGCATTGCTACCGACTTCAGTCTCATTTCCAATGTCAGCAATTAAATCAATGAATGGGTCAAAGTTAAACTGAAGTATACAATATCCTTGATTTCAATAAACCTGGATTTACGAAAACTGTAACATACAATAAATAGGCTTTTCACTACATCTCCTTGTGCACAGAACATGAAACACAGCTAAGTTCTAGATTACGTCCATTACAAACAAACCTTCCAAGGTTTAGATTTGTTATCCCATGGTCAAAGCCATCAAGATTTTTTTCTTTCCCAAATTATTGATAATTTCCACAATGTTGAAATATCTGTACAGGAGTATTTTATTCCTTGTTTTTGTAAAATTGTCCAGTATATATAATAACAAAGCTTTTTACCTAAACAAATATTACTTATTATCACATACAAATGTATGATACTTACTAAATTCATTGTATCAAATATTTGAACTTCTCCAATTTGATTACTACCAGGGTAAGCTAAGAAACAATTGTCATTGTTTATAGATAATGCACAAAGTCCATTCCGATTTGGGGGTGTGTCACGTATTGTGTGAAGTACTTTCATGTCCCGAATATTGTGAATGTACAAACTCTCCTCCAAACAAACGATGAGTCTCTGAATAAAAGGAAATATAGGACATTATACATACCTATCATTTGCTACATACATAGTCATTATATATCAGGATATGTACTTGTTGGTGAAAATATTCCTAATTAATAAAGAAATCAAAGTTATTACTTATTTCAGACACAGTAATAAGCTTCATATTTTTTAAAGAATAAACTCTATTGTTTGTAAATTTTCTGCCTTCACTTCACGACATCATCTATTACAATTGATCTAAATTCCCTTTACATTCATATGACCAGTATGTCTCAGTCAAGGCCATTTGTTTACTCACCTGTCGATTTAGTCTTACAGCCAGTATAGAATTGGAATAGCTGTAATTGCATATTTCTGTGCCTTTTTTGAAGTGACATACTTTCAGTTTCCTTGGAGAGGACAAGCTTACAATTGCTACCAAGCTACTAGAGAAAAGTCTTTCTACTATACATATATCTTCATTTTCTGAAACAAAAATGAACACTTCTTGAGTGAGAATACATTCAGATCTCGAACAAAAAATAACACTTTCCAAGTGAGTATACATTCAGATCCATTACAAGCATTTCTTTTTTCTAAATATATTCATGAACACATATGAATAAATGTTCGATATTTCCTGGTGCAGTCTTTGGTGAACTGATAGTATAAACCCGATGATTTCTACTAGCAGCAACTGTGAACCCTCGATGAAATCAAACACCATACCAACCTCTAACTTAACTTATTCAATTTAATTTTCTTTTTCACTACACATTCCTTAAAAAATTGCTACAGACCTCATGATCATCAAATGAGTAGCAATGTAACTCCGAAAATTTATAAATGGTCAAGTTTTTTTTCAATTTCAGGTTCTTTTTTGATTTTATAAATTAAAAGTATTTGTGAGTAAAAGTATTTTGCTGATTGCAGAAAATCAATCTGAAATTGCATTTCTATTTTCTGTCATTTTATTTTATGGAGAACATATAGCTAGTTCAATACAAGTTTAAAAAGGACAACAAAATAACTAATTAACTTAACTTAACTTAACTTAATTATTATATTGTTATCTCATAATTCGAACAGGACAATACCTGCTTGTCAGACTAAGAGCATATGATTTTTAGTAAAGACTTCTTGAAATTCAAATAAGATCTATTGCAATAAATATTCTGTTCAGTAAAATAATTACATTCACCATTTTAATTGACTCTATAAACTTTGGAATTCTCATCATTACACATCAATAATTATAGTCTCTCTTGTGCAGTATTGATATGACGTAAATGAAGGACTCTACTTTAAACATCATCATACCATACACTGGGCTTCAATTTCGAATCATTTAAAATGCCTCTGCAATATATAGTCTGTTAAAAATATGGTCCTTATGACAATCTTTTCAGAGTTTCTAGGTTTTCTTTGACAAAATATCAGTAAATGTTAGAATTATGTATTTTAAAGTGTTCCGTGAGTGACAATAGAAATGAATATAGTATTATTTCTTATAATTATGATTCAAAATCAAAAAGGTTAAAAAAAATCCATCAAAATTGACCAGTCCAATAGTAAGACATTGATGTGTAAAGTGTGAGATTTTCACCTGTCCTTCAACTGCAAATCAGCCTTAGGGTGACTTGTGCTTAACGGAACTCTATTGTCTGTGATATTACATGTTCAACAACTGGTAGCAATTGCCATGTAGGGAATAGGTGAGACTGAGAACAGCTATGCCATTCAACATTAGGTTACACATCAATGTTTTGTTTTTATAGTTTTGAGGGATTAGATATGCATAAATTGTATATCTATAATAATTATTATTATTCAAATCAAAATCTGTTACTAGACATAGCGAATGAATGCACATGTCTGAAGATGTTTGAATTAAATTTTGCAGTAAGGTGGGATTTCTGAACATTGTGTCCAAATTAAACACGATATCAAGAGTAGTGAAATTTTAGGAAAAAAAAATTCCTTTAATTAGTATAAAAGTTTCACAAGGATAACCAAAAGTACAAGAAGCATTAGTTAAATTTACTAGTGAGTTCAACAGAAACCAGACAGAGGACTCAAGAGTAATGAAGCCTGGTAGTAGAGTAAACAGTTTCTGAGCACTGATGAGGAATTTGCTGTACATATATTGAACCAGAATTCATCCTGTGGTCCCACTTCAAGTAAGTATGTTACCCTAAAAACAGAATTACCCAGAAAGCCTCAAGGCTGAACTTAATGCCACTTTAGTGTCTACTATTAAAACAGAACAATATGGAGCTTGGGAGAAAACTACAAAGATCTAATATGAAAAATGAAAGATACTTTATCAGTTCAACAGGTTGCACACCACTTGAAAAGTTAGCTCAAAATTGTACATTGAGTGTAAGTTGTACAACTATGTGTGACAAGAAAAAATCATGAGATATGCATGTGACCTAAATGGATGTTGATGTGATAAACTAATTCCCTGTTGTGATATATCAACCACACGTTGCGATGTTACTAAAAATAGAAATTATCACAGCTTGTTTACGACATTCCAGCTGTGTGTCAGCTGATGTCGACGACAGTGACATAATGCGTCATTCTGACATTAAATGTAATCACATGATAAGAACTTACATATCAAATCATCGTATCTTTCAGAACAAGCTACCAGTCGATATATTACAGACAAACGTTGCACTGTTACCAACATTCAAACACAGTTTAGAAAGGGAGTAAAATAGAACATCCATATCTTTGACCTCACCATTTTCATATATTTGTTCCAATTTATCTACCGAGCTAAGGGAAAACAACTTGTAACCGGTCCTTGTCCCAATAGCCAATGATCTGGAAAAAAGGAGAAATTTCGACTTTAATGAACAGAATACTTAGTTAGTATTAGGAAAATCTACTGATGCAACAACAAACACGTAAAATCACAACGGCAAAAGATGGGAGGAGCGTATAACTATTTCTTACGTGCAATCTTGATTGAAGTTAACAAATAGCAGCTCTGATTGCTCGTCCTCGGTTTTAGCTGCGATGTTCATTAGGCCAGTAACACTTTTGGCCACTCCACTGTATAAATAATCCGTACTGGTTGAACGTCAGTTTCTTTCCACAGCTTTACCTAGGTGGCCATTTGTATTTACATCGAACGATTTCCTTTTGTAACGACGGTTTTGATTGGATGTTATTTGAAGAATCGCTAGGATGTGTTTCAGAATGACAGAAAATCATACCACATTTTACTCGTGTCAATAACTATTTATTTAATGTTCTTTTAAAACTGATTTTTTGGCTGATTGTATTTTAGGCGACTGTCGCAAGGATATTTGTATATATCTATTGATCGGGAAATCTTTATAAATTGATGTAGATTAATCCTATTGTCCGTGAAAACAAACCGGATGTTTTGATTTAGAGAGAATATAGGAGCAGAAGACAGGATAAGGATATGTATCTTAAATGATCATCACACCACATTTCTTTAACACTCCATTTAAGAAAATCCAAAATCTTGTACTATTCGCCCTGTAATATTCCAATGTCCTTGCCGCGAGAATATACCTGATTTGCCCAAAAGTGCGGCTCAATCTGGTTCCTGGAAAAAAATCATGGACCAGAACTCTTTGGACTAGCTTTAACAACTTTACCGAAATACTCTTCAAGTGATAATGTATGTATTACGTATATCGATTTGTATAAAAACTGTATGAGTTTGACAATTCATGCAAGAGTGTCACAGGTAGTATACCATCGAAAGCATTAAAGCAATTTGTGAAGTGAAACGGATGGAGGGATTGCTGCCGACCATTATATTGTAAGTTTGACGTCCCTGATATATGTTAATAAATTATTGTAATATCAGCGGTAAATTATCCAGAGACATATATAACACATGTGTTATATATGTCTCTGTATATATATATGTGCTGTTGATTAATCTCAGGTGATGTTCGAGGTGACTTCTATCACCAGATTTGATATTTTGTTAGGTCCTTTCTAGTCCTATGGTGTTTTTAGATTGGGTGATTTATTTGTACCTAAACTTCAAATATTAAGTTGAATGTACATCGAGATTTTGAATCCAATAACCAGTTTTATCAGTGTTCTCTGAACATTCTGATCAGTCTTTCTGTACGGACTCCATACACCATAAAGCATGATCCAGACGGGATATAGGTGATTTGAACAGCACCACAGTGAGGCCTAGTTTAAACATTTTCGCAACATGGTAATTCAGCATGATAAATGATTAAATCTGAGATGGGTTATAAAACTTTTCATCCACCTTGTTATATAGTCCCAGCGCTGGTACGGACATGACTCTAATTATTCTTTTCTTTATTTGTAACATCATTTTGCATGGATCATTTTATAGCCACGATGTAGACCATTATGTAGAAGGGTGGTTATGAAAGTTACTATTAATGTAGATTTCAAACAGAATTATTTAATCCGGCAAAGCTTCACTAAAGATACACAAGAGAACAGCTTCCATCTTTACAATATATTAACACAAAGGTGAAAAATGCTGCATGAATGTAATCATATTTGTACAATTGAAAACTTCACTGTCCGAAATAGAGCTTTGAGAGTGGTTCATAATTTGTTATTACAATTGTAGATATAAAGCGGCATAAATAAAAAAAAATCACATTGTTCAATATGTCCTCGGCGTGCTTCGAACAGACTTTTGAAATTCGATGCCCTATGTTATGACGTCAATATCCGGGAGCCAATTCACAGCCTAAATCAAAAATTACTGCGCCAAGTTTCTATATATTTTACAATTCAGTGTGCTTGTGCGGTCGTTAAAACTACAGTCTTATGATAAATAATGTACATATATTAAAAGTAACAATCACTTAAATGTGATTTGTGAAGGCACAACCCGTAAGGGCACTACAAGAGGCAAAATTTCTATAGATGGCGAACTTCTTTCGGAAACTAATTAGACTCGAATCGATGCACGCCCCTCACACTTAAACATTATCGAAGCATAGGGTGTGCATACGACAGCATTCTTCGGGATTTTTACATGGCGGCAGAGGATCGGCAACAGTAAAGGGACAATTGTAAAAGACTTTTCTGTCAATCTTGCAAAGGTAGATCTGGCAAACGATTAATACATCTGCAGACCGCATTTTAGAAGAGCTATAGATATGGATGACTACAGGAAGAGATCACGCGGTAACAAAAATTTGGCTGAAAGGGTCTTTGTTCTGGGTACTGCAAACAACGGGATTTCCCAAATGTCGCCAAAGTTTAGAGGAATTCGAGCTCCGATACGAAGCACCGCCACAGTATATGACCGAGCAAACAAAATATATTATGGCCACTTACGACGGATGCTAAAGATAAAGTCTTGTGATCACTAGTTTCGACGACTGGCACATGTATCCTGAGCAAACGTCTTACTTCGGTTATCTATAGAACACGCCTGAAAATCGTTGAAATTGACGAATGAAATACATTTCTACTTGATAATTGATTCATTGCACTGATCACCAGTCTTATCTTTTAGAACCTCCGATCAAGTCCTGCAGATGTCTGTTTAATAGTATGAAAATGAGACTCTGACCCCTGCTAAGGGTTGACGTCATGCATGCAGCATGGTTTAAAGATATAACAATATGAACTGTTGCCAATTCATATTAACCCGAAAGTATTCTTTATAGTTTATTAGGTCCTAGATTTGAAAAAAAAAATGATATTATAACATTGAATTGAGTATATATAGTTGCCAAATCAGTGAAATGCACACTGGCTAGTGGGTAACCAACATGCTCTCCCGAAATGCCAACTTTCACCTGTACCTTTGAAAGGCATGCAATATACTTAACAGTCAGTGACCATTATGAGAAAATGTATGTTTCAATTTTTTTTTGAGAAGATGCTGCCTTTAGTATATTAAAGTAAAAGTTTTGAGATGAAAAATTATCTAAAGATATGATTCTGAAGTGTCTAGCCAGAAGCACTGCCCAGAATCTTGCCTCAATAAATAAATAAATCAGTAAATACAACTATATTTGGCTATCATAATTAACTCTGGTCATCATGATTTGATGGTCAAATATTATAAATATAATGGAATAACCGATCTTAAGATAAGAAAATACGACAATATAGATGTAAAACAATGTAAATCAGTTGAAATTTGGATACTAATTTTAAAAATATGGTAAGAAGCCAGAGTGACAGGTTGGCGTGTGAAGTCCTGAAAGGAATATTTAAGGCTGAATTAGCAACATTTATTGGTATTGTATACAGGTAATATATATCATTGCATAGAACCAAGAATTTAATATTCCAATCCCATTTCATATGGCCTTTATCAAGTATTACACTTGGTATATTGTTTTCAAAATGCCAAGAGCGAATAGTTTTTCTGAATATTGTGAGACATTTACAGCAAATGATCTTAGATGAAGTTTAATGATTAAGCTGCTTTTACTAAAGAACCTCTGAATCTTACTATGGTGGTGCAAAACAAGTATCCAGAAGAGAAATTGTAGCAATTTGAGATAAAAGCAACTGAAAGGATTGCAAACTATTGAAAGAAATTAAACTCTGGGATGCATTGCGATGAGAACAAGCCATGTTACAATATTGGACGCAGATGCAACATGTATGGACAATGCTTCTGTGGTACCCAGACTCTGACCCTTTCAGCGACCTGCAGGAATTAAAATGTTCCAAAGCATGTTGATCGTTTCACATGAGTGAAATGATGCTTGACCCAATTTGACCTTGAACAGCTGTCTCTTTGTGAATGTAGTCTGAAGGTTGAAGCAGTTGAAATTCTGCAAATAAGGACATTTGAACAAAAGTAGAAAATAAAGTTAGATAATCTGGGTTTTCAACAAGTATTAAAGAAATGAATCTTGCAATTTACATATAGATCATTGCTTGTGCCTGCTTAAATGAAATAATTATTTAATCAGCAATGAGATGTAAATTAACAGTGATAATAGATTATTTCTCCTAATTTGTTGATGAACATGCAACTTTTTTAATATTGGGTGAAAGTCTTAATCGTATAGCTGGTTTGGTTTATTTCTAGAAACTCACTGTTTAATAGTATGTAACTTGTGCAAATGTTTGAAAGTTTATTGTAATCCTTATCCAATCCCCATTCCTGCTGTTGAATTGTATCTTGCATTTGCACAAAGTAAAACTCCAATCTGTGAGTTTTAAACTCTCTGCTCATTTTGTTGATTTATATTTATTTCAGATGATGATGAAAAGACTCTTTTTGTCAAAAACTTGGCAGAATCGGTAACTCAAGACACCTTGAGAGATTTTTTCACTGAATCCATTGAAGTGCGAATTCCTTCTCGCCCAGATGGTGCTAACAAAGGGTAAATCAATGTACTACTTTGCTATTTACCGACCATACTTGTTCTCTGTGGAGAATGTTTCAGTTGATTTACAGGGACATAACGTTGATAGAATGCTATACAGGAAATTGTGTTAACGTGTGGAGAATGTTATAGTTCAATGCTACATTTTTACAGGGACTATAATGCTACATACAGGAACATTGTGTTAACGTGTGGAGAATGTTATAGTTGATTTACAGGGACATTGTGTTAACGTCTGTAGAATGCTACATACAGGAACATTGTGTTAACGTGTGGAGAATGTTATAGTTGATTTACAGGGACATTGTGTTAACGTCTAAAGAATGTTATAGTTGATTTACAGGGACATTGTGTTAACATCAGGAGAATGTTACAGTTCTCTTATCACTATATTATTTGATAGATTATTTAAATTTGCGATACTTCAATTTTTCTTCTATAATGGTCATAGACATCATCAGCTGTGAATTGTTGTTTATGAAGGATAACTGTAGTGAGTAGGAAAGATTGAAACCATACACAGTTTACTAGTAGAAACTATTGTGGATACTGTATTTGGATATGTTGAAAAGCGATACATGGGCATATCAAATCATAAGTATTTAAGCATGGTCAACAATACTTGTTGAAAATTGTGAAATTCAGAAAAATAGAGCAAATAAGAGTAGTCTTTTCACAATAGCTTGAGTAGATTTGTGAACTTAATTTTGTTGCTGTTATAAACTGCTTGCAAGCGTAAAAATTATCTGAATTTTTCACTTTTTCAATGATACAAACATCGTTTCGAGTTTTTAGGATGTTCAAATTGCTCTATATCTGTGGTCCAGCTGTAAACCATTTTTTTTATCACTATTTCTTAAGAAATATATGTTGGATCCTTCTCAAATTTCATATGTAAATTCCCCTTGGTCCCTAGTGGTGCCCACTTGATTTTGGGTCTGATAAGAAACAAATGATGGACCAACAGGCAGCCATCATAGATTTTTACAATGAAGTTTGTCATCCCTATTTCTTCAGAAGTGCAGGATGGTTCCCTCTCAAATTTCCTATGTAGGTTTCCCTTGGTCCCTAGTTGTGTCTGTTTAATTTTAGGACTGATCAGTACAACAAAAATTGCTTCCAGGCGACCATCTTGGATTTGGCAGTTAAAGAATATATATCTATTTCTGCCAAGGAATGTTCAAATTTCTTATTGTTAAGAGCAAAAACAGAGAAGAGAAAAGAAGGAAAAATTTCAACTTTTACAGAACAAACAATATTGGGTGCCAAGATCCCTCATGGATTGCATTAAAGCATGCAGTTATTCTGAATTGGTGACTCTTACACAGTAAAAAAAAAGACAGCAGTTTAATGTGTTGTATTTGAGTATTTTGAAAGGTTTCTGAATAAAAATGATATATTTATATATGATATGCTTTCTTAATTTCAGATTCGCATATGTTGTCTTCAATGATGAAGCCACCGTAGAACAGATGTTGAAAGACCATCAAGGTGAAGATCTAGAAGGTTTGTCCTTATATTTGGACTATGCTGGCAGTCGTGGAAGCAGAGCAAAGTCTGCGAGATCTGACTATGGTGGAGGAAAAAAATATGGTGGAGGCAGTAAGTGGGGTTTTTTGGGGATTTTTTTTTTTCGTTATTTTTTTTCATGCTTTCATCATGGCTAGGTATATGTTTAATGGTAGCAATATAGTAATGATCATTTTACCATACAAAACATTTTTTTTTTTTTTTTTTTTGATTATCTCTAGTAAGGAAATGTTACCAATTACAAAGCTTTCATGCAAGTAGTGCTAAATATGAGGAATTGTCATATTAATAATTCAGTGTGTGGATGGAATTATGGCTTGAGATTCTTTTTTCAAGGGTAATGCATTCATATCATTCTCTGTAAATAAATATTCACAGTTGATGACTGGCTAAATTAGTTTGTCGAATGTCTTTCAAGTAAAAACCATCATTGATCTTCTGAAGTTTCCAAAGTGTTGCAATTATTATTGCAAGTAAGGTCCTTGTTCCTGAGGTAGTCATAATTTTACTTTTTTTTCCTTTTTTAAAGTTTATGGCAAGTTTTATCTTAAGAGTTGCTTGAGAAAATTTTAATTCCATGTGATCTGTTTAAATTTCATGTGTTATGATGTGATTGTGGTTTTTTTTTTGGAAAGAATTTAAACAGTGCTGTTTGCATAAAGCAGATCAGGTGACTGTCACCACCTTTCAGCGTGGTATTTCATTGAAGATTTGATGACATGGAAATATTTTATAATTTCCAGGTGCAAATTTTGAACCTGTTTATTAAGTTCTCTCAAAAGATATATGAACATCAGCTGTGCAGTATGCAGGGATGACCAACAGGTAAAATTGAAATTTAAAACAAGAAAAAAAAGGGTAAGTGTCATTTGTAAAATAAAAAATATTATTTTATTATATAGGCGGTGAAAAGACTAAGGTTCTTTTTGTAAAGAATTTGTCATACAATGCAACTGAGGAGGATCTTCTAGATGCATTTGAAGGATGTGAATCTGCACGACTGATCAGGTTTCCCGATACCGGAAAACCAAGAGGGTTGGTACCTTATACAAGATTGATTGCTCAATCAGATAAGATGTTGAAACCAATGACCGACTTTTTCTTCTAAGAGTTTTGCTATTGATCAACATCTGTTGCATGAAATTAAAAATTGAACCATACAGCACATGTCTACGTAGACTACCATTTACAGTGTTCATGTCTGAAAATTAAAAGACAAAAAAAATAACCTAGAAATGATATTTAAATTCCTAATTTATGTGACATTATGACTTTGGTAGATAAAGCAGATATTTTTATTAAATCATTGAAACATTGAATTAGATTCTAATATTGCATACATTTCTTAGTATAATACTTGAGACGGATTGTATTATTTGTTTAGTAGATGTAATGCATGACCTTTAAGATGGGTTCCTGCATATTTTCATATAAGTGCATTTTCTAATGAAAGCTGGACTGATTTCTCTTTTTCCTGTATTGATGGTTATAAGCATGTTATATAATACACATTTAATATACTGTTTAAAATAAAGAAACCTGAAGTTTATGAATATTACAAAAAGAATTCTAATATCAAATTGCTCAGGTTGCACGGGTCCCAGTTTCAGAATGTAATTTGGAGTACATTTTAGCATTCAGTGCATACTTGATATAAATTAAAAGAATGATTCTTACATTTGTGGATGTTTTGGGCATATTTTGAAAAGAATTGGTTATAGAAATTTCTAATGTAGCATAATCTTATGATACTTTATTGTACAAGCTCATAACAATAGGGCTATATCATGTCTTTTTCATTGGAGTACTAACAGTACAGTGGGTGACTTAGTTTTCTGTTTACAGAGCATAACATCTTAGGTAAAAATTGTTTTCACCTATCTAAAATCGAAGTAAAAGTGTTGTTTATGGTGGCCCTGATTTTTCCAAAGCTAATCTTCCATGAAAAACCGTCATATTATGGATGCATTATTTTGCCAATCAATTACCATTTTAAAGGACAATATCCGAATGACATGTAATTCACACAAATGTACAAAATTGTTATGTTGTCAGAGCTTCAACTTTGGAGCTTGCTCTACACCTGTTTTATATATACGTGTGTGTAAAAGAAAAAGAAAACAAAAAACAATAAAACATGAATTTTTATGTTGATTATATTCACCTACTTTCAGCCTCTCATACTCTGAATTATTCTGACAATCTATCAACTAATATATGTTGACTCCAAGCTGATATATAAAAGTTGATAGAATGTCAGAATGATTTGTACTAGGTCTTTCCAGGAAGGGAGACTACACTAATAGTACTAAATTAAGCTGTTGGCACTGGAAAGCTGATCATGACGATCATACAGCATATTAACATTTAATCTAAGAATTCAAATATATTTTCTGAATCTAAATGGCATGTATACTTTCTTCATTAGTATGTCCAGTAAATGCAGGAACCCATCAGTATTAATTGTATACAATTAAATAATGTTTTCAGTGTAAGAAATTTTACCATTTTGTAAATGAAATACTCAGATTATTTTATATTCAGTCTGCTAACATTTTATCGTGATCATGGAAATAATTTTGTTTTCACAATAGGAAGTGAAACAATTCTGTCATCACCATACACATGCATTGAAATATTTTCCTCTTTAATCTGACAGCTTTGGTTTTGTGGAATATGCATCACAAACAGATGCAACTAATGCATTGAAAGAGAAGCAGGGATATGGCATTGATGGACGGGAGATTTACATAGATTATGCATCTGATAGACCAGGTAAGTCTGACTGTAAATTGTAAATGATGCATGTAAAATATATGAAATATTAGAAAATCTTACAAAAAAATAAGAAAAATTGAAAAGTTTTGACTTTGGAATTTATTTAGTGGGAAAATTTTTCTTCACGTCTTTAAATCAGAGGTGTTCAACAATAATGATATTGATAGTACTATGTATTTTGTAGTAAACTAATGTGTATCTGACTAAAAAAACATTTGATGGAACAGACATTGTCCTGTGTGTTTCTGTTCTAGTTGTTTACATTGGAAGTGACCTATTGCCCATCTTGCATTACTGTATATTCTTGGTTATAAGTTGTACTGTTATATAGGCAGCAAAGCCAATTCTTATCGTGTTGATCCACATCTGCACAGTATATAAGCCACACTCTTTCTTACAATGTGGTTACCATTTTGTGACCAAAATGTGCTGATGTAACCGATGGCAGTTATGAAGATCATCAGTCAAACATTTAATAAAGTTTACAAATGAATTATGAATAATCCTTTATTTTATCGATGTATTTTTATAATTATTCTAACTATTCAAAATACGTAGAATAGCAAATATCGAACACAGTTGGCTTGGGCCCATTAAAGGTAGTGTATGCACAGTTAGAGGGCGTGATGATGAATACGGTTAACTTAATCACTCCATTGGCATTTTGCATCTAAATATTAACTAAGACCCTTGCATGCTGACAGTTGTTCTTGAATCTGACCTATCACCAAATCCCAGGATGCAATAGGCTAATGCAGACTTATGCCATGCTTTCTTGTAATTGCTGTGAAGTTACCTTGAAAGTCAAGAAGATATTATTGTGATTCATATTAAACGGTATGATTTATTAAAGTGAAAATGTTTTTAATGTAATCTTTAGTCATCCTGTATATGATAACAAGTGACTGTTCTACATGATCTGTTCCGTCACAAACATGTAATGAGCAGGTACTTGTAAAAAACCCATAGTACTTTCTCGTTCTGGTACACTAAATTAAATTTTTTTTTCAATTCTGCTGATATTCTTTTTTATCCACATGTAAGCTACACCAGTATATTAGCAACAAGTCCAACTTGCACAAATCTGATGGTTTCACAGATGATTAATAAATTTCTTCAAGGAAAAGATATAATTCCTTACTTTAAAAACTAAAAGGGATTAAAGACTTCTTTCAGTGAACACAGTCTCTAGTTTGGATAGTTGATGATTGATGGTAATTTACTTGACAAAAGGTGGTGACCATAAAGGCAGTGGATATGGAAATCGGGATAACAGGAGAGGAGGCTACAGAGGAGGAAGTGGAAGTCGAGGATATGGAGGAGGAAGAGGTGGTGGTTACAGGGGAAGAGGACGTGGTGGTGGTGGCGGTAGGGATTATGGTAGCAGGGACTACGGCAGTCGGGACTACGGTAGTCGAGACTACGGCAGTCGGGACTACGGTAGCAAATACTGAATGATGTCTCATTTTGTTGAAGTGTCTAACTATATTATATAAAAATGTGTAACATTTATTCTTGACAAGAACATCCTTCATTGGATTTAAATATGATCTTGTAAAATTTCATAGCAGAAACATGCTGAAGTGTTACCGTAGTTTTAATTTCCGATATATTTGTACTGCATACATGATTCATGACTTTGAAAATGTTGTCTCCTATGGAACAATAATTTAATAGTATGAGTATTGATGACTGCAAATACAAATGGCATTATCATCTTAAGTATCAAAACCTGTGTTAAATAGGAGATATTTCTGTCCCACAATGGTTTGCTTTTGTCAGTGTTAGGAAAACTAGGAGAGAACCATAGGGATTACACTTAAAAATCAACATTTAAAGATTAATAGCTTGTTGCTTAATGAAGAAATTTTAATTATCTTCCAAAGAATTATGAACACAGTAAAGTAAGATATGGGATGCAACATTCTAAACTTTGAATTCCACGAATTCGTGTGGAGGTTACGTTTATTATCATTGTTTTATATCAGTTTTTGATCATGCTCTATTTTAATATGTTTGTTTCTCTCAAAGAGAAAAGTTTCGATGGTGATTTTAAAAAAAAAAAAAAAGGTAAATTACTGGTCGTGATCTTACATATCATCTTTTACAGCTCTTTGTTGTAATGTTATATAGTAAGGTGAGTGTATGTATTACTTTACTTATATACTTGCATTTGTGCATTGCTTGCTGCAAGACCATTCGTTACAATAAGGAATTGTAAAAGTTTTGTAGGAATTTATGCGACCCTGTTTGTATTGGTGTATCAAGATCATGTCCCTATTCTTACAGATATTGGAAGTTTCTACTTATTTGATAGATTTATAAGATTTACACATATTGTGTTGTGTGGTGGAATTCTTCATTGTAATTATTCATTGTAACAGATTTTTTAACGTGTGGTATTTTAACCTGTTTGTCATATTATGCATAAATTTTGCTTATCGTCAACCACAAGCAGCAAATTTTCTTCCCTTTTTTTTCATGCATTCCTTATATCATTTTGTCACATTTTTCATACTTCACTCGTATTGATTATTTGTAAATCACTTCTTTAAAAGTCCATTGATAAATAATATCTTAAAATGGCTATTTCATTTAAGGAGTTTTTTTGCTTCAAACACCGTTTGCTGTAAGTTTAAGTCGCGTATTTGATCATTCTCCAATTTTTTATTCCTGAAGAAAAACAAACTAGCTGCCAAGTACTCAGCAACAGAAACATCATAATTACAGACTTTGTGATGTCATGAAGAAGAGAAGATATTTGTGATCATTGTAAATGTAAGGTGTACTACGTACAGTTGTTTAACATGCAACAGAATAAATTTATATCATGAAACTTGAACTTTTTCATCTTTGTGTGCATAACTGTCAATAAATCGCCATGCTTTCACATCTTCACATAATGTACAATATAATGCTTGACCACAACCACAACAGTTGTTTTTCTATGAGTGACATTGATTGGTTTTAAAGTTCATGGGACAATGAAGAACTTCTACACTTACAGAGCTAAGGGTTATATTTGTTCCATAAGTATTTGTCGCTATATTTTATTAAAGTTGTATGATTAAGTTGTGATGAAATAACTGTCCTGCTGTAATGTTAAATAACAGGGATAAAACATTGTTACGATTAGAACATATGGCCACTATTTACACTTCATTGACTTTAAACGCTTATTGCTTATAATTAAAACTGAAATATCTGTAAGCTGTGTGTAATGAGCCGATAAAAAAACAGCTGTGCTATTGGTTATGTGGAAATGAAAACAAAAATTCATATTGTAAAGCTATCAAATGTTTAATATATAAACTAATCTAGTATCACAGGCTCAGTGTAAACAAGTTACTGTATTGTGTATTGAAATTCTTCAGCATCAGTAGATTTGCACGAAAGAACTTTCAGGAAGACTTTGCCTGCTTCTCCAACAGAACGACTCAACTGAAATTGAAAATATCTGAAGTTAGTAAACAACTACAAGCTATAGCAAATGGTCCCTTTAATATCTCACTTACTTTACTAATTTTCTATGTACATGCTACCTGACCTTGACCATGGAAACATCAATAGGGACTACAAAAAATTGGTCTTTTCAATTTAACCCGTTATACTTTTTTCACAACTCGCTCTGCTCCATACCAGGGTACTTTGTTTTTGGATAAACATGTTAATGTATATTGTTGACGGAGACATACAAAAGTTTTCAGAATTACATGCAATGCTGTTTTTCTGCTGGGCATAAACCTTAATATTGGTAAGGTTGAGTAGCCCATGGTGCTAAGGAGCATCTGCGTGTTTCATTTGGATATTGGTACATACAGTGAAATATCTGATTCAACGTCCAATTGAAATTCTTATCGAAATAGGTCGCAAAGTTCTTCAATTCCACAATTTAAATACATTACGATACATATTTATATAACAAAACATTTATTTTAAAATGTCCATTGTTCACAGTCACCACAGCTTAAAAAAAATGCCAACATGTTAACACAATTTGATTTTCAGAAAGAAATATTCTATTTTTGTGCATGTTTAAGTAGTGTATTTTAAAGGGAAAAACTAGATCAACATACTTTGAAGTGCACTTTACGTTTCTCTAAAAGATGAGTCCATTTTACTTGTGTCTTTCTTTGAAACGAAACTTTAGGAAACTCTTCTGCCTGCAACAAAATTGTAATTGATTATCATCGTAGGTCTTTATTTTTACTACATAATCAAATTAACTATTTTTGAAGGCATTTTAAGGATTTTAAAAGATGAAATGTATGTTTCTGTTCAGAATTCAGAATTTTCTTGATGAAAACAATAGTCGCTCTTTTTACCTTAATTCCAATCATCTGTTGCGCAACATCACCATCTATACTGCAGTAGTCGATGGTACCGGTCTGGTCCGACCATGAAACAGGTACGGAATATTCCACTGAAGGTTTCGTGTTGTCGACAGTTGACGAGAATGTGTTCAAGATGCCATTGCTGCATTCTGGATTACTGCACGCGTATCCAGTATTTTCACTGACAGTTTGTCTACATTTTTGACTGGAATAAAAAAGACTTTCTACAATGAGACCCGTGATTGACGTAGTTAATATAGTGCAAGTACATATTAGAACTTTAATCAATGAACTATATGAAATTTTCGGGTATCAAAAATTTAGCTGGAGTACGGTATATAACAAAAGGTGTACTCACACATTAAGAAGAATGTACAAAAGACAGTTAATCGCACCTTTCAATACAAATTTAGAATTCGATAGATTACAGCCAAACAAACAATCATTTTACATCAGAGCTTAAATATCTAAGTATAAGTATTAATAAATCGAGACTCAAGTTCGATTTAACATACAAGCGTGACGATATATAAGGCAACACATTAATTTTCCACTCTTTTATGACTACTGAAAAATAAGGTAAAGGATAAATAACGATGATTCTATGACGGGGGAAAATGTACACGTTTTATTCAGTTACACATGTAACGAAAACCGCAATGAGTTATAAAGTCAAAAATTGTAGATGTTGCGTGGAGTATATATACTAACACGAAACAGAAACGCCGGGTACACTAAATATACTACAAATGATTTATTGCTTGGCCTGGAATAATGACACTCGGTCAGGTTGATGTGTTGTTCGCGGTCACTAGGTACACGTGTTTAAAATCACACAATACCTGACCTGCGCGCTCCGTGCGAGGCACGTGCTAAAATACAAGAATCCCGTGCAGGGGAAGGTCATTGAGTTCGCCAATGGAAATTTTCAGTCTATTTGATACTGTTCAAGTATTCGGATTGATTTTTCAAAGTTTGATTCGAATTAAGCAATTTACATCCATGCCACGATTGACGGAAGTCCAGCGGGGACAGGCTATAGGAATGCTTTTGCAGGGTCAGGGCCAACTTCAGGTTGCTGCACATCAACGTCTTGTCCAACGTGTGCGAGTGACGGGGAGGGTCATCGACCGACCGCGAAGTGGACGTCCGCGCGTAACGACGCCACATCAGGATCGGTTTATAAGACTTTCTCACTTACGTAATCGCCATCTCACAGCTACCGAAACTGCAAATAACACTATAGGCAGTCATAACCGCCATATTCATCCTGATACGGTTCGAAACCGATTACGCGTCAAAGACCTAAGAGCCCGACGTCCCTATGTTGGTCTGCCCCTAACTCCTGCGCGTCGCCAACGCCGACTGGCTTGGTTACAAGCACACTCGCCCAGAAACTTTCCTATGGGGCAATGGAGACGGGTATTTTTCACTGACGAATCCCGGTTCACTCTCTACCGTTCGGACGGGCGACGTCGTGTATATCGACGTCGAGGGGAACGTTACACCGACGCGTGCGTCGCTGAGCGGGATAGGTTTGGCGGTGGTTCAGTATGTGTTTGGGGCGGTATCTCCTATGGGTTTAAATCACCCCTGATCGTGATTGACGGTAATTTAACCGGCGTAAGGTATAGAGACGAAATCCTTCGCCCAGTTGCCGTGCCATGTGTGCAAGCACGGAACCTGCTATTCCAGCAAGACAATGCCCGGCCCCATGTCGCTAGAGTTTGTCAGCAATTTCTTGCCAACAATAACGTAATCCCAATCGATTGGCCAGCATTCAGTCGAGATTTGTCTCCAATTGAGCATTTGTGGGACGAATTGGATAGGAGAGTTAGGAGACGTCCAAATGCCCCCACTAATCTGGTCCAGCTCACACGTGCCTTGCATGAAGAATGGAATAACATCCCCATTGCAAGGGTTAACACCCTGATGAATTCCATGCATAGAAGAATCAGGGCTGCGACAGCTGTGCATGGAGGACACACAAGATACTGAAATGTCCGGCCGTGTTGCGCAATACAAGTAGGGTCATCGCTAAAAGGGGGATATTTTTGGCATAATTAGCATTGATAATCGATAGAACCTTCAACAAATGGTTCCATACAGATGAAATTGTATACAAAAATGAATGAAATAATGTAACAGTAAATTATATCATTTAAAAGAATCTTTTTAGGTTACACGGCGTTTCTTTTTCGTTTTAGTATACTAAAAAAGTGAATCTAGCATAAGAAAGCAGAGAAAAAGTATATTACGACGGAAAGGTAATGACTAGAATTTATTGGATTTAACGATGGAACAATTATTTGTCATCGATTCTTATGTGAATCAAATGGCACACGAAGACAAATTGCAATTGTTTCTGAAGATACTTTCATTAAGCTAAAATATTTGGTCAAATGTTTAAAAAGAACAAGTTACAAAGTTACGTGTCAGTATATGAAGAAATGGTATACTAAATTATTCAAAAGCGATATTGTAAAGCATTTTAAGTTACTTAGATGCATTGCTATTTGCCAGAATTTTGCATATTTGAATACATATTAGTTTCATGAACTTTAACAATACCGTAAGAAATTACAGCAATAATAGCATACCATCTGTATCTGAGGACTCGGCTAGTATCTCCGTCAACATCAAAGTGCGAAAGGTACGCAAAGATTATTCCATATATCGTAGGTTTCCATTGGTCTGTCCTTTCTTTCTTCATGTCCATTAATTTGGAAACAGTATAGATGTCTGTGATACTTTCCACTGTAAATAAGTACCATAAAATTAATGTAATGGTCATTTTGATGTTCTTGCTCAATTAAGTATTGGTGTGGTGGATAAAAGGGACGGGTACAGTTCACCTTATTTACAGATATAAAGGAAGAATGGCTGCTAGGAATTCATTTTTTATACATTTTTAGGAATAAAACTATTAAAGAAAAAACCTTGAAACGTGGAGAACATGCTGTGGCACGTTTTTTTTTTTTTTTTTTTTTTTAAAACTTTTGGTATAGATGGATAGTAATATATATCAATGGGTTTTCTATAAACCTAAATAAAAAATGCGAAGCTTGCTTTGGCAAAGCCAATTTATTATATATTATAGAATTACCCGCATTTCGTTTCGTCGGCATTTAAATGACCGATTCCCTTAAAAATAGTTTAAGTATTTTACCAGAACACCATGATAAACAATGGTTAGGTATAGGATGCTTTGTTTTTTTTTTAAATTTTTCCCTGAAAGTTCGTTCTTGAAATGGCTCTTTTCAGTGTCTTATAAAATCTGAAATGCGGTTTTCTTTTTAAATGAAAACATAAAATAGCCATATTGCATATTCAAAACGTTACATGGAGGATCCGATTGTCCTGTTGTTCCTTCTTGTTCCACAAAGTTTTGTGAGTGGGCAAACTGGTACAAACTGTGGGCCTCCAATGTATCTATAAAATAGGACACGCATGTCATAATATCTATCCAAAGTACTCGGGTACACTACTAAACAAAATCACCCATTTACCTCTTCGTCATTACGCAAACTGATTCAAACACATATACCGTTCTCTAGAAAATTCAACTAGCATTGTAAGATATCAGGTGTAACGAAAAGTAAACGTATTTGTACACGAATTACCTGGATTTACAGTAAAAATTGTCTTGGAATCTGCCGTAGAAACCATGGTGGCTCGAAATTCATCATAGGAAACTCTAACATCGGCAATGAACAGCACTGCACATCAAAGGAAAACATTAAATTCCGTTTGTATTTAATGGATATGCTAGTAAACGCTTTCATTATCGATACGTGTGTGTTGATATCTGCTGAATCGTGAATTATCTCAAAAAATGTCTGTGTCACTTTTGTTTCTTCTGCCATTAGGTATGAAAATGAAAAGGATTTTAACTCTACATGCAGCTTTGATTTTGATACGTAATCTTTCATTGCAATGCAAAAAAGGTAAAGACAGTGCTATTCACAATTACCCGTATCCAAGGCTACCCAGCTTTGTGCAATGTCTATCATATCAGACTCCCATCTGAAAAAAAAAGCCAGACAGCGTTACATAAAATATGTATATAATACTATTGATTAAACTGTACTTGGAATGACCATGGCATTTGTCACAGATCATTTAGAGCAAAGAAGTTCTGATCGTCTGTTGCTATACAGCGAATCTGATTCCAGGTAATGTATAGCATGCATACAAGTTTGAATTGTGCATCAACAGTCCACATAATAACCATCCTACGTGCTGTTTTGATTGCAAGAAATTCATACAAACTTTATTTCGTTATTCTTTTCTTTAAGCCTTATGTCGCACAACATCGAAATAAGTCTTATGAATACCTGGCAGAAACTCCTAGAAACGCGTTGTACGAATAATAAGTTATAAATTGTATTTGTGTCAATAAAAGGGACAATTTTCATTTTTTGTTTTGTTTTTTTTTTGTAATGAGCCTACCCTGTCATTTATGAAAATTCTTATTTGATCGATATTCTGCAAAATAATAAAAATGACATCTAATTTGTAAATATTTCATACAATCAGGTTATAGATATGTATATATACATTTTACTTAGTAAGTTGCGGTCTGATCTTTTGAACGGATCCGACATGAGCAGAACTCGAAAAGCTTTTCAGTACAGCGCTGATGGTGAAATACTAAAAAAACGAGAAGTATATATATATTGGATTTTATTTTCCATGATGATAATTTCCTTAAATATGACAACTACAACATGCATCTGCAGCAGTTTCAAAGCCAAGAGAAACCTAGAATGGCATGTTATAAATTACTGGGGGAGAGGCTTGTAAACATTATATGACTTAGGATCGTTACCTACATAAACCATCGCGTTATATAGAGAATTCATGGTCAGTGTCTTAAAAAGGAAGCTGTATTAGGATGAAGGAAGACGAAAGTGAGGAGCCACACTGTCTTCTGTCCCGAGCCAAAACGCAAAAACGCAGCTTATGTTTTAACACTGACCATGCATTTTTCTATGCTGCAACATTAATTAAAAATCAGACAATCAAAACTTCAACAGACTGGTTTTGTTGTTAAATCTTTGTTTACCTGAAGTCAACGTTGCGCTGAATTTTGTCAAAATAATTGCTCCGCGCAGAAATACAGTTCCAAACTTCAGAGATATGCAAGTGATTTTTTGAGTTTTCATAAACTTTTCATTACAACATATAAAAACGCTTCTTACAACAAATAGTTTTATTGTTAAGCGTATCTTTAAGTACATTATTTCGGAATAATTTTGCGGAACATGATAGCAAGTTTTACATATCCCAATGGTATTCCAAGAAACTCTTAAATGAACACTTGTTATTCAGCAATGGGTGTAAAATGAGTATTCGTTAATGCCTCCACCAAAGGGTGACGTTTGTTTTTAAAGCCAACTTAGAGATTCCCAGCGGATTATTTTTATGTGCCAATACGTACCGAGTATAAATATTACATTTTTTCAAGAACCAGTGGGATCTGCGGCATTTATTATGTGAACTTAAACGAGATCCCAAAAAACCCGACAGGTAAGATTTCCTTCGGAAACGGTTTTTCTACCAAGTGATTGTTACGGGAAATATCTTCGGAAGAATTTCATGTAGAATAAGATAGAACGAGAAAATCTTGTAGAAGTAATTTTGCAATAAGTATAACTATTCAAGGGAAATCGTTACTACTCGAAATATATATTACAACGTACAAGCCTATTTTGAATAAATATATTTACTGTCATTCGAGTCAAAGTCTAACGGAATGTGGTCATTGTGTCATTTCGTTAAAGAATCTTGTTATATTATTTTTGTATTAATCATATTTATTTGTGAATTTTTACATATAAAGGCTTTAAAGACTGACTTTTAACTGATCCGCTCTGCCAGATTATTTCTATTTCAAATTATTTTGAAACTTAAGAAAAATCAATTGTTTTACAAAATCAAGGCAAACGAAGCGCATGTTTCATCCATCAGTTTCAGTTCGCATCTCTTTGTTTTCTTTCCTGTTTTGGTAGTTATGTCCTTCACCGGTCCTATCTGAAAACAATAGCACAGAGTACTTCATAACATTTTTTCAAGTTGGTCGTTGGTCTGATGAAAGTGTCAGTGAAGTCAGCAAAACGCCACACTTAAATCTACTGCTTGTGAGCAAGAACTTCTATTCCAGTAGAATAATATATATATATGTAATTACAATACAGTGGGTTTTTTTTATTCTTAAAGCTGTAGTTTTGTAATATACATTTGACATTCAGACTCGACAACTTTACATCTACGTAATTACTTTTTAGAAGTTTTGATAGTCATAGTCATAACTTGGTATCAACCTTTACCAAAGTGACTTGATAAAATAAATTTTTAAGTCGCTGCAGTCGTTAGATATTCTGAAATCAATGTTATTTACCCTTCTGACAACAGTTAAAAGATTGATGTGTTCTCCACTCAGACTCTGGCCGTGTGCAATAACATCTTCTAGAATGTAATAGTCATTATTGGCTTTGATTGGCACATTTTGAAGTCCATGGAGAAAGTCAGCTTCTGGACCCGAGTAATGATCAATGTTGGAATGATTTTCGCTAAATGTGATGTTGAAAGACCTTTTTAAAGAAGAAACGTTACATCATTAAATAATCTGCAACGCTGTATAATACATTTGACGGGTTCAATATTTCTCGTTCGTCAATTGCCAATAGTAGCTATGAAGTCGCTAACGCGCAAAAAAAACTTATATCACTTACATAGGTGTTGAAGGTTTATACTTGTCTTCATAGCCATCGTAAGATTTAGGCTGAACTTGTACATTAGAGAGTTGAACTGAAACGTTAAAAACAATTCGTAAAGATGACTCCGTAAGTCTAAAAAATGAAACAAAAACGTGTACATGCTTAATTTACTCATTGGTTATCACTTATAATATATGTTAAACGATCTATCGTCAATATTAAAACGAAGATACTTTGACAAGCATTTTAACGATACAATTCAAATTCAAGGTTAATCAAACAAAATCTTTGTAAGATTGTACTATGTTTACCAATGTCTGAAATAGCAAATTTTGCTGCAATATCTTTGATTCCAAGTTCTGTTCCCCAGCATGTGACATTTACAAAACAGGACGGCGCATCTCTAAGCACGAAACTCATCAAGTACCTCTCAGTACCAGGGTCTTCCAGGGAAGAAATAAACAATTAAGTTTATGAGATATAAATGTTTAAAAACAATGAATAATAACATTTTCAAAACTACGGTTTCTTGCTTCTATTGCATAGATAACGAAAAGAAATCATAATTACAATGTTGAGCATTTTAGTACGTTATTCAATTTTATTAGACTTTTCGAAAATTACTAAGGTTATTACCTATGATTGCTTACATTTTTCCAAACGGACGAACTTCGCTATATACTGCTTGCTATCTTTTGGGGTTTGAAAAAGATGTATAGTGTGTTCGGTCTTCAAAACGTTATAAGATTTGTTGTCTCATTTACTTTATTTTATAAGCTAATTTTACTTTCGTTTTTTTCACGTTTTCATTATTAATCGTTAATAAAAAAGTGAAAATATATCAAAAGTATCGGCTCGTAAAATAATGTGATTGATATAATAAAATATCGTTTTATTTAGAGACTGCTGAATATCCTTATCTGAATGGACCAACGACAACAAAAGTTCAGCTAACTTTTCTTGCTTTGTATGCACTTTGGGACGTCTTTGGTCAAAATTATCCCAGCGACAGCCTGAAAAAAAGGACAGATTCAGTAGCGCGTGCGCATGAAGAATTTGTTGACCGAAGGTAATGTTTTAAATTGAGAAGATGTCCTTGATGTTTTCTCATTTTGAAAAAAACAAAAAACAAACAAAAGAAAACAAAAACAAAAACAGCAGTTGATGAGGATAAAAGGTCTGTTTTTGGTCGTAAAATAATCAGTTCCGTGGGTTATCATGAAATTAGTATCCATAAATCTGTACACAAATACACTTCAATAAACAATCTGTTTGGACTACAGCATTTTGTTTGTGCTAGCTGCTTCAATAACTTTAACATATGTTGTATAGGCACATATTGAGTTAATTAATAAGATACACTGAGACTTTAAAATAAGGTTGGTAAATGTGTTGTTGACTAATTATAAACTGACTTACGGGACTTGATATTCCGGGATGCAGATTCTCCAGTTTTGTCAAGGTCGTATTCTTTACAATATCACTTTTAGGATATTTTGTTCTGCGATCAGAAGATTCAGCAGCGTAAGAGACATCATTAAAATCAGAAAACCTGCCTGTCCAAGCCATCACAGAAACTGTCGTCTGCTATCAGCAGGTGTTGCAGACGATGCAAAACGATCTCTTTTTGAAACTTCTTAAAATCGTTCGTATGCGAATTCTTCTTGTAAAAACTATATCATAGTGTCCTCATTTTTTCTCCCTCCTTTCTTGATCTTCTCCCTTTAAACGTTTCTGTGATAATGTAGAGCTTGATTATCTTCTTTTATGGGCAGATAATAGTTTGTTTACAAAGTTGCACGTGGTTCACTATTGACAGATGGCGCTTTTTTTGACAAGATCAGTATCAACATTACGTTTTAATCGATAGTAACACGTTAGCGTTGATCAAGCTTTGAATTAACGTTGCTGCAACCGAATGGACGGATCGGAAGAAAACGCAAGCACGGCTTCTGAAGTTAGTGGACATTTTCTTCGGTTATATTTGAATCAATACATGTTTTCTCGTTTTACATGAATAGCCCATTTGACAATATTGTGTTCATTCCCACACCCTTGCCCACAAGGACCTGCTATACTGACATGTTACGTTTACTGATAGATGCAAGGATTGACATTATCAGCTGATTGTTGAAAACAAATCATGTCAAATGTCAAATCAGGCAATTGTATCCACAGTTTCTGCACCTCATACTCAGTATGCTGTGTAGATGACTGTGTATTTTACTTCGTTTGTTTACAATACAGTTACGTATCTGTGGTCATGTTATAATGCTATAGGGAGGGGATTTCTGTTGGTGTGAACTTCGGATATAGGCCAATAAGGATGTATTTCTTGTTGCGTTTCTTTTTGTAATCTTGGATAAACTCATCATCTCTCTGCTGCTGGGTTCTCTAGTATCCAGTGGAATGTACAAGAAAGAATAATGTTAAATCAGGTACCCAGCATGGTGTCATTGACACTTTTTTATTGTTGATATTCATCAAACCTTGAATATGACACCTACCTACCACAAGATAACTATACCTACATCTGTGGGCCTGTACTGGATCCCATGAGCCACCTTCCTCTGATCTTAAGTCGGACAGATATTTACCCATCCTTACTTTGATATAGGTTTCTCTCTCTCTATGACATGTAAAAAATCTAAGTCTTATACTGAGTTTTTATTTTTTCTCCTTCATGCAGTTTTCATTGGTAAATTGCTCCAACTTAGGCCAATTGAAACATCCATGCTATCCAACTGAAAAGCTGAGAGTTTCAAAATAGCTGTTGGTAGAAGGAGGCCTGGTATTAATATTAGCACTATATCTGCCTTGGAATGGGTCACCTAAATGTCTAAACATGAAAAACTGTTTGCTGATAGCTATTTATGCATTGCAGGAGAAGTCTGTCTCACCAGACATGGAGCCTAAAGAACAGGAAGAAAATGATTTTGGCAGACATTTTGCACTTTACTCCTGTAATGTACACAAGTGAGTCAGGGTTACCTTAGAGTGCTGATTATTCTTTTCAAAGGCAATGGTTAAGCATGTATCTTATGATTTTTAAATTATTTGTTGAGCTTGTGTCATTTTCCTTTGTTCATTCTTCGTATAAAGTACTGTTTTAAATTATACATATTCTGTTTAACAGAGAAGAGAAAAACTCAGAAACTGATAGTGTAGCATCAGGAAGCAGTCAGACTGATACCAATTTTAGGTAAGTCACATAAATCTGCAGTGAATTGGGTAGGCATTTGCTTCTAATGTGAAAGTTATTAGATTTATTCAAACAGACGCAGGATCAAGATATTACTTATATATACATCACCATCAAATGCTGTTGCATTGTCCAGTAATACGGCTTTCCCGTCTTCCCTCCGACTTAGAGTCAGAGGTTATGTATTGGCCTTGTGGCCTTATTTCATGAACTTTCATTAGTGACTTTGTATTCCAGACTCAATTGTTGGGTCTTTCATACATATGTTCGGGTGTGTATTATATTGAATCCAACATGATTTCATACAGCATGTCAGTACAGTGTTAACATTATGGTTTAAATCTCTGAGTTGTCCGTATATATACAAGTACATTGAAACCTTGATCAGGATGATTTCTACAGATTTTCCTCATTATGGTATATATTAGCTTGGCCTTTAGATACCATTTCAGAATTGTGTATGAATTTTATGTTTGAATACTATAAAAATATATTTAGTTTTGGGAACTGATTCCATTAAATGATTCCACATGTAGTTTTTATTTTGAAATATCTTTCCTCAATAAACATGAGCTGTTCTGTTGATTTTTTAGTTTATCTGTTTTGTCTACTGATTTGGATGCACCTGTTGAGACTGAACTCAGGAAATTCATTTGTCAGAAATTGATGAAGAATTTGGTTTATAGTGATAATGGATCCATAGCCTCTATGGAATATAGGTAAGTTCTGTTGAAGTTCCAGGATGATGAAGAATCACTTCTGCTACAGTCAGTGGAACTGTTAGATAGTAGCCATCAACTCTTTACATATGGCGAACATTTGGAACATCCAGATCAGTGTTGAAAATTGTCAGTATAACAGCTAGGTGAATTATAATGTAATGCTAACTTCAAATAGTCCAATTTAAGTCTTTTGTCTACTGTAGAGCCAGTCCTCATGTCAATTAATGAATATGTACATGTTGATAGTAATGGTTATGATTATGATACTATCTTGATTGATATTCGAAGTAAATGTTGACCCTGATATATCCATCACACAGCAAATGTTGACCCTGATATATCCATCACACAGCAAATGTTGACCTGATATATCCATCACACAGCACCTGATATATCCATCACAAGCCCTGATATATCCATCACACCTCACACAGCAAAATGCTGATATATCCATCACACAGCAAATGTTGACCTGATATATCCATCACACAGCAAATGTTGACCCTGATATATCCATCACACAGCAAAATGTTGACCCTGATATATCCATCACACAGCAAATGTTGACCCTGATATGTCCATCACACAGCAAATGTTGACCTGATATATCCATCACACAGCAAATGTTTACCTGATATATCCATCACACAGCAAATGTTAACCCTGATATATCCATCACTCAGCAAATGGTGACCTGGTATATCCATCACACAGCAAATGGTATATCCATCACACAGCAAATGTTGACCCTGATATATCCATCACACAGCAAATGGTGACCTGGTATATCCATCACACAGCAAATGTTGACCCTGATATATCCATCACACAGCAAATGTTGACCTGATATATCCATCACACAGCAAATGTTGATATATCCATCACACCTGATATATCCATCACACAGCAAATGTTTACCTGATATATCCATCACACAGCAAATGTTAACCCTGATATATCCATCACACAGCAAATGTACCTGATATATCCATTGACCTGATATATCCATCACACAGCAAATGTTGACCTGATATATCCATCACACAGCAAATGTTGACCTGATATATCCATCACACAGCAAATGTTGACCTGATATATCCATCACACAGCAAATGTTGACCTGATATATCCATATGACCTGATATATCCATCACACAGCAAATGTTGATATATCCATCACACAGCCTGATATATCCTCACACAGAGATATATCCATCACACAGCAAATGTTGACCTGATATATCCATCACACAGCAAATGTTGACCCTGATATATCCATCACACAGCAAATGTTGACCTGATATATCCATCACACAGCAAATGTTGACCCTGATATATCCATCACACAGCAAATGTTGACCTGATATATCCATCACACAGCAAATGTTGACCTGATATATCCATCACACAGCAAATGTTGACCCTGATATATCCATCACACAGCAAATGTTGACATTGATATATCAATAACAGTAAATTTTGACCCTGTTATTTCCATAATGCAGCAAATGTTGACCCTGATATATCCATCACACAGCAAATGTTGACATTGATATATCAATAACAATGAATTTTGACCCTGTTATTTCCATAACGCAGCAAATGTTGACCTGATATATCCTTAACACAGCAAATGTTGAACCTTCTATATCAACAACACAGTAAACAGTTATATCGCTAATATGGTTATAGTGGATCTTAGTGGTATTTATGATACAGTAAATGTTGACCTTCATGTATTTATACCATAATGAATGTTTGCCCTAATGGTATTTATAACACAGGTCAGATGATGATGTGAAAACGAGTTACTCCTGTTATTACTGTATGTTGGAGAACATAGATGAAAACCCACTGATGGTCAATGATGACAGAACACCAGACCCACAACAAAGGAAATACATCATTTGTTTCATGGCACTACAGAAAAACAGTTTGGATTAATATCCTTTTGACACTGTTCATTTGTACTAGTTCATTTACATAGATAAAGTTTGAGGTAATCTTATTTTAATTTCAGGTTGTATATGAAGGTTCACAAAGACCAACATTACTGTTGCTACATATTACAAATTGTCTCCCCTATTAAATGTTTTTATGACCGTGTCTATTCTGTTGACTGTTTCCCATAGTAAATATATTTAAAGAATAAGATCTACAAATAATGTAATCATAAACAATGTTTAATGCATTAAAAGCTGACATAAGGCTTTTACTTATAAGTATGTATATTAATAAATCATTGTCTGAAACTGGGATCCAAGTTTATATTGTATGGTGTTTAACATTGTATATCTGAAGTAGAATGCAGTTTGAAGTTGTTTTTTTTTTATCAGAAGTGCATGTTTGATATTTTACTATTATTATCCTGACTTGAGAACTTTTCAACAAGAACTTGACATCTATTCCAAGGGAGTTGTGAAATACCTTGATCAGCAGGTAAGACTTTCTCCTAGCACTGTATAAGAACCTATACAATGATTTTTTTCATCATATATATAGTCTCAAAAACATTCAACATTATGCTAACAATATAGCCCAAATTAGATGTTAGATGCTTAAGAAGTACACCAGATCCTTGTTTTATCAAGGATGACCATCACTGAGACAAGTACCAGTCATTAGTAGCTAGGTATCAGTATATAGTAAAATGCTTGAATCTGCATAAATAGTTTTAAGTCTGTTTCTCTTCTTTAGAATTTAGAAAACATTATTTTAAGAGGTTGCACAAATTTTACCTAACACTATTTTCTGCCGGGTGGTTGTACATCTTATTATATACCTGGTAAGGTATGATATTTTTGTCACAGCAGGCTATTATTTACTGAAAATGATAACAATGTTTAAATTGCAGTAACTTAAATTAAAAAAAATTTCTCAACACTTTTTGCATTTACCTGACCACAAAGATATCAAAACCAAAGGCAAAAAATTTCATTTTGTTAATAATAGTATGGAAAATATAATTATTCAATACCTGTGTAGTTGATCAGAAATATACAACAAGTTCATTGGAAAGTTAGAAGTAAACACAAGTACAATGTAAAAATGTGAACAATTAAAAAAAACTGGTAGAATATTTGATGTACATGTATCTTCAAAGTTACAAACATTCAGAATGATATAAATACCTTTTTGTAAAATTTGTATATAGCCTTTGAGGATATGCACAGTCGTACTTGTAACATATTTAACAAGTTTTCTTGTAACGACTTGTTAAATTGATTAACAGTTTTCTCTGCTTGTGTATCATATATTTTGACATAATGCATGGCTTTCTTACCTTACTTGGCCTTCATACTTTAACAAAGGTTTGCTGTGATCCTAAAATACAAGGAGAACAAGGTACGCCGGATGATATATCCAAGGTAACACTATAATACATAACTTTATCTTTGTGTTTTTGGGTATACAATGAAAGTTCATGCTCTGTATATAGGTAATATAGTTTAAGGCTAATATGAGTCGCAATGATAGAAAAAGCAATCTTGTGCTATGTTTTTGCAGAGTTAGATGAGATTAAAATAAGTGATTTTGATACATATATTGCAAATTATAGAATGTAGAAAAGATTACTCATGATTGTTTTAAGGATACAAACTTTTACTAATGAGTGGAGTTCTGTCTTAAGTTTTGTGTAAAGAAAGTTTTTTTATTATAAACTCTTCCCACTCCCCAAATGTATCCTGAGGAAAGTAAACTGATGTGTTTGTTTTTCGTATGCATTGGTTTTTATCCACAAATGATGCAATGTGTCATGGTATTACATAGTTTGTTCGTCCGTCCTTCCATCCTTCCGTCCTTCCGTTCTTCAGTAGTCTTTCATGAACATTTATTTGTAATGACATTTCACTGATTTTTGTTTAACTTTGTGTGATTAAAGGGATATTCCAGACAAAGTAGGATTTCATGGATGCTTTTGAAGAACAATTGTACAAAATCATCTACTTATGTTCTTATGGAAATCCTACACCTCAATTTACCATTTAAACAAACATATATTTATAATCAATATGTGGAAAGTCCTTATAGATCTATCTAGATCGATTTACAAACATTTGCATGTCTCTGATTATGCCATTACAGGTTTTCATTACTTTAAGTCAGGCAGAATGAAATATTTGTGTAAATTATAAAATTAACAGAAAATAAACCTAATGAAGTAATAAAATTGTAACCCAGAAATTTTAGTGAACAGCATACACACGTGTGTATTTACCAGATACTCTACATAAATCTGTGATCCAGTGTTGTTTCAGCTCCAGATATCTGCATTTCCGATGCGCTACATTTAGACGGTTTGGCTGGGAGCCTGCGTAATCCCACCAATTCTGCCTGTCCAAACTGACCACAGCAAAGATATTCTGATGCTATCATTAGTTTTAAAGTCATTAGAATGAGTTTTTAAAAGGTTCAGAACAACCAGAAATTTTGCAACTTGGGAGGAACATCCCTTTAATCACCATGACATAAAGTTGTCTTTTTCTGAATGGTAGTGTTATTAGAGTGTTCAATGTATTAGGAAGATTAAATGTCCCTTGTTTTCATATTGTTGATCTTGTCTGGAGATTGATTCTTCCAGTTTTCAACAAGCATCTCTCTAACTTCGTAGGCTTGATCATTATGAACTGAAGTTGTGTTTTCCTGTACTCATATCTTATTTGATTGGAAAAGTTATTACTCCTTGTTGTTTTCAAAGTGTTAAATTGTCCAGAGATCTCCTCTATCAGTTTTCAACCAATTTCTCACAAACTATGTAAGCTTTATGACCATTACATTAAACTGTGTTTACCTAAATGGCTTATTCATTTGATCATTTTTGAAAGAGTTTTTGCCTTTTTGTTTATTTCAGCATTTCAATCTTATTCAAATATTTCCTTCCTCAATTTCTAACCAATTACCATATTGATTTAAGTGAAAATGAAGAAATTTGCAGCATCTGTGTGCCATAAATTAAAAAAAAAAATCAGTTTTGTGTCAGCCATAGAGATGTTGCCATTAGTTTTTGTTTCATTTTTTTTTCAACATCTTAATCTTTCCTTTTTTTTCTTATTTTTTGGTGTATTTCCTTGAAACTTTTTTTTCTTTGCAATCACCTTTTCTCTGGTGTTGTGCATCCCTAAACAGTTTGACCCAACAGGGGCCTGATGGGAGAGACCAAAAGTGTCAAATTGACTCAAACTTCAAAAAATCTTCCTCTCAACACCCAGATATGGTAGAATCAAATGCTCTTCATGAATGGATGCATCTTAATGTGCTTTACCAAAATTGTAAATTTTAAGTCCCCAGAATTTCACATTTTCCATGGGAAGTGGGTAAAGTATACCATAGTTTCAAGAAGACAGTAGAATTTTGAGCATCATTTGTTTAATTTCCATTGGTTAATCCTGGCTGACCTCTAGGGTTTGATGGCAAGGCCTAAAGTGGTCAAATTGACTTAAATTTCACAGATCTTCTTCTCAACACCCAGATATGGTAGAATCAAATACTCTTCATGGATAAAAGCATCTTAAGGTGCTTTACCAAAATGGGTCTCACATTTCTTCCTGTAGAGGAGGTTAATTTTACTCTACATTTATAGAAAAGTTGCATTTTTGAGCAAAACATTTGTTTCCCATTGGAAATAAATTGGTAGGAATTATTAGTATAGGATGATATTTTCGATGGTATGCTCGTATTAACACTGGCTTACTATCATCAATGTCACAATTTCTTCTTCATGACACTTGAAAGCTACTTATCCTTTAACCTTTATATTCAATATTGCTCTCTTGGGTTACTGTCAAGGCCGCTACACCTCTTGTATATAACTTATGGACAGGTATCCTGCATGTTCCTTTCATGGAATTTTTCATTTTTGGCTCACCTTGCCTAAAGGGCCAAGTCTGTCTGTCAACTCTTCCTTCAAACTGTTACTAGTCACAATCGACTGAGCAGATTTTGACAAAATTCATTCAAAAGAGCCCTTTGGGGAAGGGGACACAATTTTGTAGAAATGATGGATCTTGGGTCCCAGGGGCAGGAGGGGCAAGGCCCTATAGGTGAAATAAAGCAATACTGTAAAACCTTTTTCTTTAGGAATGCCTGTATTCTGTCCCAATTTGGTCTGAAAAATCCTTAGGAGAATAGAAATCAATTTTCTACACTGTATTGATAACAGTGGTTAATATGGCATATTGGAAGGGCAACATAAGAAAACTAACCTCAGACATCTAATAAACTGTGTAGGCCTACATGTTTTCATATGATTTGTAAAAAATTGATTATCCCTGATTTATGGTCACATTTGTTAAAACTTTGTTAAAACATCAGAATAGCATTACATCTAGGTAAAAGTCACGAGCCATTTTGTGTGGCATTATTTGTTACATAGATCAAAGTTCAAGGTCACAGGGGTCAAATTTGGTGATTTTTTTTCTTAAGTACCAGGCGAATAAATGTCTTCATATCTGTCACCAAACTGAAATGAAAGAAATAAACCAGGTGAATTTTTTGCATTTACTGTCACTATACAAAATGTGTAATGTGTAACGTGTTTAATTGTGATTTTGTTAACTTTCAACATTTTTTTAGCTGACAAATATTGACACTTCTGTGCAAGCTTACTTGGCAAACTGGTGTGAGGTGACCATGGATTACACATGTCGATGTATGAAAATACTCAAGCAAAGTTCAAAGTACATACTCTATGGGGTAAGTATGTATTGCATTGAACCTGTCAACACTGTCAATAATATAGCTTGGTACAATTTAAGACATTTTTATGCTGCAGTCATTTTATAGGATAATGGTTAAATCAGACACTGACAGTTGCACCTTTTGTTCATAGCAGTTACAATATAAAACATTTCTACATTTGTATACTGATGGTTCAAAAGATAATGATAAAGTTGCTGCTGCCATGGTTTCACAAGATGAAGTCTATGGATGCTGGCTACCGAACAACGCCTCTATATTCTCGGCAGAAGTGTGAATTATTAACCTTGCCCTCGAATATATTCAAACAAACAAAGTAAGAGAGCTCTTTCTGTACTTCAATGTTTTAGGAATAGAAATATTGAAAATAACTTCCATATTGCTTTTTTGCTGGGTTCCTGGGCACATGGAATACAGGCAATGAAAAAGCAGCTTTATCGCTACAACCTGTTGTTTTTAAACTTCATTTCACTGATTTTAAACCATTTATCGCACACTTTTTAACAGCTCAGTGGCAGGAGGAATGGAGTCAATATACAGATAATAAATTGCACTTTGTAAAACCTATCATCAGTGAATGGTCTCTATACTATAGAGACCAACCACCGAAACAAAGTTGTCCATTCCCATCTTCGATGGGCAATACATACCTTACTTATTCATATATGTTGAAAGGTGAAGATAATCCTCGCTTCATAGGATGTGATGAGCCATTCAAAGTTAAACATTTGTTAGTGGACTGCATTGACCTTCTGTCTACTCAAGAAAACTTTTATCGTAATGTTACAGGTCTAAAGACCTTTCTTGAAACTGTTGAAATTTATAAAATTCTAGGTTACCTGAAAGATGTCGGCCTATATTATTGACCATGACTTACCATTTTATTCCTTTGTGATAATATAAACGTTTTTAGCATTTGTCTTTTACAGTTTAGTTTGTTTGATGTTTTCCCTTTTTGGATTGCTGTGTGTTTCCTCGGTTGATGGCCCTAGTGACCTTTTATGTGTTGACCGGATGTCAAGACTGTAATAATAATATTATATAGGATGGGAGATATATAGTTTAACATATATCAATGCACCACATCCCATTCAGAACCAAATTAATATCTTGAAAACGTCCCAATAGAATTGAGTAATAACATGAAACTCTATACCTTATCAGATACCTGTTTAAACAGGAGTAAGGGCAGTTCTTATAGACATTTGTAGATTTCATATCGCAATAATAACTTGATTGTGACTTCACCTTGGTTTAGCCACAATTACATCTTATAATGAGTTTGGTGCTCTCACATTTTGTTCATGTATCACATATATATATTAAAGACACCAGTTATTGAACTTATTATACAATACAAACTTTGTGGATGAATTTCAGATAAGACATGTTTTTTACTGAGTGCAAAAAAAATGTACTACCTTACTCTATAGGAATGACCAGGTCAAAATTCAGTATAATAATATATATTGATTCTCTTGTCAATTTTGTCAACATAGCAGATGGGTGTGACTTACCTTGATCTTATGTGATTTTCAGGCATTAGTGGATGCCAAGTTCCAGTTTGAAGGTATGACAGAACAACAGAAAGAGGACTTACAGAGGTACTGTCATAAGAATGTTTTAAATAATCTTAAAATGATGTACATAAAGGATATTTTAATGACTATGCTGTCACTTTCATCAGGCAAATGACAAGTGTGAAATGTATGGATGTTTGAAATATGACTGTAACCCTGGTAAAATACTATTCACAATACCTCTCAGCTAGAAGGAACATCTCTTCAGCTCAATCGGTTGAGTGTCAGACTAGTAAACCAGAAGTTCCAGGTTCAAACCATAAAAGAGACACTGAAATAGATAATGACCTCTGTTACATAACTATACCAATAGCAGTACATTCTTATCAAGCATTTGTTGCTTCAAGGAACTGAGTTAGATGTTTCATTCCTAAAAATATCAGACAGCTGTTTGCTTTGCTTTAAAATTGTTTTTTTCACAGTTATATAACTATACATATCACAAGAGTATGGAACACCTGTGCTGTAACCTACCATGGTTTATTTCTTTCAAGGTTTCTGAATGCATGTAATTTGTCTGAGATTCTAAAACAAACAGACCAGGAGAAGCGAGAGGCTAGTCCAGCATCAACGGGGAGCCTGGATTTACTGGTTGACCTGGGAGAGTACCATGCTACACCCCAACAGACACTCACATTAGTTCTGGCAGAGGATGTTGTTAATTGTTCACCTGAAGGTATGTATGATGTAATACATTCATGTCTAAAAGGCTGACTTCAGGGAGAATAATGGAGACACACCTTTGTATAATAAACATTGGCCCCACCCCCTGACATACGACAGTGTTACTCGGCTATATCTGAAGGTATGTATGTGATACACTGTTGTAATCTGTTCTTTCATAATACATCTACATGTAGATCATCCTGGGTGATGTTGAAGTGTCTTGTCTAGGTGTCGTGAACTTGTGTTTTTACCATACATACACAAAAGTAAGCTAAGTAAGGGAGATAAGTTTGATCAAATTACTGTACCTCTCCTGTACCAATAGAGAGATAAGTTCTATCAAATTACTGTACATTTCCTGTACCAATAGAGGGATAAAGTTTTATCAAATTACTGTACCTCTCCTGTACCAATAGAGAGATAAGTTCTATCAAATTACTGTACATTTCCTGTACCAATAGAGAGATAAAGTTTTATCAAATTACTGTACCTCTCCTGTACCAATAGAGAGATTAAGTTTTATCAAATTACTGTACCTCCCCCATGTATATCACATATTTTGTTTTGTAGTTTGCACAGCCTTCTGTAAGGATTGGGGTAAAGTTCTGAACAAAACTGACCCCAATAGAGCTAGTCAAATCCGACATGTTTTGGAAGCTTTTAAGATAAAGGTATGTGGCTAGGGTTATATGTTTATGATGATTTAAATATACCTGGGAAATGGGAAGGGTTAAACATATATATATATATATATATAATTTGTTTTTTTTTTTTTTTTGATAATGAGATATGGTTATTTCAAGGTAGGTAGTAATGATATCTATGCAGGTTTATGATATGATAATCATTGGAATTATAATTTATTCATATTTCAAAAATAATTTATCATAAAACTCTTCTACACTTCCTTAGGTTTACATAAAACCAAAAAGTAGTGGTATATATGGCAAATATTGGAGCAGTTTCTGTTGTGGATGAAGAATGCATTAGAGTTATCCTTCTTAGGACTTGATGTTTATAATGAGTATTTGTTGTTTTCAGTACATCCAGAGTATTAATACTCTGAAGAGACTTCTTATCCAGGCTGAAGCAGATTACTATGCATTATACAAGTAGGTGTTTCTATCAGGGGATGTACATTACTTTATTATGCAAGTTTTTGAAAAATTTTCCTGTTATTTTATTAAATATATCTCAATGTGAATTATGATTTTAATCTTGGAAAACATGACACGATTTAGTGTCATAATTGCTTAAAATATCAAATTCAGAATCTTTATTAATGATAAGATAGCACAAAAGACCCACAACTGGATAGCACCTTTTAATACAAGTTAAAAATTTAGATACAGTAAAGCCAAAAAATTAATTAAACTGCATCATACAGCAGTTTTATCTTTCCAGGAGTCATCAGAGGTGCTTAGGGCCTAAATTCTGAAACCCAGAAAGGGGCAGAGACAAATCAAAATTAATAAAAAAAAATGTCAAAAATTAGATGGGGCAATGCATAAGTCCCATAAATAATAAAAAAAACCCATGATTTTCACATAATTTCAAAAGAGTGTCAAGTACATGTGTACATTCTGAACTGTGCCACTATTCAGATGAATTATCAGGTGACATGCAGGTTACTGCAAACCTTGGTGGAGAAGACGTGCTATGTTTAGTGGATTTTTATCACATAATCCACCAGTCATCAAGTAAAATCAATCAAAAGTACCAAAGTAGTACAAAATATATCTTAAAGTTTCAAGGCAAAAATAAAAACTTCTAAATCTTGTTTCGTAAAATCTTATACAAAATGAAAACATTTATATAGATAGAATAAGAAGAAAAAGTTATGTTATTCAAAATGTTGAAATAAAGGCTATGTAACACATTTTTTCATTTGATAATTTTCATGATCTAATCCCTGATGTATTCATGAATTCTGTTGCTAGCCAGAAGATTGTGATATTTCAATAATTACATCACTTTTAGACTTAAATTATTTTAAAATGGGGATAATGTAAAGTGTTTTATGCATGTACTGGTGATTTAATAATGAATTTTGTCATTTTTACACTCGATTTCGTCTCATGTTTAAACCAAAACTCAAGATCTCATCTCCAGAATATACTTAAAAACAAGCATACTATTCCCTAATTTTGTTTGATTCTATCTTACTCATTTTTTACATTTTAGATCGTATGTATTCATTAAGAACTCTGGGAACTCTGAAATACTCTTAAACTATGGCCACCTAGACTCTATACCTGAAGTGCAAGATGTTGTCAAATCATTGAAGGAGTTCATCACAGAAATCAAGCAGAACCAGGGATGAAATCAAACCATGTGTGCAGCTTCTGTTTAACTGATATTTGTACTTTAAGGGAATATTATGAATATTTATTTCCCTATATCGTAAGTTCAATGGTGAAATGAAAAGAGTTCATTATGTAAGGTAAATCAAATATCAGATAACAAGAGAGTTTTGAAATTAATTTCCAAATTACTTCTACCTTGGTATTTAACACATTTTATCTTAATAAGAACATGCACTAATGGATGGGAGACTACTTTATTGACGGGATCAACTTCCTCCCTGATAACATTTTCTTAAATTCAATTTTAATGTATATTTATTTTAAGGATTTTATCTAGAACTGATTTGTTGATAATGAATTTGTTTTTATCTCATCAACAAATTTAGGATTAGTAGTTCTAGGCAGAAGGTTTAGTTAATTGGAATACATAACAAATCAAGCAGGCCTGTCATATTTATATAATATACTAATTGTTTATGGTAATTGGAGTTCTGATTTATCCACCAAATTCATTCTCAGCTGATAAGGTACACATTATACTTTCAGAGTCCTTATGTTCTCTAACACTTTCATTTACAGTTGGTTCATGATTACGTTTTATTTCATTCAGTTCTTATTAATCAAGTTCAAGTAGGAATCCTGATGGCAGTTGTTACTGACATTATATGCAGTCTAGGATTCAGCTTTTAAACAAATTATCAGTACCTCCTCCCACCATCCCCACCCTCCAATTAATCTGAGTTCTAATTATGTTCTGCAAGGTGTCAAACATGAAAGATTCACAAAAAAACTACTGAACAATTTTGATAATCAGCAGTTTTGTGCTAATTAAGAACCAGAGATCATTGATATCTGCTGTTTTTATGATAACAAGGTTGTGTTTTCTGTGTATACCAGTTCTATTAGGCAGCAAATGTTAAATTTGTTAAGAAGCTATTCGAAATATCTTATAATTTGAGCATGATATGCATAGTGATGGGTCCTTCAGTATGGAAGGCTGGCCAAATCACTCTTTTTATTGGTTAAAAACCTGTCTGGTTGTTAGATTTATCTGAAGGACATATAAAAGAAGTGTACATGTATATATTGGAACAGTGTACAGCAGGTATGGCATATAAAATACTTTGTAGTTGTTTGATGTGACAGGGCTAATGTTACTCTATTCAAGTTTAGGAAAGTTCAAAGGGATTAAATTTTGTGGGCATGTATAACATACATTTCCCAAGATTTTGTTTTACTGTAAAATGTTTACTGAGAGTCTTAATTTTTACTGCATCTTTAATAACTGTGAATAAAGTGAAATGTATTCCCTCCCAAATAAACCAACCATATAGTATTATGATAGCATCATGAGGACAAAATTTCTGTGCTGCTGTTCTTTAGTTTGGGTGAAAATGCAAGAAAATAATTTGTAATGATGTTATTAGAACTATGATGTATCAGGGAATCAGAGGCTCTATACAAGCTGGAACAGGTGATGTAAAAGTGTTTATAGATATTATACAATGTACATATTAAAAAGGGATAATGTTGTTATATATTTGTATTGTTCATGCTCTCTTGTCATTCTATAGACTTCATGGTACATTTGCCTACTAAAGAATAGTATTTCAATGTAAAACTTTATTATATTAATTCAATACACAGATATTTATTTCTCCATTCATAAACATATTGACATCCATTGTGTTGTCTGTATTTTTTACCCATAGACATGTAACTCATGTTGAAAGAGATACAAAAAAACGTAAAAAAATTGCCCTTGTCATTTAATCAGAAAAATTGATGTTAGAGAATGTTAGAAGTAATTTGGACTTACTAAAAATGTTCTCTATTTAAGATCTTCCTAATATTTATATATAGTAAAATATACAGATATTTTGGGAGGGGTGGGAAAGTTTTGCTTTGAATTCAAAATCAAAGGTCAGGGAAATTTGGATGTCAGTTTTGAAAATAAAATATATCAGATATTTTTTTTGAAAAATCAGTTGATCAGAATTCTGTTGAAGTAAGACAATAGCCTCATGTCCTGAACCAAAGTACTCATTACTGATGCCTTAATGTGACATTTGTTAAGACTTTCTGTTTAAAACTGATGTGTATGTATTGAAGATAATTTACTGGTATGGAGGTATTATTACCTTACTGTGACACAATTCAAGGGTTGATGACATGTGTAACAAGTTATTTGATACCAAATTTGTAATTTTATGGGAAATTGTCAACGTTACATGTAATTGCTGATAATTGTTTTCTCTGTTTTTATACCACTAGTTATATAATTTGAACTGTAGAAATCATGAAAATAAGGTTGTTGAAATAAAGTTATTAATGAGGTTCAGTAGAATAGTTGTGTTTGATTGCTGAAAGTATCATATTAATAGTTTGGTGAAATTTATTGTTTTTCAATATGGATAAATCTTATGTGGTTACGATAATGATTGAAGGCAATAGCTGTGTGAAGAAGCATAATAGCACATGTATTATATTTCACAAGATGATTTTAGGTACCCAGTGGAAGTGTTTTTACTGTTTACAATAACACATTACTGAGATGCAGGATAAGTTTTCCTTTAAATGCTTTTGGAAAGTCTGATATCTGCCTAAATATGCTTAGGAAAGAGCCTAGCAAATTTTCGTCCTCCTAATAGTTAAGATCATATAAAAACAGTGTCTATGTACAGTGACACCTCTCAACTGTCATAAGTAAGATAGTGTCATAATATTGACATAGCATGACAAGCCACTCACCCCCATTTTACTGCTGACTGATGAATTTGACAAAACCAACATTAAAAAAAATTCACCAAGTATGGACCCTGGTTTGAATTTGGCAGGGGATATGACCATTGGACTAGCAACATACTCTATGAAGTATTCCTGGGTTAGGCATTAGGCATTAGGCATCCTCCATACACCAGGGGTTTCAGTCACGTTCGCTCTCTTCACCTGTGAACATGTCATGACAAAATTGAACTCACTATCAAAGTAATTAGGGTCTCATACGAAAATGTGGGTGCCATATAGTAATCACAGTGTCCATCTGTCTGTCTGTCTGTCAGCACTTTTGTTTCTGTGTGATAACTTGAGTTTGCTTCGGCCAATCTCACCAAAATTTTATACTGTACTTCCTTACTGAAAGTGTTTGCTTAGGATTGCTTTACAGTTTTAAAGGTCAAAGTCCATGTTACTATGAATAGAAAAATCAGTTAAAATATCGCCTCTAACAAAACTTCTGTTCTGAACCGAAGGGAGAATAACTAGAACATGAGTACATGAAGGGCTGTCCTAATATTAATGTCCCGTGATATACATTAAAGTGAAGGAGACTGTGTGTTGTGGCACAGTCAAAATTTTGTTGACATTTCCTACCTTTTGCTCAGGACAGGAATTTCAAGCCACATAATGGAGCACTTGCTGACATAACAGTGTTCTAGTTTAATTGGTTAAGGAGGAAAAAAGCTGTCCAATCACAGGCTGATATGCTCCTTTTGAAGATTACAGAGGAGCTACACCTAACTTCAAAGTCATTACAACATACCATTTTGCTACCACAAGATTTGTCTATGTTCATCAAAGGATTCAACTAGTCTTTTCATCTTGCCCACAACATGTTGCACATGGAACCTTCTATATTGCCATGACATGTTCCAGGGGTGCAAAGAGCGAAAGTGGTTGTAATCTCTAGAGTATCAGGATGGGCTTTAGGGGGAAAAAGTACTTAAAATTAGGATAAAAATGAGGAAAATAAAAGCAGCAAAAATATGAAATATTCACAACAGTACAGTGACCAGTAGAGAGAGAAATACTTTAAAACACTACAATGACCAGTTCTCTGACAAGTGGAGAGTAAAGCTCTCTTATAGTACAGTGGCCAGCAGACAGTAAGAAATTCTCTTACAACAGTACAGTGGATGGTAGAGAGTGAAACATTCTTTTAAAACAGAACAATGGCCAGTATAGGGTAAGACTCTCTTACCACAGCACAGTGGCCTGTATAGAGTAAGTCTCTCTCTTACCACAGTACAGTGGCCTGTATAGAGTAAGTCTCTCTCTTACCACAGTGCAGTGGTCTGTATAGAGTAACTCTCTGACCACAGTACAGTGGCCTGTCTAGAGTAAGTCTCTCTCTTACCACAGTACAGTGGCCTGTCTAGAGTAGGTCTCTCTCTTACCACAATACAGTGGCCTGTATAGTGTAAGTCTCTCTCTTACCACAGTACAGTGGCCTGTATAGTGTAAGTCTCTCTCTTACCGCAGTACAGTGGCCTGTATAGAGTAAATCTCTCTCTTACCACAGTACAATGGCCTGTATAGAGTAACTCTCTGACCACAGTACAGTGGCCTGTATAGTATGTCTCTCTCTGTACCACAGTACAGTGGCCTATATAGAGTAAATCTCTCTGTTACCACAGCACAGTGGCCTGTATATCTCTCTTACCACAGTACTGTGGCCTGTATAGAGTTAAGTCTCTCTCTTACCACAGTACAATGGCCTGTATAGAGTAAGTCTCTCTCTTACCACAGTACAGTGGCCTGTATAGAGTAACTCTCTGACCACAGTACAGTGGCCTGTCTAGAGTATGTCTCTCTCTTACCACAGTACAGTGGCCTATATAGAGTAAATCTCTCTGTTACCACAGCACAGTGGCCTGTATAGAGTAAGTCTCTTTCTTACCACAGTACAGTGGCTTGTATAGAGTAAGTCTCTCTCTTACCACAGTACAGTGGCCTGTATAGAGTAACTCTCTGACCACAGTACAGTGGCCTGTATAGAGTAAATCTCTCTCTTACCACAGTACAATGGCCTGTATAGAGTAACTCTCTGACCACAGTACAGTGGCCTGTATAGTGTAAGTATCTCTCTTACCACAGTACTGTGGCCTGTATAGAGTTAAGTCTCTCTCTTACCACAGTACAATGGCCTGTATAGAGTAAGTCTCTCTCTTACCACAGTACAGTGGCCTGTACAGAGTAACTCTCTGACCACAGTACAGTGGCCTGTCTAGAGTATGTCTCTCTCTTACCACAGTACAGTGGCCTATATAGAGTAAATCTCTCTGTTACCACAGCACAGTGGCCTGTATAGAGTAAGTCTCTTTCTTACCACAGTACAGTGGCTTGTATAGAGTAAGTCTCTCTCTTACCACAGTACAGTGGCCTGTATAGAGTAACTCTCTGACCACAGTACAGTGGCCTGTCTAGAGTAAATCTCTCTCTTACCACAGTACAGTGGCCTGTATAGAGTAACTCTCTTACCACAGTACAGTGGCCTATATATAGTGTAAGTCTCTCTCCTACCACAGTACAGTGGCCTGTATAGAGTAAATCTCTCTCTTACCACAGTACAGTGGCCTGTATAGAGTAACTCTCTGACCACAGTGCAGTGGCCTGTCTAGAGTAAGTCTCTCTCTTACCACAGTACAATGGCCTGTATAGAGTAAATCTCTCTCTTACCACAGTACAGTGGCCTGTATAGTGTAAGTCTCTCTCTTACCACAGTACAGTGGCCTGTATAGAGTAAATCTCTCTCTTACCACAGTACAGAGGCCTGTATAGAGTAAATCTCTCTCTTACCACAGTACAATGGCATGTCTAGAGTAAGTCTCTCTCTTACCACAGTACAGTGGCCTGTCTAGAGTAAATCTCTCTCTTACCACAGTACAGTGGCCTGTATAGTGTAAGTATCTCTCTTACCACAGTACAGTGGCCTGTATAGTGTAAGTATCTCTCTTACCACAGTACTGTGGCCTGTATAGAGTTGAGTCTCTCTCTTACCACAGTACAATGGCCTGTATAGAGTAAGTCTCTCTCTTACCACAGTACAGTGGCCTGTACAGAGTAACTCTCTGACCACAGTACAGTGGCCTGTATAGAGTATGTCTCTCTCTTACCACAGTACAGTGGTCTATATAGAGTAAGTATCTCTCTTACCACAGTACCATGGCCTGTACAGAGTAAGCCTCTCTCTTACCACAGTACTGTGGCCTGTATAGAGTAAGCCTCTCTCTTACCACAGTACTGTGCCCTGTATAGAATGAAGTACACCACAACAGTGTAGTGGCCTATAGGGCGTGAAAAACGTCACAACAGTGCGTAGGCCTTTACAGAGTGAAATACGTCACAAAGCAGAGTTGCCTGAAGGGAATGAAATGCGCCACAACAGTACAGGGGCTCGTAGAGAATGAAGAATTTTCTAACAACAGTACAGGGGCGTGTGGAGAATGAATAATTCTCTTACAACAGTACAGTGGACTGTAGTTTGAAGACCTTACAGCTGTGATGCCTATCACAATAGTACACTGATCAGCAGACCTTGGTGTGCAAAACATCTCATAAAAGTACATTTTGATATAGTCCAGTGTTCTCCTCAAAAAAAAGGGAATGCCCATTTTCCCCGTAATATTGAAGTCAGCATTGATGTTTCACTCCAAATCAATATCGGAATTACATTAGTCAGTCTGGTGTCAATATAGCAAACAGCCGCTGAAAAATAAAGAGACTGAGTTCACAGATAATATGATAGCCTTGCAGGTATTTCTATAGATTAATGTGAAAGTTTGCAAATAAAATGAAATAAAATAAATCTAATATTTTAGCAGCATTACTGTAATCTTGGGTATATCTGTTTACACTGTCAATGCACAGTGTCGCAAATTCATAGGTGATTGCTGCTGATTAATGCTCGTTTATACACTGTACCATTAGAGAACAAACGGATGTTCAAAAATTCCCCTCTAAGATAGAAAACTGATACAGAAGTAATTATCTTCGTGTAAATATACATTGACCTGGTTTGGTTCAAGTTTATAGAACACGCGCACACTTCGTCATCAGATAAGGTTCTCTGTTGCAGCATTGCTATCACACATGCACGTGTATCTTACGAAAAAAGAAGTTAATGGATAATTAACTGGCATTCTTTTATGAAAGAAAACAAAACGGAGCCTGTTATTTTATCTTAAACTTGATCTTTTAATTGATCGTATACAATCGCCAAACGTACGGATGCATTGCAATGTTGAAATAACGAAAGTAGCAGTCTGTTTTAAGCAGCATCGTCAGTTGCAGGTAACGAGTGCAATATTTGCCGAAGCATTTGGTGCAATCAAGTTGTAGATGACGTAAATTGTTCTGATATATTTGACCAAGGCTATGTATATGTTCGAATGCACTTAATAACTTAATAAAAAAAATTGTAATCACTTGAAATATTGTTTTATTTTTCATTGCTGTGTTGGAATCTCTATCGATTGTCATTCCTTGAGATGGACAGTGAAATTCATTGCGGTTGTCGGGGTGATTCTATGAAGTTGTTGGTCGTGTTAAT